ACCACCATGGTTCCCCATGCGTGGTCCTGGCCAGCACCGGCAGCAGCGTTGGGAGCTTGCTAGAAATCCAGATTCTCAGGCCCCTCCTCAAACTTACTTAGTCAGAAACTCGGGGCACAGTGCCCCTCTTCCAACAAGTCTCAAGGGAAGCTCTTTGCCTTGACAACCTCTGGCCTGCCACTAGGGGGAGCCCTAGCTTCATGGAGGCACAGCGCCTGCCCCTGTGCTGGGAGACAGATAGTAGGACCCTCCCCACCCGGCAGGGAAGAGGACTCTCCCGGAAGGGTGAGGCCCAGTGCGGGGGCTGGGCCTCAATGACCGCTCCTTTCTCTCTCCGTTCCCCGGAAAGCAGTTTGATGTGCTAATGAGGGCATCAATTATTACATTCATCACAATAACAGCCAGGGAGAGGAGAGGGGCCCGGCCGCAGGGAACCAGGGTCTTTTGAAATTTACTGCCACTTACTCCTCTCCTCTGTGGGGTGGGAGCCCAGGAAACAGGAATGTGGGGGGCAAAGAGACCCGGCTATGGCCAGAAAGTCCCGATGTCCAGTCACTTCCCCAGAACAGGACAGGCCCTGGGTCCCTCAGCGCCATTGGCCACCCTCGGTTGAGGGTAGATGGCTTTTCGAGGAATGTGAAATGCCCTGGCCAGGCAAGCGGGACTTTTTTGTTTGAGACAAGGTCTCAATATGTATTGCAGGGTGGCCTTGAACCACCTATGTAGCCCACGGTGGTCTTGAATTTGCAGTGATCCTCCTGCCTCAGCCTCCTGAGTGCTGGAATTACAGGTGTGTGGCGTTAAGCCCAGCCATGCAGGAACTTTCTTGAGGAGACCTTGAAGTGCCCCATGGTGACAGAGTGGGCAGATTGGGGGTCCCAGCCATGGCTCCCACATCACCCTGTCCCCTGTGCCTCCCCTTAAGGCTCCTCTGCTCCTCCATGCCCACCCCCAGCACCATCTCCTCTTCCTGCCCAGATGTTCCCCAGGTGGCACCACAGTTCCCGCTTCGTCTTGGGAAGGAGAGGAAAGACTCTGGCCTCAGGCTGCTCCCTGTACCCCAGTCCGGCAGCCTTTCAGGGTCTGAGCCAGGTGCAGCAGGTGGTGAGGCAGGGTTACCTATTGAGGAGTGACAGGGGTGGCACCCCTGAGGTGTGGCAGGTGGAGGCAGCTGGCACACTGGCTGTGCCTGGGCACCGTGCCAGGTTCAGGAGCAGCCCTCTTCTCCCGGTGGAGAAGCAGTACCTGTGCTGCCAGCCCTGATCCTGATCGGGAGTCGGCATCACCGGCCTCCTGCACCAGGAGCCCTCTGGTGGGGTGAAATGGGGCGAGGGCTCCAATCTTCCTGGGGCACAAGCAGAGGACAAGATGGGGTCCCTGAGGAGATGGTGCCAGGCTTCCACCCTCTGTCACCTTGGGACCTGGGGTCTTGGCTCCTGCTCAGAGCTTCCCACTCCTCCAGGGGGACCCATGGGGACCCCTGGGGCAGAGTGTGTGTGTATGTGTGACATCTCTGGAGAGGTGGGGACAGAGAGGCCGAATCACAGTGTGTGCAGTGTTAAGCGTTCATCATTGAACAGCGGGCTGTACAGACACAAGTACCCCGGGGTCTGACTTGAATCCCTTGCCATGGCAGGAGTTTGCCTCAGGTGGAAACGGCTCTTTCAGCTTGCTGCACCTTTGGGATTGTCCCCCATCCATGGGGAGGATTCGGGACCCTTCTCTGCCTGGCCCTGCCCTGTGGCTTCTAGGCCTCTAGTGTAAGGGACAAAAGTGTTTCTGGCTGTCATCTCAGGGACTCTCAGGTCCTCAGTCGTGTCAGAAGTGCCTGTCTTTACTCAGGTGCATCCTGGGCCCAACGAACCCTGACTCCAGCCAGTGGCTGTGTGGTGAGACTCGGTGAGCCAGGGCTGTCCCTGCTTCCGGCAGCCCAAGGCGCCTTGGGTAAAGGTGGTGACAGAAGAGGCTGGGAGCACTGGAGCCAGGCGTGTGTGGGCTCCAGTTTCACCTCCCCAGCTCCCAGATGGGGCAGCTGCTTATGCCCTCCCAGACTTTCTTGGGGCTGAAAATGTCCACTTCTATTTATTTATTTATTTAGGTACCGGGAATTGAACTCAGGACCTTGCGCTTGTGAGGCAGGCAGCGGCACCACTGAGCCACATCTCCGGCCCCAAATGCCCACTTCTAGTGAGGTTGGAAAGGCTATTAGTGGGCACAGGTGACTCCCTCCCCTTAGGTGGGCAAAGTGGGGGAGGGGAGATTTTGGGGAATCTGAGTGGGAGGAGGTGAGGCTGAGGGGTGCATGGGGGCCCTGAATAGAGGGGCCCTGTGTGCCTGTGCCCCAGCTCTGCTCCAAGAAGCTCAGAGGTGGTGTCGCTACTCCTGCCCACCGCGACCCCTCTCCTCTCAGGGCCTGCTGCCTCCCGTGCCCATCCTGGGCTAGCAGCCAGGCAGGGAGCTGGACGGGGGCCCACTGCGCTCTCAGAGGCCAGAAGATGGGCACCGCCCAGCTGGCAGAGGGACAGGCAGCTGGCCCAGGAGGACAGAAGTCAGGGTGTCGACTGCTGTGGTCGTGTGCCCAGTCGGCGCGTCAGGGACAGCTCTTGGCTGTCCTCCTGGGCACGGCTGGAGCCAGCAAGGGCCCCTTCCCTCCTCCTCCTCCGGCCTGGCCGGCCCACCTGGGCGCTGCAAGTGGACATTGCTCTTGAGGGGCACGGGGACCTTGCCCCTGGCCTGGAGTGTGGCTGGCTCAGAGGCAGGCCTGGGGGCGGGCAGGAACGTGGGAGCGCCCCAGGAGGCTGCCAGTGGGTAGCAGATCAGGAAGTGGGGAAACCGGTTTGTCATTTGGGCCTCTCGGGGTGGGGTCTCCTCTCAGGGCGCTTGGCGAACCCGCCACTCTGCCTGGAGTCCCACAGCCAAGACATGCACGGTACCCCTTTCTCTGCTATCTGAACTAGCATTAAGGATGACAGGCGTAAATAAGAGGGACAGGGGGCTTAGCTCAGCTGCCCCTCTCCAAGGGACGCTTGGGAGCAAAAGGACAGGAAGAACCGGAGGGAGGCAGCCGCCGGAGCAGGGGCTGGAGGAGGGGTCGCCCGGGTCTGGGTCAGAGCTGGAGACGTCTGCAGGGCCTAGAGGTAGGCCAAGCGCTGAGGGCCGGGAGGGGTGGGGCTCAGGTGGTGCCCCGAGAGCAGTGGAGGTGGCCACGGCGCCGCCCCTCGAGGCTCGAAGAGGCACGGTTTGGAGCGCCCCATCTCGGGGTCCCTCTCTAAAGAGGGGCCTGGACGCCCCTCCCTCCCCTCGCGCCGCTGCAGTTCTCGCAGGCGCCTGCAGGAGGGGCTCAACCCGAACCGGGAGTAGGGTGGGGGCCCGAGGAGGCACACAGTAGGGGGCGCCGGGGAGCTGGGCCCCTCCAGCGGAGCGGGCTCTGAGGGTCGAGGGGCGCCGGACTGGGGCGTCTGCGGAGGCCGAGGAGGGTCGCGAGTCTCCCTCTGTAGGGCGGCCGCTGCGCCCCGAGGTCACCTTGGCTGGAGAGGGGCTCCCGCTTTTCCCCGCCGCGCGCGCCCCGAGTGCGCTCCGCCCCAAGGCGCCCTGGGGGCGTGGAGACCCAGGCTCTCCTACCCTCGAGACGTCCCCCTCTCCGGGTGACACCTCAGAGGCAAACTGGACTCTACCGGGAAGCGAGGACGGCTGGGGGCGCAGGTGGAGTGAGAAGGGCAGCGTGAGCGCGCCCCGCACCTCGGCCCGGCCGCGCGCGGCGGGATCCTGCGGGGCAGCCGGAGGGCGCGAGGCGGCGCGGCGCCCCCTTCCCCTCCCCCGCCGCCCCCCACCCCCAGCGGCCCTTTGTACCAGCCGGCCACACGCGCGTGCCCGCGGCGCGCTCGCTCCCGTCGCAGTGACACACCCGCGCCAGCCGCCCGCGCGCGCTCGCACACTCACACACTCACACTCGCTCTCGCACACTCGGGGACACGCCCGCGCGCGCGCGCACCCACACGCCTGGCCGCCGGCGCCCTCCCAGGTGGTGCACCCGGCGGGGCCCGCGCCCCCGGCCCGCCCGCCTGGCACCGCGCCCCGGGGCTGGGGCCGAGCAAGGAGCCCGCGAGGCGGCGAGAGGCCGAGCGCCAGGCCGGCCGGCCCGGGGCCCCGCCCCGCCCCCGCCGCCCGCCCGATGGGGAACGCTCCGTCCCAAGGCATGTCCCTGTCCTCTCCTCCCTAATGTGCCTCCATGCTTAGTGGAAGGTATTTCTGTTTTCTTTGTGTGTTTTCCCCTCGGCCGGGGGCGGGGGCGACGGACCCTCGGGGCGCAGGTGGGGAGAGCAGGGGCGGCGGACCCGGGCGAGAGCGCGCTGGGACTAAGAGGGGGTCCGGGGCTGGCGAGGCCAGAGTCGGGGGGCGGGGGTGCGATGCCCGCCCTGGGAGGGGCGCGCGGGGTTGGAGCTGAGAGGGGCTTGGGGGAGGGGGAGAGGTAGGGAGGAAGGGGCCGGCTGGCCGCAGCGGGGTGGGCGGGCAGGGGGGGGGGAGGGGAGGGGTGCATCGGCCGGAGACCGCAGGGGGAGGGGAAGGGGATGGAGGAGCGAAGCACATCCTGGGCCCCCCCAGTCCCGGCATGGGGTCTGCGCCGGCTCCCTGGAGAGGAAGGGGCTGGGTGCGTCTGGGGTTGGCGGCGTTGCCAGGATACCAGCTGTGTTCCACACCCCACCCCCTCCACTTTCTGGCCCTAGCCCTGGAGACCTCTGCGTCTTAGCGGCAGTCGCAGAAACTGGGGACCTGCTTGCTCCCCGCTCCGCGGCGGGGAGGGAGGGGCCTGGGGAGGGGCGATCGTGTCTTAATCCCTCCTCCTGCAGGGGCCGGAGGGCAGGGGAGGGCGCCCCCCACCTGGGGAGGGCGTCCCGGGTGAGCGCGCAGGGAGGGACCCGTGGGGGGCTGGGGCGCAGGGGGCGGGGCCGCGAGGGGACGCCCCTCGGCCCCCGTCGCACGCACCCCCCTGCTACGTCAGAAGCTCCCGGGCCGGCTCCGAGTCCTGTCGGTAGGGGCAGCAGGATGCTGGTGGCGGCGGAGGGGGCCGGCCGGTGCCTCCGCAGCTTGGCTGGCAGGGCCCGGCGGGGCGCGTGCGGCTGCCCAGAGAGCGCCCCCCGCCCCGCGCCTCCTCATGCAGCCCTGGCACTGCCTGCGGCGCTTTGCCCTGGCCTGGTGGGAGAGGACGGCGGAGGGCAGGGCACGCTCTCCCCGGGAGGAGGCCGGCCCGAGGGACACCGGGGGCCGGGGGGAGCCAGGTGAGCCGCGGGGGTCGGGGCGTGGGCGGGGAGCGGCTCCTGGAGCTAGCACCCCAGCCCCTGTTCCCAATACTGGGGGATCAGCAGCGTCCTGGAAACCCCAACTTTGAGGGAAGTGGGGTCCCGGAGCTGCGCTGAGGGTCCCTGACTGTACCCTTTCAAAAGGCAATGGTGGCTGTTTGGGGAAGAGCCCCTACGAGACAGCTCTCAGGTTTGTGGTCCCCGAGTCCCTGTGGGTGGGGTTTGAGCACTTTGCTGGGGCTGGGGGGTACCTTCCTCTTGCCTGGATAGCCTGGTCTGGGTGACCTTGAGCCAGTTGCTTGGGTAACTCTGCCTCAGTCGCTCTCATTCCCTTCCCTATTCTCTGGCTGGCCTTTAAAAAAATATATGATGCATTAGATGGAGACTGTCGTGGAAAATATGAGCTGTCGTCGTTGTGGCAGCTGGCATGGTGGTGGATTTTGGTACGGTCACGTGTGTGTATGTATGGGGGCAGCTATGGTGTACGTGTTGGGGTTTGCTGGTTCCACTTGGTGTTGGGGCCACTCCAGGCAAGTGCAGGGGACCGGATTTCACACTGGAAGGGCTCTCCGAGAAGGTGGAGGGGGGGTTGTTGGGAGCAGAGACTTAGCTGGTGGCCTGGTACGGAAGCAGGAGATGGGGTTTCGGCTCTGGGTGCAGGGGAGGGGGCCCCAAGAATAATGCCCCCAGCTCCCCACCCAGACTGCCTGGCACCCCGGCACCCTTGGCAGCAAGTGCAAAGGCTTTGCCCTGGCTTCCTGCCACCCTCCCTTGGGGACAAGAGGATCTTTGTCCAGTGCCCCCCCATTGCTCTTTCTGAGATGGTGGCTCTCTGTCTATGCAGCCCCTCAGGGCTGGGATGGAGATGTGGGTGGATCCCCTCTGGCTCCGGCTGTCAGTGCTCTGGAGATCTTTCTGGAAGGGGCACCTGAGATTTCAGCCAAGTGGAGGGGAGCCCCATAGGGGAGGGGTGGAGACACCCCCAGCCCCTGCTGCTCTTTTAGCCTTCTTGTCTAATGCAGGGGTCTGGGGTCTTCATAGCTCCAAGACATGAGGGTAGCAGCCAGGAGGCAGGACCCCTCTGATAGCCCCTCTCTCTCTCTCTCTCTCTCTCTCTCTCTCTGTGTGTCTCTGTCTCTCTGTTCAGCATCCCACCCTGGAAAAAGGGTTTAATTAGAACCATTGATTCTGTCTTTGACTTGGGGGTATTGATCTCCAGAGAGTGGTCAGAGCTGGGGACGGGTGGCCTGCCACTATCTGCCCAGCGCCAGCCTTGGTGATCCTTGCCAAAATCTCAAGCCCTAGAAGTGGTGAGGATGATGCTTGGGCTCCTTGAAGCCCTGGTCTGCTGAGCCCCCAGCCCTACCCACCTTGGGTTAGGTCTTGGGGAGAAAAGGGAGGAAGGGCTGTGGATTTGAACCTTGGGAGCCATGGCTGGGGCTAGAGGAAGGATACTTCATAGGGCTTTCCTCCTGCCTGGTGGGCCTGGGGGTAGGAAGAGAGCCCGCCGAGGGGAGCCTGGAGGAGCCTGTGGATGCTAGGTGGTACAGAGTCCAGGGGAAGGAGCCAGGGCTTGCCATAAAAGCTCCTCTTTCGAGGAATCCCAAGCACTTACCTCCTCCAGGCCCTGGCAAGGAGATCTGTTTTCTTCCTCCATTTGTGTCTTCGGGCCCCGGAGAGGGACAGAAGCTGCCTAGATGTCCAGCGCACCCTCGACTGGTGGTGGCGCCTGGCTCCCTGCCCTGGTGGCCTGCCGGGGCACAGGGTGCTGAGGGTGAGGCCCCTGGCCGCCTGGCTCTGCTCCCTAGGGTGGGTTGGGGGCCAGGTTTTGCCCCTGGCCCCCGATGCCCCTGCTGTGCTGGTGGGTGGGTGGGCCGCGCAGGTGCGGGCTTCAATGAGGCTCTCAGGCGCTCTTTGAAGAATCTCCGTGGCTTCCCAGGGCCCATTTGAGCAAAGATAATAAAAATCTGGCCGTCAGCGGGTTTGAGGGCTGCACTCGCTTCCCCTTCTTTCATTCTGGGCTCTGAAAAGGGGAGATGAAGGCTTTGGATTTGGCTGGGAAGCAGCTCCTGCCTGCCCCCAGGGAGAGAGGGGGCAGGGGGAGGGGGAGGGGGAGGGGGACATTTCCTGGCAGCAGGGCCCCTGTGAGGGAGGTGGGCAGAGGGCAGGGGCATGCCCCCCCCCCAGCCAGGCAGCCTAGGGACCTCACTGTCAGAGCTCTTGGAGCCCATGCCTGGGCCCCAGCACTGTCCTCCAGTCCCTGGGGCCCCAGAGCACCCCCAGCCTCTCTCTCCCCCACCCATCCACCCCCCATCTCTGCCAGCTTCCCCTGGTGGCCTCCCCTCTTCCTGCCCCTCGGTGTCTCCAGCTCTGCCCTTCATTCGCTGCCCCCTCTCCCCCTGCCCCTGCCTGGCGCCCCCTCTCTGTCCTTCCGTCCCCCCTTCTTCCTCTGGCCGCCCCCTCCCTTCCTCCCTGCGGCTGCAGTCCTGCTTTCTAGGACTGTCTGCAAGGTGGTGGAGCCAGAGGGGAGCGGCTATGGCCGCAGCCTCCGAGGGAAGAGAGGATGGGCTGGCTATTATGGTCTGTCAGGTGCCATAGTTGTCAGAGTCCAGGTCGAAGGGCTGCAGAGCACTCAGGGATGCGTGTTCGGGCGCGTGTCTGTGTGTGTGTGTGTGTGTGTGCACGCCCATGCACGCGTGTGGCACCTTGCCCTGGCATTGGCTCTTCCTCCCCTCCCGAGACACTTGGGTGACTGCTTCTGTCCACCTCCAGTGTTTTTCTTCCTGCCCAGAGCCTCAGCCGAGGGCCCTCTGCCCCCACATGTTGCTACTGCCCCTGCACCCTGTTCCCCTCCAGCCCCTCAGGCTCTGTCTGAGGTGGGGGGGATCCAGGAAGCCTGGGGGTTCCAGCTAGGCCTTGGGCTGCCTCTGTCCTGCTGTGAACCCCCGACCCCAGATGAAAGACCGGACCACAGTGTGCGGGTGGGAAACTGTCCTCTGCTGCCTCAGGGGCCAGTGAGTCCTCACCTGTGCAGTGAGGGGGCGTGGACTGATGATCTCCAAGGTCTCTCCTGACATTTGGTGTTGTGTCTCTCTTCTGGGTGATTTGCCCATGCTTTGCATATATTAATAATCCCTGCTTGAAGGGGGAGAGCACCACCCTCACCGGCCCAGGGCCCGTCTCCCACTCCCACTGCCCTCGCCCATTGGCCTGGAGCTGGAAGTGGAGGCTGAGTGTCCCCTGGGAGGTGAGTGTGGCCCCAGGACCTGGGAAGGCTGGGGGAGCGGTGCTGGCTTTGGTGGAGGCGATTCCTGCCCTCATTCCTGCTCCAGAGGGCTCAGAGGGCTGCACCTGGTGGCGCATGCCTGTGACCTCAGGACTCTAGAGGCCAAGTCCGAGTGTTCAAGGCCAGTCTGGACTACATGGAGTGACTCCTTTCACCCTACGTCACCTGTCCTAGAGGGCCAGGCTGGGGTGAAAGTTGGTAGCCCAGAGATGACCCAGGGCTGCTGGGTTGTGACAAGATTCTGAAGACAGGACCCAAACTGCCCTGCACCCCCGGGAGGATAGGATCAGAGGAAGTGAAGAGAGAGAGACAGAGAGAGAGAGGGCTAGGTTAGACTCATGGGGGGACCGCCCCCGGGGCAGATGGGTTTCTGATTATGAGCTTGTCTCGGAGATCAGATGAAACAGCAGCCAGAGCACCCCACACGGGTCTGACACATATACCCACCCCATAAATGGTATGAGGGAGAGATGGATGTCTGGGAATCCAAAGAAGACTTAATGATTCTAGGGTTTGGCATCGGATGAGGGGCCGGAGGGGCAATTCCTAGAAGAGCTCGCTGTCCCATACTCCGCCTGCTGTCCCCCATCCCACCTGTCCCAACCCCTGCCCGCTATCCTGGGACCCGTCACTCTCCTCCTCCTCTTTGAGTAGGCTGACAGAGGGTCTGGAGGCCGGAAACCTGCTCCTCTCCCACTCCCCGCGTCTGTACAGGGCAGTGTGGGAGCCAACAAGCCCACACCGAGGCAGCAGGAGTGGAGGTTGGCGGGGAAGGGAAGCGCAGCGCCAGGAAGGGGGCTCATGCCGTACCTGGGGGCGAGGACGGGTCAGTGCGACCTTCCCGATGACCACTGGGGATCCTCAGGAGCGAGGCTGCTGGAGGGGAGAGCAGGGAGCGGGGAAGCTCCTCATCTGCCCCCCAGGACACAGAGGCAAAGCACTCTGAAGAAGTAGCTGGACCCGTGTCAGGGTGCTGCTGGGCGGCACTGGCAGCTTCGTCACCTCTCTGGTCTTCAGCATGCTTGGTAAAGTAAAGAGGGTGGGCGAGGCTTCTTGGAGCTCCCTTCCGGTTGGTACAGGTCCACCCGTGTCCTCTCCCCTGAGATATTTGGTTTGGCACATGAAGGCTAGCAAGAATGTTTCCCAATTTCGGCTAAACCAGATATGGAGATTTGAGCCAAGGGAATATTGAGCCTATGCACACTTGTTTGTGTCACACAAAAGGCGCCTCCTGGGCCGGAGGTGCACCTTGTCCAAACCCATCCTGCAGCCTTAGAAGATGGATTAGGGGAGCAGCTGGAGGACCGTGCCATTGCCTAAATCACAAACTGTCTCCCACCCCAGCAAAACTACCTTTGTCACACTCCATTCCACCCAGGGATGGAAGTCCAGTCCGTATTTTCCTCCATAGGGCCTGTCCTGGTGGCTCAGCTCCCCCACTCCACTGTCCTGGTGCCTGGCCCTGGCAGCCAGCTGGGTCGCCTGGCTGCCTGCATGTCACAGAATGGAGCAGCTGAACACTGGAGAGGAGTTGGGCTCTCCCGTCCTTCCACCCCCACCTCCAGAGCATCCTCACCCCAGCACACTGGCTTCTTTACATCCCAGCCACAGAGCACACTGGAGACTCCGGACCCAGGCACACAGTGGGGCTCCTGGACCCTGAGCCCACAGAGACGTCCCAGCCCAGGACCCTTCCCTCCAGGGGCCCCATAGAGGTGTGTGTACCCAGCTCAGGAGACGCAGGAGACGGGAGGAATGTGTCCCGTGGTCCCCTAGATGCAGTGGGCGTCCCTGGCATCACCCCAGGCACTGGCAGCTGCCTCGTTGGGGAAGAATTAACAATCCAGCTCAGCTCTCTCCACAGCTCGCTGCAGCCTGCAACGCAGCCCGCGCACTCTGCTCCTCTCCTGGGCCATCCCTGCCCACACTGTGGTCCCCAGTGCTGGCCAGACTGGCCGAGAAGTCCCCCAAGCCTGTGCATAGTGACTTAGAATTTGAAACCGAAGGCTCTTCCGGAAGCAAAGGCTCTTAGGGGGATCACAGACCCTCTGTCTGGACAGGAAGGGGCTTCAAACAGCTAGAAGTCACTTAAGTTTGAAGTCGAGGAAATTTGGACCCACCCGACAGCGCCTCCCCTTCCTGGCTCATCTGGCAGCCCAGGGTTAGAATCATCTCCCTTCATTGGGTGGGGTGCCACACACCTGTCATCCCAGCACTTGGGAGGCTGAGGCAGGAGGATCACCTTGAATTCAAGGCCCGCCTGAACTCATAATGAGACCCTTTCTCAAAGACAACAACAACAGGGCTGGGGATTTAGCTCAGTAGTTCTGCCACCTGCCTTACAAGAGCAAGGTCCCGAGTTTGATCCCTGGTACCCCCAAAAAACCCTCAATAATAATAATAGTCTGGCTCCATGCCTGGAATGAGACAGATATTGAAGAAAATGTTTTTCTTGTAGGCAGTCGCACTGCTCTCGGGAGACAGTCCATGCTGGAGAATGCAATGGAAAGAGGTTAGGCTTCAGACAGAACTTTGCGGAGGGCAGAGGTGGCAGGAGGGAAGGGAAGGAGGTTACCCCTGGGCCAGGAGCTCAGGGCGCTGGAGTCAGACAGATCAGGCCGAGATCCCAGCCCGGCCGTCCCTTTGCAGTGTGGTTTGAGGCGAGTTGCTTCACCTCTCCGAACTGTTTCCTCACCTGTAGCCTGAGGGTGTTAGTGGTGGATTCTTCCTGGGACAGCTGCCGATCCATGCAGTGATTAGGCAAAATCCCCGGTACTTGGTAACCTTAGCCCACGGGGCGGCCCCTGGGTCTGGGGGTAGGAAAGAAGCCAGGGTTCCCAGCTCCTGTTCCCCGCTGCCCATCCGCCTGCCCCATGGGCCTGTCCAGGAGCCCTTCGGGCCCAGATCCCTTAGTGACCATTCTTGGTTTCTTCCCCGCTCAATATCCCAACATCTGGGGATGACATCTGTTTCTTCCCGGGATGTCCGCGCCTTGGGCAATCAGTGGGAAAATTGGAAACGTGAGTTGGGCAGGGGCCCCGAGGGACGTGCTGTGGATACAGATGGGCCTGGGATGGGCCTGGGCCAGCGAGGGAGGCTGCGCCCCAGGGTGCCCAGGCCACAGCCCCAGGCCTGCTCAGGGTGCAGGCAGGAGGCGGTGCTGAGTGCAAGGGACTGTTCAGAAAGGTGGGCGCAATGGCTGGCTTCGGGCACCCTGCCGGGCCCGCCGGGGCAGGCAGGAGTGTGAGCGGCCCTCGGCCTCCATGCCTGATGCCCGTGTTCCCTCCAGTGCAGGCCATGGAGGGGCCAGCCCAGGGCAGGGGTGCTGGGGCAGGTGGGGGCGTTCTGTCGACAGGGAGGGCAGCGAGCAGTGATGGGTGCGTGGCAGGTTGCTCTGGCCCTGAGCCCCTTGCCTTTCAGGGTGGGTGACACTGGGTGGGGGCCGAGACAGCCCCTCCTAGTGCTGTCCTTTGGGATCTCGCGTGGGCACCTCAGGGAACCCGGTCATTTCTGGGAGGAGAACCAGGCCTGGCTCGATGAGTGTCCTGTCCCAGCTCTGGGAACCGTGTTTTTCCATGTCGTCCTGCTGTCTGTCCTGTCTGTCTCCCACTGCTGTCTGACCCCCCTGTCCTCACTCTTCCTCCAACACCCAGTCTCTATCCTGAATCCCCTGAGACCCTGGTGACCCCCCCCCCCCAAGGGACAGCTCTTAGGGCTCTGTCCTCACCCTGCCCACTCTGGGACCCCGCCCCCCTCTGTCCAGTGCCCTCCGATTGGCCCGGCCTGTCCTCCTGGCATTCATTCACGACTTTCCTCCTTTCCTGTCCCTTACCCAGGGCTCCAGCGAGCGGCGGGAGGGAAGCCTGCAGGACTCTGTTCCCTCTGTTTAAAGTCTCCAGGTTAGTAAGAGGGGGAGGGAGGCACCTCCCCCCAGTCAGAGCCCCTCCCCCACCGGGGGGCCGCCGTTGGGGGAGGGGACAGTGGACCCTCGACTCTGGGGAGGGCGCCTTGCCTGGCAGAAAACGTGCACGTGTGTGCATGTGCGTGTGTGTGTGTGCATGTTGGTGTGTGCGCGTGCTGCAAAGCCCCTGTGTGGTCTGGGGCTGGGGACAGGACAAGAGGCAGGGGTCCCCTGCGGAGGGGCTGGTGGCCTGGGCAGGGGTCCAGGGGGATGCTGTGTTCCTGTGCTGGCCAGAGCTAGGGGATGGGGTGGAGACGGCCACCTCCAGCCCCATTCAGGCTTGGGTGCACAGGTGCATGCAAGCCCATGAGCCAAGGTCACTTACACAGTGATCCCCTAAGGGCCCACTTAGCGCCGCTCTGGGCCAGCCCCTGGCCAGCACGGAGTCCAACGTGGCCATGACAGGTGACCCACCCTCCATGACGCCTCTATCTGGGGCCTGGGCAGCTGACTGTGGGGCCCTGTCCCCCACCCGGGGAGGTGACATAGGTCTGGGGCACCCCAGCAGCTCCTTTGTGTGTGCTGTCACCGTTTCGTGTCCCCCGACCTCACGGTGCCCTCGAGGTGACCCCAGCAGGCAGCAGTGACTCGGCCTGGGCTCATTGTCAGGTCATTGCTCAGGCCAGGGCAGAGGGCATCCAGGAGCCCAGCTGGGGGTGGGTGTAGACGGAGCCCCCACAGCCAGCAGCTGGAGCACCCGACATGGGAGTTGGGGGCCTTGGATGAGCCCCGTCCCCCAGAAGCTACATCCATCTGGCCTGCAGAGCAGCAGGGACCCCCACACACACACATACACACACTGGCAGGCTGGTGAGAACAGAAAAGGCAGTGCGCTGGTCTGGCACCTGCAGCCTTGTTTGTGCCCGCCCTGTCCTCAGGCTTGGGCCGGCTGTACTAGGTGCTGGGGATGCTGCCCACCTCCTCCCGTCAGGCCTGGGGAGCCCTGTCTTGGGGTGTCAGGCTCCAGCCTCTGTCCCCAACCCAGGTGGGGGGCTCTGCCACTGTGACATCTGCTGCCACCGCAATGACTTTCTTTGTTTTTTTGAAACAGGGTCTCACTATGTAGTCCAGGTTGGCTTTGAACTCACTTTATAGCCCAGGCTGGCCTGGAACTTGTGGCCATCCTCCTGCCTCGGCCTCCTGAGCTCTGGGATCACAGGCGTGAGCCACCACACCCAGCCTCCTGATGGCTTTTTATTTATTTTATTATTATTTTTTTCTTCTGGTTAATAGCTTTGCTCTGAGACAATGTGCAGAGCACTCGTTTGGCTGCCTCTTAATTAAAATTACCATTTTCCTAAAAGAGCAACGGATGCTGCTCCCTCCCTCCTGTCCTCTCCTGCTGCCACAGGAGAAGGCAGAGCCACATGAATCCCTAGGCCTTTCCCCCCTGGCCCTGCTAATCACCCCCTCTCCACAAAAACGGCAGGGGGACCCAGGCCTAGAGAGACAGAGAGAGAGAGAGAGAGAGAGAGAGAGAGAGAGAGAGAGAGAGAGAATATGTTCTCATTCACCGTCTTCTAGAATACCTCCAATGACAGGGAGCTCAGTACCTTCCAAGATTTACTTTGGGGGGGTGAGACAGGGTCTCTCTATGTAAGGCTGGCCTTGAACTCACTATGTAGCCCAGGCTGGGCAATCCTTCTGCCTCAGCCTCTGAGTGCTGGGATCACAGGCGTGCACACCCGTCGGTGCTGGTTTCAGGTAGAAGCCACCATGTTCCCGCTGTGGCTTGGGGCAGCGAAGGACGCCGGGTAGCGAAGGCGGGGTGGGGGTGGAGGGGTTCTCCAGTGGTTTCCGAGTCAGGAGAAAACCCGTCACTGGTAACTGAGAAAGTGTTGGTGATCAGCGTGTGTATTGTGTGCGGGGCCACTCATGGCCTGCAGTTCACTTCCTGCTCGCAGTGGCCCCTGGGCTCAAGGCTGGTGCCGCCTCTCTACTGGGGAGCGGTGGAGAGGCCTAACGGGGCAAGCAGTGCACCCCAACCCCAGCGCCGCCCTCAGCCCAGCCCCGCCTGTGCCGCAGGGGGAGTAGCTGCCGCCTCGCTTTGGGCCAGGGGGATCCCCCTTGTTCCGGGGACGCCTTCTTCTCCCAAGCCTGCTCCTCCGGAGACGACTTCCGGTGGCCAGGTGGGGGCGCCCGCAGCTCCAGGAGACCCGGCCTCTCCTCTGCGCCTTTGCTTTGTGGCTCCTCTTCCCAGAACAGCGCCTAGCATATGTGCAGTGGTGTAGTCGCTCAACAGTTGGCAGCCGCCTACTGTGTGCGGGACCATGCAGAGACGGCAAGGTCAGCGAAACGCAGTGTGGCAGGTATCTCGTTGCCACCTCCCTTTACCACTGCCTCTTTCTGCTACTGAAATTTGAAGACACAAAACAAAACACCCCCAGCCAAACCCAATCTCTGATCCCCATGTGGCCGCAGCGCATTCCTTGGTTTTGTTGATCTCAACATCCAGCATTGCCAACCCTGGCGTGTGTACTGGTTGTTGATTGACTACGTGATCACACACATGCCATATATGGTGCTAGATTATTGTGTTTGTTTTGCCATTGGGGAAACTGAGGTCTGGAGAGGTAGAATGACTTGTTCAAGGTGACACTTATGGGTCATGGCCGAGGTGAGATTTGCGCTTTGACCTGCTGTGCCCTTCTGCCTGCTGTTTGGTCACCGCTACGTCCACAGGTGACCATGGCACCTGCCATCACTGGATGACATGGAGTCTTGCGTGGCTATTGACCGCCAGATGTCACGCATTCCTTGCCCGTGGGGAGGCAGGAAGGGACCGGGCACTCCTCTCCCTCCACTCCCCTCCCCCTCAGCTTCCGGCCCCCACGCGGCGTGGTGACAGGTGCCGAGCTGCGGAGATGACAGCGTGCTCGTCCCCCGTAATTACTGTCTGATGAGTCGCCCGAATTAGCCTCCGCTCAAGCATGGGACGCGGGTGCAGACACCCCGGGCACAGCGCGGGAGGCGCGGGGGAGGGGCGGCGGGAGCACGGGAGGGGGCAGGGCCGGTCAGGGCAGCCTGCGACCGAGACCGACCGGAGGGCAGGAAAGATGGTTCTGGGGTCTCCCATTGCCCTGAAGGGGGGTGGGCGCAGACTGTGGCTCCTACTGAGGAAGGAGCCCGAGAGCACCGGGCCGTGCAGATAGTGAGCTTCCCATTCCTGGAGGGATCCAAGCCCCAGCTAGCTGGCACTGGTGGACAGGGAGGACCTGCAGTTTCACCTCCTCACAGCCTGGGGACAGGGAAGGCTTTGTACCTGCTAGGCGTGGAAGGGGGTTCTGGGGTCTCTCCAAGACTGCTACCCTCCCCCGTCCCAGCCCGGGGGCCCCTCTGCCTGGCTGGGGGGACTTGGTGGTAGAATCTGCATCTGCCGGAGGGCAGCAGGGTGAAGGGAGAGAAGGGGATCTGGCTGAGGACCCCACAGTTGAGATCAGGCTCCCCCCTTTATCCACCCGACCTCCAGAGGCTGCGCCTTCCTGAGCCTCAGTTTCCCTCCTCGAGCAATACAGAGAGCAAGGAGGGTCACGTGGCTCGGGGTGCAAGGTGACTGTGTTGACGAGGCGGGTCATCAGAGGTGGCATCACTGCGCGGCTGGCCCGGTCAGACGGGGGAACGGGGTGCCCACTGCCTTTCAGCCTGAGCTGGAGCTGGAGCTCGCTGATCCGGCCCATCTGTGAGGGACTGGAGCAGCAGAGGTGGGTGGGGCTGAAGATGCAGGGAGGGGCCTGGGCCGCTGGGCTTGTGTAGGAGTTGGGTCACTGGGGGCTGAGGGAGCTGTCTCCAAGCTGGGGTCATGGGGCCGGAATGAGGCCTGACCCAGGAGGACCAGAAGGGTCTGGGGATGGCCTGGTCTTCTACCCAGTATTTTGTTTGTTTATTTGTTTGGTACTGGGGATCAAACTCTGGACCTTGCAGGCAGTGGGACCTCTGAGCTAAATCCCTGGCCCTTATTTTGTTTTTGTTTTTTTGAGACAGGGTCTTTCTGTGTAGTCTAGGCTGGCCTTGAACTCACTGCAACCCTCCTGCCTCAGCCTCCAGAGTGCTGGGGTTATGGGTGTGCACCACCACGCTTGGCTATGCCTGATATTTATGAGGCCCTGGATGAATACTTAGTGTGGACACTGCTTCCCAGGTGCCACCGGGTGACCGATTTGTGAGGCTCCTCCCCCACTGCCAGCAGACTGGGGTCTCCTGTGGGGATCGGCTGCCCTGCTCTGGCCATGCTTCTGCCAGACCCAGCTTTTGGGGTGCAAGGGAGGGCCCTGTGCTCCCACACCAAGGTACCCAGGGGGCAGGGTGCCCAGGCAGCCTCCCTCCCTCCCTGCCCTTGAGAGCTCTGCTCTCCCCTCCCTGCTGGCTGCCTCTCCAAGAGCCCACAGGACACCTTCCCAGGCGCGTGAGTGGAGGAGACGCCACGCCGGAGCTAGCGTGTGAACATGGCGCCGAGTGGGCACACGCAGGGCTGTTCCCAGCTTTGCCAGCTCCAGCTTCAGACTGCATCTCCACCCCCTCCCTTCCCAGGGAAGCCAATTAGGCCAGTCTTCCTTGGAAGCTGATTGCAAAAGCCCACCATCCGGGGATGGCGCACCTCTGACAGCGGAGTCAGGACACCAGGGGCCGCTCAGGGAGGAACTGGGGCTCCTCACCTCCTTGGCCTGATGCCTTTGTGCAGTGCACAACCTGTACACCTGACTGGGAGGAGTTTTGTTTTTGTTTTTTAAACAAATGAGCCGACAGAGGCCCCTGACCTCCTCAAGGTCACATAAGTCATCAGTTGGCAGAGCAGGGTTTGAGCAGAGCTTCCTCACCCTCAAATTCACCGATTTTTGGTAATTCTATAGCTTGCCGGCTGTGCGTGGGTGGACTGGAGTGGGGAGAACAGGGAGGGTTGTGTCTCAGATTCTCACTTGGCTGTTTGGAAAGAGGCGGGTCTCATCGGAGCGTGGGATGGGGTCATCCTGCTGGGACCCAGCTGCTGCATGCTGGGCTGGGCCAGGTACAGGGCAGGGTGCCCTGCACCTGACCCCCTCAGCTGGTGCGGCGTCACTGTGCTCTGACTTGAGGTTGTCATGTGGTGTCCTGCCAGAGCCTGTGGCCTGCGGAGGGCCCCTGACAGCTGCTTTCTGGGAGGCGCAACAGCGAAATGGAAAAATCCTGTCCCCAGGGCTGGGACACCTGGTCTCACTTCTGGCTCCGCCTCCAGCTCCCGGGAGGAGCTCCCCGGTGAACGGCCTTTGGGTGCAGCCCGAGGTTTCTGGCACTGGCAGGGTGGCAGGGGAAAGGTCTGGCGATGTCCCTCCTCCTCGCTAAGGGATGGGAGCTGAAGTGGCCTCTCCTGCCAGGGCCCTGATGAGTGATAGCAGTGGGGGAGCTGGGGTGGCAGGACCCAGAGAGGGCACTGAGGCCAAGCCTGGGATCTTTGCTCCCAGCCCTGTACCCCTCTGGAGGTAGTTTTGGGGTCTCTACACCACCCCCACCCCAGTCCCGTTCTCCTGGGTGGATTGGTCCCCGTGCCATCAGGGAGGCCCCCTGGCTTCGGGAGGGGACAAGGGACAGGCTCGGTCCCCGTGGGAAGCTCTCCAGGGCAGGTGAGTCCCCCCAGCCCTGTGAGGCCCCTTCATTAGATTCCAACTCATTTACCCACTAAGTGGCCTTCGGTGGGCTTTAAATTTGTGCAAATTGGTTTGTGTTTTTCTGCCTGCTGAAGCTGTGAGTGGCAGTTCCCACATCCTCCCCGGCTCCCTCCTGGGCCCTGTCGTCGATGTCCCTCAACCCCGAGCGAGCTTCCTGGGCAGAGAGCCCAGGGGCACAGGCCACGCCCTGAAGGGGGTCCATGTGATGACCCCTGTGCCATGAAGGCACAGTGACCTGTCCCCGCTCTTCACGGTGGCTCTGAGGGGCTGGGCTGTCACCGGCCCGGGGCTTCCTGATACCCTCTGGCCTTGCTCAGCTTCCCTGCCACCCGTGGTGCCCAGGCAGTGGGCTCTGCCCCCCTTACTCTCCTGTCTCCCTTCTCAGCCCTGGGGGGCTGGGCCTCCTTGGGGACCTGGTGATGCCAGCTCACTCGGCCGTGCCCTGTGTCCCCCAGGCCTGCCTCTCTCGGCACCAGGAAGGGACTGCATTGGGTCCTTCCCCATGCTCTCTCCCAGCCCAGGCGGGCTCTCCCGAGGTGGCCTGGCACTCAGGGTGGAGAGTCTTGGGGTGAGCCTTCAGGCCCCTGGGGGGGAGCTGGGCTGAGCCTCCGTCTAACCCTGGGCCAGAGCCGGCTCCTCCCTCCAGTCCGCACCCCGCCAGGCTCAGAGTCCCTTGTCCAAGCGACAGGGAGACTCAACAGGGCTCTGGGCATTAGCAATTTGGGGGGCTATTACACAGGAATGTTTACTGAAAGGCAATTGCCCGGAAAATGACTTTGGTTGCTTCGGTGTGAGGCGGAAAAGCTAGTTTTAGAAAACACACAGATGGGCCTCAGCTCCAAGCACCCACACACAGGCGGCCGGGTGAGGGGGCAGGCACCGGGGGACACGGAGCCAGGCACCCCGAGTCCCTCACTGGGCACGGGGTGGGCCCGGCTCCCAGAAGCTCTGTCAGGCTTGAGTGGCCCGGGTCCCTGGTTGACCTCTGACCTCCGGGCTGCGTGGATGGAGCTGCTAGGACAATTGGTGGCAGCGCCTCGGGAGGAGCTGTGCGTGTGCACGCGTGTGAGGGTGGTGTGGGTGCGTGTGCGCATGCGCGGCACTCTGGGGCCCTCCGCCCTCCAGCAATCAATCGCACACTGTCTTTGCCCTGCCCGGTGCCGGGGCTCCTGACCTGGCGCCCCTGTGGTCAGGGCCACTGGAGTGACTGTTGGTCTCCCTGGGAGGGACCTTGCCTGGCCTCTCGGGCACCAGGGGCAGGAGACGGGGTCCTGAGGGGCAGGCGGCCCGCAGGGGCTCCCCAGCCCTGGCGCGTCTCCCTCCGCTTGTCCCCTTTGTCTCTCTCCCGCCTTCTCCCCCACCCTGCTCTCCGTTCTCTCCTCTGAAGATGATGTCATGTGTGAACGTCGCCCAGCCAGAGGCAGCCAGAGGACAGGGACTGGTGACATCCGGGGAAAGGACGCCAGGTGGGGACGGGCCTGCCGGTTTAGCAGACGGTGGCGCCGAGCTGGAGGATCTTCCTTCTCCTGAAGAGTGACAGTGATCGCATGTAAAAGAATGCAGTGCGGGATAAAAATAAATCGGGGCCATAAATAAAGGTGGAATTTAGAATTGCTGGAGCAAGTAACGGTGTCTCTCCTCACAGGCGGGCACCTGCGCCTCTACTCGTGGCCAGCCACTGGGGGGCGCCCGCCGCCTCCTCATCCGCAGGTCTGAACGGAGGGCGACACAGGCCCCTGCCCAGGCCCAGCCTCTGCTTCCCTTCCTGCTGAGGCTCCCTGTCACGCGTGCTGGCATCTTCCTGCACCTCGTCCTGGGCAGGCGTGACCTCAGGCGCCCAACAGGCTGGGGGAGTGAAGTCATTTCCAGAACAGCACCCCCATTAGAAGCCCAGGCTGCTCCTCCCAGTCCCTGTGGGCCCCACAGAAAAAAGTTGAATCCATGCAACAGGTGTGGAACCCCGGATCACCTGCACGCGCCATCCTTCTCTCTGAACCTCGGGGTCCTTCCTTGTTAAATAAAGCCAAGATCTGGAAGATTGTTTTTAAATTTTTAAAATTTTTATTTGCTTGTTTTTTAAAACGGGGCCTCGATATGTAGTCCAGGCTGCCCTTGAGCTCACTATGGACCCCAGGCTGGCCTCAGACTCTCGACAATCCTCCTGCTTCAGCCTCCTCAGTGCTGGGATGACAGGCGTGTGCCACCACACCAAGCTAGAAGGTTCTTAAAGGGGTTCCTAGGCTTTTCCATTCCAAGCCCCCCCCTTGGCATGGCCCCTCCTCAGATGAGCAGATATCTCTCTACCCCTTCCCTCTCTGCCACCCCAGTGCCAGCTCCTGGCCAGGAGTGCTGCCTGCTGTCTATCTGCTCCCCACAGCCCCTCAACCCTCCCTCATCTGCCTGGGAGAGCAGGGTGAGTCCCGAGGTCCCCCCAGTCCCTGCAGCCTCAGAGCCATGCATGCTCCCCCAGGAAAGATAGCCAAGGAGAGACTGGCATGGAGGGGGCAGGGAGGAGGAACAGGAGTTCTCTGGGCCAGGAGAGAGCCCCTGAGGGTGGAATTTGGAGACCTGTCTTAGATGTCAGCAGCTGCGGTGCCAAGGGTGCTGGGAGGGCAGAGGAGCCAGGCTGCCTAGCACAGCAGGCAGTGCCCTGGCTTAGTGGGGCCAGGCTGGGCTCCAGAGCTGATGGTTCCGGGGAGGACACGACAAGCAGCAGGGCAGAGAGGCCGGAAGGGTCCAGGCCCTTAGCAGAGGAAGCTCCCACTCTTCCTTCCGAGCTGGTGGTGGGGAGGACCGGAGGAACAGGGAGGTCCAGGTCCTGGAGCCCCCGGCCGCTCCCCACGCATGTGTTATTCAGGTCACCCTCTTTCACCAGGGCTTTCAGGAAGATGCCTCCCCGCCGCCCCTGGGTTCTGCTCCACTCCGTCAGCCACTGTCTTCCCCAGTCTTCTCCGTATCAGGGAGCTATTTGCACTGTACTAACTCAATATTGTTTTTGTTAACCCACTTTGAACTTAAATACATTTATTTAAGAGGAAAGAGGAGGGGCTGGGGATGTAGCTCAGTGGTGCCTCATGTGCCTGGCAAATGCAAGGTCCTGAGTTCGATCCCTGGTACCAAAAAAAAAAAAAAAGGAAAGCTAAGACAGGCAGAGTGGTGCACATGTCTCCCCAGAACCCTGGGAGGCTGAGGCAGAAGGATCGTGAGCTCCAGACCAGCATGGGCAGTTTAGGGAGTTAGGGAGACCCTGTCTCAAAATTTAAAAGAAATTTAACAAGGGGGCTGGGGATGTAGCTCAGTGTGAAAGCCCTGGGTTCAGTCCCTAGTCCCTGTCTCCCCCAAAAGAGGAATTACTACCTTATTGCCATCCCAAGGATCAATGTTGTCTCGGTCACTTTCTTGTCACCAAGATACAACACTACCTGACATCCATAAATTAAAGGAGAGGTCTATTCTGGCTCACAGTTTGTAGAGGTTTCAGTCCATAGTCGGCTACTCCTAGGCACATGGCACAGGGGCCTAGTGGAAGAGCAGCAGCTCATGGCATGGCAGACAGGAGCAGAGAAAGATCAGCCAGGTGTGGTGGTGCTCGCCTGTTATCCCAGCACTTGGGAGGCTGAGGCAGGAGGATCGCCAACCGTTAGAGGCCAGCTTGGGCTACATAGTGAGTTTAAGGCCAGCCTGAAGTACACACAGTGAAACCATGTCTCAAAAAATAAACAAACAAAACCAAAATGAAACAAAAACTCAGGGAGATCAAGGGGGGAGGAGGAAGATAGACCCTTCCAGGCCACACCCACAGAGGCTATTCCCTTAGACCAGGGTTCACCTCCCAGCTTTGCCTTTAGCTGTAAACTCATTAGTAGGTCATCCACCCACGAGCCCCGGCCCCTGGAGCCAGTCCCCTTCCCAGAGCCCCGCCTATGAGGGCAGGAGGTGGGGGTTGGATCGGGATATAAACCGCAACAAATGCCATGGAACCGACACCGGGCCACTAAACTATGCGACAGTGTTTCTCCTGGAGCCCTTGCTCTGTATCTGGACCTGGCTTGGTAGCACAGCAGGGGATGGTGAATGACAACAGGGACAGACAATGACCCGGGAGCCTTAGGGAGACCTGTGCCCTGGCAGGGGGAGCAGCAGGGAAACAGGAAGCCAGTGGGTGCGGGGCAGTGTGGTGCAGTGATCAGTGATGTCCCTGTAACAATTGTCCTCCACCAAGGGCCGTGTGGCTGAGCAAACCCAGTAGATACCAGGTCAGGCCGGACTCTGTTGGTCCCATGGCTTGGGTTGTCACGGGGTTTCTGAGCCTTGGTAGCCCTCTCTGAAATAAGGGTCACAGTAACACCCCCCGCAGCAGTGTTGGGGCCCCTGGGGGAGTGGCGAGGACGGGGAGGCCTTGCTGAGATGCCGAGCTGTGCGCCCGGAGCTGTTCTTCCCGTGGGGTTCATGGGCAGCAGCCCCAATGTACACACCTCAGCCACGCGGGGAGCATGTGTGCGTGTGCGTCCGCACGTGCGCGCGCGTGTGTGTGTGTGTGTGTGTGTGTTTGGTTTTGTGAGACAGGGTCTTACTAGCCCTAGGCTGCCCTCAAGGTTATGGTGATCCTCCTGCCTCAGCCTCCCAAGTGCTGAGATTATAGGTGTGCAGTACCACACCTGCCCACGGCTTTTCTTGAAGTGCAGCTGGGCCTTCTCTTTCCCCATGTGGTTGGGCAGAGGGTGACTGAGGCTTGGCAGCAGGCCTGAGGATGGTGGCAGTGTCAGGGGAGGAATCGCACGGCGAGGGCTGCCACTCAGGTGGCGGATGTGGGGCGCAGTGCTGTACGGGGGACTGTTTGTCTCCCAAAGAGGTGACTTCTGGAGCAGACGGGACAGAGCTGTCTCACTCAAGGCATGTGGCTGGGGCACCTACTCCAGGGCCAGGTGATCTCTGAGCCAGGACTTGGTGATGTCCCCGGAGGGTGTCAGCGGCAGGGCTGGGCCCGGGCAGCCAGGAGCTCGGTGCTGGAGGGTCAGGGAAGGGAGTGAGAGTTGTGTGTGGGGACCTCTGCCCCCGGCCTGCCCTCCCCGCTTCTGTGCTGTCCTCTGTCCCTTGTGCACCTCTCTAGGGACTTGAGCCTGTGTCTGTTGGGAGGAGACACCAAGACAGGCCAGCAGGCTTGGGCTGTTCTGTCTGCTTCTCTCTCCTTTGAGTCTGTCCCAGCCCATCCTCACTGTCCTCTCTGTGCCCAGCCTCTCCTGTCCGTCCATCTGTCTGTCTCTGGGGCGGGAGGGGAGCAGGGGTCCCTGGGCCCCTTCCTGGGCCCCCAGGCCCTTGGGCAGCCCCCGAATTTCCTGGGGATCCAGCCCTGCCCGGCCCCTTCCCTACAGCCCCAGCCCCAGGGTCCTGTGACCTCAAGTGCTGGTCCGGGGGGCCGGGGCACGTCCTCTTAGAGGACTCTGTGGAAGACAGGCAGTCCCATGTGTCCCCCTCCCGGAGGACAGCCTGAAGAAGGGGGCTGCTCTTAAGAATGACTGCCCAAACCCTCGGAGGAGGAGCGAGCAACTGCCTCCTGGCCTTGCTCCCACCCTTCCCCTGTCTCCCGCTGCACCTTCCACCCCCACCCGGGCCGCCCTTCTGCCCCCTTCTGCCCCCCCGTGGGGGATGGGCGGCCCTTAGGCCCCGCCCCTTAGGGATCCCGGGGGGGGAAGGGTCCCTCCACCGTGACCCCGCGCGCCCCTCTCCCCTCTCGCAGATCCGGAGCGGAGCAGCCCCCCCATGCTGTCTGCGGACGATGCCGAGTACCCGCGGGAGTACCGGACCCTGGGGGGCGGGGGCGGGGGCGCCGGGGGCCGGCGCTTCTCCAACGTGGGCCTGGTGCACACGTCCGAGCGGCGGCACACTGTGATCGCCGCGCAGAGCCTGGAGGCGCTCAGCGGGCTGCAGAAGGCGGACGCCGAGCGCAAGCGCGATGCCTTCATGGACCACCTGAAGAGCAAGTACCCGCAGCACGCGCTGGCCCTGCGCGGCCAGCAGGACCGCATGCGGGAGCAGGTGAGTGGGCCGGGTGAGGTGGGGGTACCGCTGCGCCCCAGGTGCGGCCCAGCTCAGAGGCGTCGAGGGTTGGGGAGGAAGGGCAGGGATGCCTCGCCTCTGAGCGTTCTGAGGCGGGATCCCACCCCGCCCGCCCTTGGGATGTCAGGGAGTTGGGGTGCTTGGTTGGGCAGCTCGGGGCCTCCGCAGGCTGGATCTGGGGGTCCCGGGCCTTGCGAGGACCATGTCAGAAGGAGGCCTTTACCTCCGTCCTCCCCGGCTCTCCGGCCCCCACACTCGCTGTGTGACTCGGAGCTGGAGGCCTTGGGTTTCTCACTTCTGCCAGTGAGGCTTAGAGGGGAGCTGGGCCTCAGCGCCTGTAGCGGGACCTCGGGCTCCTTGTGTGGGATCCTTCAGGTCCCGGGTGCCCCTCCCCGCGCACGCACCCGCGTCTCCTCCAGTCCTGCCTTTCGGATTTGTGGATGCTGAGTCCTCCTGTCTGCGGAGACGCAGGCCTTGTCACCGGGAGAAGGGATCGGGTGGTCTGCATCCCAGCAGCCACCTTTCCAGCAAGCCTTGGGGTGTCAGTCCCTGCTCCCACCTGTCTAGCTCCCTCTCCCTTTTCCGCGTACTCCTGGATGCCCCGCCCCACCCTCCCTGCAGGAACGGGGCACAGGGACACGTCCCGGTGCCTTGTGGGTCCCCTAGTGTCACCCGGAGTCCTCCTGGGAGCGGGGTCCAGCGGCCGCCCCCCTGGGGTTCCCCTCGCTCTGCCATCAAATGCCTCTAGCTGGGGAGAAAGGAGGATTGCATTTTGGATGACGGGCACAGTAAGTCCGGAAGGGGGCGGGCTTCCTGGAGGAGGAGGCAGCCTAACCCGGCCTAGGTGGGTGCCAGGGTTGCACAGGGAGAGGAAGAGAAGGTTGTTTCAGGGGGTTCGGGGGAGTGGCATGAGCATAGGCCTTCATTGCTTTGGGGGGTGGTACAGACCCCTTGGGTGGTACAGAAGGCTTGGGGGGAGGCAGTGGGACGCACGGGGACAGCTGACGAAGTGGGGCTAGAGGGTGGGGACCGGGAGGGCTGGGGTTGTTTCCGATGAGGAGGAGGAGAGGAAGAAGGGAAGAGTGGATCAAGGAGGGCGGAGGAAAGGGGTGCGTGGTGGGGGGCACTAAGCGAGAGCTGTTTGCTGCCGGGATGGAGGAGGCAATGACAGAAAACACCTGGGTGACAGGAGATACCGGTAGCTGGGTGGGAAAGGCTTGAGGGAGTGGAGAGGCATATAAGCAGGCGAGGAGCGGGCGGGGCCTCTGGAGTAGCCACGCCCCTGGCGCATGCGCACAGACCAACTGCGGAGGGACAGGGGTGCTGGAAACTTGACGAGTGGAAGCACAGGGCCAGCCAGGCAGAGCGGAGTCCAGGGGGGAAGAGCACTGTGATGGTCGGAGAGCGGGACCAGGAACCTGCCACCATGAGGAGGAGGAGGAAGGGCCCTGCAGGAGGGGCGCGCAGCGGGCTTACCTGCACTTCGGAAGTCCAGTGGGTGGGCACAGGGACAGCCATGGGGAGCCGTGGGTCCACGGGGCTGAGCTGGTTCCTCCTGGTGCAGCGGAGGAACAGCCGGTTCAGGGGTCAGGGTGATCGGGGACGCCAGGGCCTTGGAGCTGTGAGCACGCACCTGTCCGGGGAGGTTTGGCTGGAACAGGATGGGGACAGCCAGGCAGTAGCTTCAGGGGGCACAGGGCTGGGGAGAAGGTGTGGACCTGTCTGGTGGGCCTCGTAGCGCCCAGCTTGTTGGGCCAGCGAGCACTTAGCCCTCAGCAGACATTTAGGGAGGGAGTCAGACCTCGCCACTCAGCTTCCTTCCTCTATCAGACTTCCTTCCCGCCCCAGAGGGTGAGTGGCAGGACCTGGCTCGTCCCCTTGGCACGCAGTGCTTGTGTCTAAACGTGCCGCAACCAGCAAACATTGAGGGAAGGAGGCACGGACAGAGAAAGGGTGCAGCTGAGGGCCAGAGACCCAGCACAGGGCCAGAAGAAATCAGGCCAGGTGGCTCTGGCATAGGAGAAGGACATCATTTCAACAGAGATGGCAAGAAAGACAGGTGTTGGGTCAGGGATGTAGCTCAGCAGTGCAGAGGCTGCCTAGCAAGTGCGAGGCCCTGAGTTTGATTCCTGGTATGAAAGAGAGAAAGAAAGAAAGAAAACCAAAGAAAGACAGATGAGCTTTTGGGGCAGGGACTGCTGAAGGGAGACCATTCCTGCCCAGGGGTCCCTTCTCTGTAAGGTGGAGGTGACACCTAGGTGAGGAAGCAGATGGAGAAGGCCAGGTGTGCAGGGGAGAGGGCACAGGAGGCGGGGTGCAGTCAGGACCTGGACATACACCTTCCAGGGGTGTCTGCAGGGAAGGCCGTCCCAGCCCCCTGATCCCATGTGTGAGACCAGGCAGACCCCAGGCCCTAGACTGAGACCCAGCCAAGGGAAGAGACCCACTGTCCCCTGCAGCAAGGGCTACGTGCCATCGCCTGCCCCAGGAGCACCCCGCCCTGCCCTGCACGGCCCCAGCCCACTCCCCCTAATGGGGTGTCCCCCGCTTCACACACGCAGGTTGGCGGCTGGACCGTGGACCCCGTGTGCCTCCTCAGCTCCCTCTGCTCCCACCTGCATGGTGACTCCACGCCCTCCGGGGCTGGCCAGCCCGCCCAGGTGAGTCACACCTCCCGCCTGGCCCCAGACCCACGGCGGGCTCGGCTTTGGGGAGGCTTTTTGGTTTTTAATTTTTAGAGGGGGGGATATTCCAAATTTTTATTTTGCCCCCCCACCCCAATTTCAGGAGACTTCTGTGGCCTGTACCAACATGTCCCCTGACCTTCCATTCCTGCCCCTGCCTCCTAGACCTGCTTGGTTTGGAAGAAGGGAGTTTTTGAGAGACAATACTCAGAATTTAAAATCATATTCTATCCCCTTCCCCTTTAAACAGGACAATCCTGCCTTGCTCTGTGGGTCTGCAGGGGCCTCTTATTCTTTCCCCCACCAAAGATCACCTTAGTCCCCTGGCCACACCTCCTCCCCTTTTCTGAGCTGAGCCATCAGGAAGTTCTGCATGGGGTCCCCCTTCCCTTGCTAGGTCCAAGGCTTAACCTCAGTTCTTAGAAGACTAAGACATCAAGCCCCTGGTGCCCTGGTCCCCATCAGGCCTGTTTCCCTGGTGGGGAAGAGGATCTCAGTGTAGACAGAAGGATGCTTAGGACTCCGGGGCTGGGCCGCCAGCTCAGGCCAGGACAGGGACAGGGGAAGATAGGAATCTGTGGCCCAGTGTGCGTGTGGGGGTTGGAAGTCGGCGTGTGGTGGGGAGGGGCAGCTCAGGGAGGTCTGGACTTGGGGACGCCTGCGCCTCCTAGAGAAGGGTGACAGGGCTTGACACTTCCAAGGAAAATGAAATGGGAGAAAACTGTGACCACCTAAGAAATATGTTTCCAGAGGACGGGCGTTTGAGCAGGGCATAACCAAGCTCTGGCTTTAGACTGCCACAGCTGGCAGCCCTCATGGGCGTTTAGCCTGCTTTCTTTCCGACTCCTGGGTCCATCTTGGCTGAATTTAAGGACAGGGATGTGTTTGCCTCTGGGGCTGGGTACCAAGGGTGTGTGGGGGCCGGCGTGGAAGGGACGGGGTGGGGACGGGCAGGGAACAGGTGCAGTGTTCGCAGGCAGGTTCAGGTCCTCCGGGAGGAGGCTTAGGGCGGTGGGCAGGGCAGGTGTGGGGCTGGGTGTCTTGAGCTCATTTGTCCCAGGGGTAAAGCCCAGTCTCCACATCTGGAGTCTGCTCCTGCGGGGGCTGGGAGAGCTTGCGGGACCTTGCCTGGGGTTGGTAATGACCGGGGAGGGTGGCGTGCCCAGGAAGGGCCACTTATACCCCAGGCCTGAGGCAGAGGACCAGAGACATTGGGCAAAGGGCCAGAGTCACACAGCAGGGCAGGATCAGAGGCCATCAAAGAAACTTCAGCACTGCAGGCCTCCCACACTTTGTCAGCGATGAAGTCATGGCATGATTAAAAGGGCAGAGGTGCACAGCTGAGACCCCGGGAGGGGGCCTGGGGGCTGGGAAGGTGGCGGCAGGTCAGACGCTGGGGGTTGGGATGGTGAAGGGGACCCTGGGAAGGGACCGGGCCGGGGCCCCTCCCCCACGCCGCCACCGGGCTGGCCCCCCGCCCTCCCCCCTCTGCAACCCGAGTCCCGGGCGGCGGGCCGGAGGATCGGGTGACCGCGGCGACGCAGCTGCCAGCCTCCGCCACGCTCTCTCTCGGCGGGGCCGCGCGGGGAGGGGGCCTCGGCTGGATGTGCACGGCCGCGCGCCGCGCCGCGCCAGGTGGAGTCGTGGTTACCGGGGCGACCGGGGCCCGGGCCGGCGCGGCGGCGGCGCTCGCACTGCAGCAAAGGGCACCGCGGCGGCGGCGGTGGAGGCAGCCGGGGGAGGGGACAGCCCGGGTGCGCAGAGGGGAGCGGGGACGCCTTCCCTCCTTCCCCGCCCACGCGGGACCCGGCTCGGGGACCCTGGCGTCTGCACCGGTAGCCGTAGGTAAGGGAGAGCGGCTGCGGAGCCCGGGCGCTGCTGGGGTTCGGCAGGGAGTGAGGGTCACCGAGATGGGGGCGTCCGCGCGGCGGCCACGAGGGGCGGTGCGGCATCTGGGGCGCAGCCGTTGCGGGTTCCGGATCCTGAGAAACGCCCCCTCCCCTCCCCCACCGCATTCGGGGCTACCGCATGGGCCGCCCCCTGCCCAAACGCGGAGGGCGGGCGCCCCCTCCCTAGCCCCGGAAAGTCATGACCTTCGCGGGTGTCGCTCGCACGCCGGAGAGAGGGTCGCGCGTGTGCGTGGCCATGGGAGCTGGCCTCGCCCCAAGCCACGGGCGGGTGTTTTGGGGACGGGTGTTCACGCGAGTTGGAGGTGGGTGTGTGCGCCGGAGCGCGCCAGGCTGCGCACCCGTGGGCTGCCCCTGCAGGGTGCTTTGTGGGGCTCGAGGTCAAGGAGGGGTCATGCGCGCATCTACTACAGGGGACGTTGGCCCAGAAGAGGGCAGAGACCTGGCTGGCCCGGCTGGGTCCCTGCGGGCTCAGCCCCGCCCTCCTAGGGCCGGGTTGGGGGTCAGGGCAGCTGCAGCACAGGGGCACCCCCAGGACTCGAGGGAGGGGGCGTGCACTCCGCACCCCCAGCGGGAAAGAGCTGTTTGTTGCAGTCCCCTGGCCTGGGAGGTCCCCGGGGAAGCCCCCTCCCTCTTTCTGAGAGCCCTGTCCCGAGGGAAGGTTGCCTTCCATCTTCCTCTGAGAACCCGCGCATTTGCCCGGCTTCCGGAGGTGTCTTCCCCGCCAGCTCCAGCGGGGTTCTCTGCAAGGTCCCCTCGCAGCTCTTTCCTCCCTGAACCCTCCCCGAGTACGGGGCAGAGACCCCGCTTTGCTAGGTAGTGGCTGTTCTCCTGCTGGCCAGCCAGACCTCCTAACGGGGCTTTTCTGGGGCTGGGAATTCCTTGGGAACAAGCCAGGAGGTGCCGGGAGCAGGGCCTGAGCTGCACCCCTCCCCCGGGCTGCTCCTTTTATTTCCTGCCACTTATTAGTTGAGAACCTGCTCCAAACCGGGCGCTGGGCTGGGCACACAGCAGGAACCCACACCCAGGAACAGGGGGCTGGAAATTGGACAGGAGGGTCCCCCTTGGAGAATAGGGGCGGAGCACCCTGGGAAGAGCAAAGCCGGTCGCCTCCCCAGCGGCCTCTTCCCTGTGGCTCCGGCTTTGGGGACCTGGAGTTGCCAGGAGACCATGTGCCTGGTTCCTGGGGGCCAGTGTGGAAGCAGCTTGTTCTCCCCACTTTTCTGATTGAGGACGGGGCTGAGCCAGAGGTCCCAGGGTTCTGGTCCCAGAGTTCTGATCCCAGTGCCCCTCGGATGTCCAGGTTCCTCAAGTACTCTCGCAGCACCTGTTCCATCTGCCTTTCCCTGGGGCTTGATGGACCTCTGCTGTGATACTGATGCCACCGCATCCTCCCCTTGTGCTGTTTTGTGACCTGTCCCTTCCAGTGACTGTCTCAGGCATAGGCACAGGCTTGGGTCCCTGGGGGAGGCCACACTGAGGGGACAGCTGGGGTGACTGTATCCAGGCCCTGCCCCTGCCTCCTTCTCAGGGGGGTTCCAGTCACCTGCACAGGGTACCCCCAACTCACTGTGCCGACCCCGGAAGGGGGGGCATCTTTGGCCTCTTTGGATCCACGGGGTCACCTCTTTGACACATGATGTGTGGGACATCCTAGGCCTGGGTCAGGCAGAGGTGGCTGGAGGTGCCCACCCCCAGCTAGGAGGAGGAAGGAGGGGGGCTTTTTCCTGAGCCCAGAGTGTGTGCTGTGTGCCATTCTGAATGTGCCCCACAGCTGGTTATTTAGGGGCCCAACACTGGGGTGGGTTAAGGGTGGGATCAAGCAGTGCCCACGCCTGTGCTCCAAGACCAGGCGCAGTGCCTGTGACAGCGTGGGTGTGCACGAGTCAGGCCCTGGGCTGCGCGTGTGTGCACGGGACCTGGGTGTCCCTAGGATCTCTGAGTTTCTGGGGCTGTTGGTGACGCTGTCCCTGCAGACGAGTGTGTTTGGTTGCTGTGGGTGTATCCACAGTGTCCTCACTTGAGGATGTGTATGTGTGTGCACTGCTCTGTGCAGACCCGAGGCTGCCTGTGTCCTGTAAAGTGGAAGAGACCAGAGAGGGTACGGGGTCCTCTCTGCAGAGATGACTCCCATCAGAAACCTCCCAGTGCCCTCAGCCTGACTCTGCCCACCCCCGTGCATCCACTCCCTCCACCACCCTCCACTTCCGAGGCCACCAGCAGCTGTGGCTGGAGCCTGTTAGCACCCCCTGGCAACCCCGGTGTGTGGGGGGGCCTGCGTCCGGAGATTACTCCAGGCCTTAGCTCGGGTACAGACTTTGGTGTCTGCTTCTCATGGCTGGTGTGTGATGATTTCATGTTTTGGATCCAGCGCTTGGTGGAGATGAGGATTGTGTTCCTGGTAGGGGCAGCCCCGTCAGGAGAACTGGCCTGTGCCACCCCCACCCAAAGGGCAAAGCCTCCACCCACAGGACCCCCACTCAGCCCCTTTCTATCTCCCCTGCCATGAAAGCGTTCGGTGGTACAGGACCCGCTTACATGGCATCCTCCCATCAGGAACCCCCGATGTCCCTGTGCCCTGCAAGTGACTGAGGCCTGGGGAATCTTGTCTGCTTGTGCCAGGCACCCCAGAGCCGAGCCATCTGCTGCCTCTGTCCTCCTGCTGAGGCTGGCACTGGTCAGCAGGGTGCCTTCAGCTTTGCCAAGAACCAGTCTGGCCTCAGGGCCGCCCTTTCCTTGTCCCCAGCCATCTGGAAGGGCCTGCTGGTCTCTAGGGAATGCAGGAGGACCCCAGGTTACTCATCTTGAATCTCAGTCCCCCCATTGTAGGAATGTGAGGGCATATAGGGTCGCTCCTCTGCCATCTCTACCGCTGCAGGACATTGTGCCTGACCCAGCCTCCTTCACTCCCTTTGCTGCCACAGCACCCCACCTCTTGCCCAGCTCTGGGGTGTCACTGTCCTTCTCTGACCCACAGGGCCCTGTGTTCACCTTTGGCTCAGGCCTGTGGGACCCCTTCGCATCCCACTTGCCTGCTCTCTGTTTGCCCCCACTTAAACCTCCACTGCCTGGCTCAGTCCCCTTTGCAGTCCAGCCTGCTCCTCCCAGGCTGCACCAGCTGAGCTGGACTCCGAGTGTCTGTCACACCCTCCCGGTGTTGTCCCTTCTACTAGGTGCACCTCTCCCCCCATCTCTACCTGCTTAGTCTCTAAGGCCCTGCTCCAGTGCCACCTTTTCTGGGAAATTTTCCTGGCCTGCCAAAACCAGCAGCCATCACCTCTGACCCCATGGCCTTGACATGTCATCGTCCCTCTTTTGATGCTTGTAGGTTCCCTGTGTCATGGTCATCTGTGCCCTTTCCTACCTGTGGCTCTCTGGGGATAGTTCCTATTAACTGGAATTTGGCTGCCAACATCTGGAATCTTCTCCTGCTCCCACCAGTAGGCTTGCAGCCTGCCCATCCTGGGCCCCCCGAGTGACCAGGTCCCAGTGGAAATGGGAAGTTCAGGCACTGCTTCCTTCCTGCTCCTAGAAGGGTGAAGGGCCCATGAGCCAGGTCTGAGGACCGAGCTCCAAGGGTCTCTGCCCTGCCCTGCCCCTCCCAGCCCCCTCTTAACCATCTCTTCTCTTATTTCCATCAGCAGCCAAACTACTGGAGTTTCAAGGTCAGTGTGCGATGCTTCTGCTGCCATGACAACTGCATGTGTCCCCTGCCCACCTCCCTTGCACATGCTTGGCACCGGGTGTACATCTGCACGGACCCCCTCTGGTACGGGTGGTGGGCTACAGGCCGTGGCTGCTGCGTCTCAAATCTGGGCTCACCTGCCGGGGGCTTGGGACCCAGAGGGGGAGTTCGGGCGACCCCTGCTGGAGATCCTGACCCTCTGTCCCCAAGTTTCTGCAGCCCCCAGGGGTATTTTGGAGCAAGGGGTATTTTGGAGCCTGACATTCCTCCAGCTGAGGCAGGGACTGGGCCTCCATGGGGAGGCCTGCTCAGTGCCAGGCAAGACACACTCAGGGCCCCTGTACCTGAAACCTTTTGCCCAGGGGTGGGGCCTTCCTGCCTCCTCCGGAGAGGTTGGATTGTCCAGCACTGGGCACTGTCTGCCCTTCTTGGGCACCTTGCCCATCCCCCGTGCCTGGGCTCAGAGCTGGGGGAGCAGGTTCAACTGCTGCCTGTTTCCCAGAGTCTCCAGCTCTGGGATCCCAGGCCTCATGACGGGGGTGCCCACCCTCCATCCCCCACAAGGCTTGTTCGAGTGGGTGCTCCGGAGCACTGCAAGGGCTCTCAAATCGGAATCATGGAATCCTAGAATTCAGGTCAAGCTCAGCCTCTGGAGGATGGAGGAGCTATGTAGTAGTGGTGAAATGCAGGGCCTGAGAGAGCCAGAGCTGCCTGGTGGCAAAGTCCAGCCTGCTGCTAAGTAGCAGGGTAACTTGAGGCAATTTACATAATGACCCAGGCCTCAGTTTCTCCTCTGTAAAGTGGAACAATGCCTGTACTATATAGAGTTGTTGTAAAGATAGAAAAAAGGTGAGAAAAACGCTTGCTCTTAGCAGCACCCAGCTTGCAGGGAGCCTCATGTGCTAGCTGCCTAATTCAGCCTGGCAGCCACTGACCTTTCAGTTGCCTAGCAACCCTGGGACCACCAGCCCAGCCGTGGTTCCCCACAGGGCCACAGGGCTCGCCATCCTTCCTGGGGCTACTTCCTACACTGCCCCTCCTTCTGAGACCCCTGCCACCCACTGCAAGGGCTCACTGTGCTCGAAGCTGGAACCCTCTCGATGACCCCAATTCTGACCTTCTCTGTCCCCAAGCCCTCAAGGCCACCTTGGGGACAGCTGGGCATAATGCCAATTGGAGAAAGATGTTCTCTCTTTTCCAGAGCGCTAATCCAATTGGAACATTAAATTGAGCTAGTAAGAAGATAGAGATTAATTAGGGTTAATCAGGATTTGGGGAAATAGAGAGCTGAAGAGGAGAATGAATTATTCCTTTCTAGAGATGCTTTTTTATTACTGTCTTTTTAAAATTATAAAAGTAATATATTCTGATTTTGGACAATTCACTCAATTTTGTAGAGAAATGTATAAAGTTAAAAGTGAAAGCTCTCAACCCAGAGCTAGCTAGTGTTAGTGATTTTGAATGATTTGTTATTAAAAACAGACAATTTATTTTACAGAAAAATACAATTGGGCAACATGATTCTTTTTGTTTGTTTGGTTTTGATTTTTGAGACAGGCTCTTGCTATGTAGTCCAGGCTGCCCTTGAACTCACTATGTAGCCCAGGCTGTCCTAAAACTCGTGGCAATCCTCCTGCCTCAGCATCCCGAGTCCTGGGATCACAGGCATGTGCCACCACACCTGGCAGAACATGATTTTTGTGACAATAAATGTATATATAATATATCCATGCATTTAATGTATGTAACATGGACTGGTGTAGGTCTCATTCATTATCTTAACTCCCTTAAATAAATGTACAGCATCAGGGCCAAGGATTTAGCTTAGTGGCGCCACACCTGCCTCGAAAGTACAAGGTCCTGAGTTCTGTCCCTGATACCGGAAAAAAAAAAATTACCTAACAAATGTACAGCAACTTGGTTTTAGGGAAAGGACTGGGTAAGAAGGGCAGAGGCTGTGTCCCCGGTGACAGCCCCAGGCTTCAGCCAAAAGTAGGGTCTTTTTTAAGAGGACAAAGGGTTTATTTAGCTTACAATTTGTAGAGGTTTCAGTCCATAGTTGGCTGGCTGCAAGGCAGGGTGGCAGAGGGGCAAGAGTTCATGGCAGCAGAAGACAGGAAAATGAACAAGAGAGAAGTAGGGTCTTAAAGTACAATTGCAATCATAGTATGACACCCCTTCCCCCCCAGGATAGACCATCGTGCTGTCCTGGGACACCCTTCTACCCCTAGCCAGATCTCTCCCTCAGCTGTAGCCTCAGGGAAGGGGTGTCCTGCTGGGGCCTGGCTGGCTGTGTAGCAGCTCGTGCCTGGCAGGGAGGGACCGGAGCCTGGCAGGCATGCCATGTGCTCCCGTGCACCGAGCCGGGATGCGCATGCGCACTGGGCCAGGGAGGTAGTCCGCTGGCTCCGAGGGGTCTGGTATGGCTGTCTGGGTCACTCTGAAGCAAGGACACTGTTCGTGCCAGCTCCACAGGGCCCACGCCTCCCCACACCAGGACCCCAGAGTTCCTTACTTTCTTTGCTTTCTCCCTGGGCCCTGCTTCCCCTGCTCCCCACCCCAACTCTCTGAATAAATTCGCCGCTCATAAACCCGCCGCTTAATTAATGTCTGGAACTAATGCCCCAATTTGCTCAACGATTCTGCTGCTCACCTCGGTGACAAATTCTTGTTGTTCTTTGGAAGCTTAAAATAGCAGGCTTGCCCGAGGCTCCCGCTCAGATGGTTTCTGACTGGTTTCTGGGGGTGCCTGAGTCCTCTGCCCAGTGCTAAGCTGCTAGGTGTCCCGGGGAGGCCAAGGCCCCGAGCGAGAGATGGGGGGACTGTCCTGCAGGCACACGGAGAGTCTGGGGTGCAGGAGCCCCTCCTGTGAGAGCGTGTGAGTGTCACTGGCCGGCCGGCTTCCTGTGAGCTGGCTGTGGCTGAGCTCCTCTCACCCTGCCCTGCCCTGCAGACCCGAAGCTCGCGCCACACTCAGGGAGCCCAGCCGGGACTGGCGGACCAGGCAGCCAAGCTGTCCTACGCCTCGGCTGAGTCACTGGAGACCATGTCGGAGGCCGAGCTACCCCTGGGCTTCAGCAGGATGAACCGCTTCCGCCAGAGCCTGCCCCTTTCCCGCTCTGCCAGCCAGACCAAGCTGCGCTCGCCAGGTACCGCCCAACCTGAGCGCCCGCCGCCTCCGCCGCAGGCTCCGCCTCCCCGCCCCTCCCAGCCCGGCCCCTGCACCCTCGCACTGGCCCCGCTCAGAGCTCCCCGCCCCCCCAGACCTCCTCCCCGTCCCTCTCCCTCGCCATCCCTTATGCCCTTCTCTCTCTGCCCTTTCTAACCCTACTTCCTTCTCCCTTTCTCTGTCCCCCTCTTCTCTAACTACCCCCTCTGTCTCCCTAGCACTCTGCTGTTTCTGCCCCACCGGCGCTGCCCTGGTCCCATCCCACGCCCCGATCCGGGCTCCGGCTGCCCGGGGTCCAGTGGGTGTTCGGGCAGCCGGCAGCATGAGCGCCTGGGTTCACCTTCACTCGGGGGCAGCGTCGGGCCTCAGCCCGTGCCGCTGTGGGGCCGGTGCAGCTCCCGAGAGCCCCCGTCGCTCTCCTCGGGTGTCTTTCGCAGGGGTGCTGTTCCTGCAGTTCGGGGAGGAGACGCGGCGCGTGCACATCACGCACGAGGTCAGCAGCCTGGACACGCTCCACGCGCTCATCGCGCACATGTTCCCGCAAAAGCTCACCATGGGCATGCTCAAGTCGCCCAACACCGCCATCCTCATCAAAGACGAGGCGCGCAATGTCTTCTACGAGCTGGAGGACGTCCGGTGGGCGCGGCCTGGGGATGGGTGGGCGGGCCTCCCCCAGCTCCTTCCACCCCCCCCCAACCTCCCGCCTCTGCAGGTTCCCCGGGCCCAGGTTAACCGGAAAACAGCCTGAGGAGGAGGGGTGGGCCAGGCAGGAGCTGCTGTGTGCAGGGGGTGGCGGGCAGCCCGAAGGACTTAGGAAGGGGTTAGGAGTCCTCGTCCCTCGTGCCACCCATCTCTGCCTGGAGCAGCTGCCCCTCCATATTGTGCAGGCTGGGGGACACGCGGTGACCCTCTGCATCCCCCCAGGGACATCCAAGACCGCAGTATTATCAAGATCTACCGGAAGGAGCCGCTGTACGCTGCTTTCCCTGGATCCCACCTCACCAACGGGGACCTCCGGGTACAGCTGGGATGCCCGGGGCACTGGGGAGACTGGGTGGGTGGGTCCTGGCAGGCGGGGTGCAGGCGAATGTCGGGGACCGGGAGAAGGGAGATGAACGAGGCAGAGGGCAGGCCCTGCTAACTGGGGTCCTGGAGGGGCCCTTCCTGCTCCCCTTCGCCCCTTCCCCTTGCCCGCCCCACTGTGACGTGGGTTAAGGGTGGCCCCGTCGAGGCTCTCCAGCTGCCACTGACCCTCGTGCTGGGAACCCTGATGGGAAGGGGCCCAGGATGCGACAAAAACGGACTGGACTGGGGGGGTGGTGCAAGGAAGGGGCAGGGACCCCTTTGTGACCCGCCCGTGGGGTCTTGGGGTGTCTTCCGCAGAGAGAGATGGTGTACGCGTCGCGGGAGTCGTCGCCCACGCGGCGTCTCAACAACCTGTCGCCGGCCCCGCACCTGGCATCCAGCTCGCCACCGCCCGGGCTGCCTTCGGGGCTGCCTTCGGGGTCGCCGTCGCGCTCGCGCCTGTCCTACGCCGCAGGGGGGCGCCCGCCCTCGTACGCCGGCAGCCCGGTGCACCATGCGGCAGAGCGGCTGGGGGGCGCCCCGGGGGCGGCGACGGCGGGGGCGCAGGGAGTGAGCCCCAGCCCCAGCGCCATCCTGGAGCGGCGCGATGTGAAGCCTGACGAGGACCTGGCGGGCAAGGCGGGCGGCATGATGCTGGTGAAGGGCGAGGGCCTGTACGCCGACCCCTACGGGCTGTTGCACGAGGGCCGCCTGAGCCTGGCGGCGGCCGGCGAACCCTTCGCGTTCCCGGGCGCCGGCGGGCTCTACAAGCGCGGCTCGGTGCGCTCGCTCAGCACCTACTCGGCCGCCGCGCTGCAGTCCGACCTGGAGGACTCGCTCTACAAGGCGGCGGCCGGCGGCGGCGCGCTCTACGGCGACGGCTACAGCTTCCGCCTGCCGCCCTCATCGCCGCAGAAGCTGGCGGACGTGGGGGCGCCCCCCGGCGGACCTCCACCGCCCCACAGCCCCTACTCGGGCCCACCCAGCCGCGGCTCGCCCGTGCGCCAGTCCTTCCGCAAGGACTCGGGCTCCTCGTCCGTCTTCGCTGAGAGTCCTGGGGCCAAGACGCGCAGCGGCACCGGAGGCGCCTCTGGAACTGGGGTCCCCCCGCCCGAGCTCTTCCCCGGGCCCGGGGAGCGCGCGCTCGTGGGCTTCGGGCCACCAGTGCCAGCCAAGGACTCAGAGACCAGGTGAGGGGCACTCGAGAGGGTGGGGTGGGGAGAGCAGGCGCCACCGAGGGCGTAGCCTACGGGTACCATTCCGGGGCTCAGACATCCCAGGGTCCTTGGTACACCTGGCCCTTGACAGCCGGGCAGTGCCATTTCTCTTCCATCTGAAAGTCTTAAAGGGTGGGTGAGAGGGGCCCGGAAACGGACTTTGAGACCTGGGTTTGCATTTATCACCTGAGTCTCAGTTTCCTCAACAGTAGATAAGGGGCCCAACCAGCCCTTTGCAGTGCCTTTCCAACCGGGACAAGGCACTGGCAGCCGAAGAGCTGTCCACCACAGGGCCAGCTGAAGTGCACTAGGGAGGGGTGCTGATAAGAAATGGGGCCGGGGCTGGGGATTTAGCTCAGTGGTTCCGGCGCCTGCCTCGCAAGCACAAGGACCCGAGTTCGATCCCCAGTACCAAAAAAAGAAAAAAGAAAAAAAAAGTAGGGACGGAGCATGCTGGTGCATGCCTATAATCCCAGCACTCAGGAGGCTGAGGCAGGAGGATCGCTGAGGGGGTCGAGGCCAGACTGGGCTACATAGTGAGACCCTGTCTCAAAAAACAAAACAAAAATAGGGACAGAGAGAGAACCCCATTCCGCTCCTTAGTCTCCAGGCTGCAGACCCCTGGCCCATTACTCAGTGCCATCCTGACCTCTGCCCTCAGACAGCACTCCTGAGAGAGAAGCCAGCCAGGCGTGATGGAGCACGCCTGTCATCCCAGCACTTGGGAGGCTGAGGCAGGAGAATCACCGCAAGTTCCAGCTAGCCTGGGCTATGTAGCAAGACCCTGTCCCTCCACCCCCCAAAAAAGAGATTATCCAACCGCACACTGCACTGGGTTCTGTTGATGCCAGTCCTTGCTCTGGTCTAGGGGGAGACGTAAAAAATTCTTGTACTTCCTTTGGATGCTGTGGGAGGAGGGCTTCTCAAGGCTACTGGGGGCTTTGGGATGGCTTGAGAGGCAGGGAGAAAAGTGTGGGGACTATGCCGAGAATGAAGAGGTCAGCTGGGAACGCACAGTGGGGACACAGGGGCTTGGTCCTTAGGCACGGGGTCCCTTTGTATGCTGGCAGCTGGGGATGGAAGGCATTTGCTGTGGTCACGAGTGTTAGGAGTGGGGCCAGGGAGGAGGGACCCAGGCTGGGGAAGGGCTGCTGAGAGCCACCTCCTCCCCAGGGAGCGCATGGAGGCCATGGAGAAGCAGATCGCCAGTCTCACGGGCCTGGTACAGAGCGCCCTCCTTCGGGGCTCGGAGCCTGAGACCCCCAGGTGAGCCCCTCTCTGCCACCATGGCCAGGGCCTGGGCTTGGAGCAGGAAGTGGGTAGTGGGCATTGGGAGCGTGGGCTCAGCTCTGTCGATGTGTCACTGTGCGACCTTGAGTCCCTTGCTTCTCCGGGAGCTGGAGGAGACGATATCTCCACCTGACGGTCTGGGGCTCGCCTGGACCCCTGATGCCCATTTTCTTTCCCTGGGCCACAGTGAGAAGATTGAAGGGTCCAATGGGGCAGCCACCCCCTCAGCACGTGAGTGACCCTGCCCTCCATCCCCACAGGTCCTTGCCCTCTGAGCTTCAGTTTCCCAATCTATAAAGTGGGTGTCTCACGGTCATGACATCAGTGGGCTTTTAGTGAATAAAGAAGTCATTTTAGTCCAAGATATCACTGCCTGGTGCCTTGCACCCCATTGTTAGCACAAGGAGGCCATGTGCCTCTGGCTACAGGGTGAGGTCAGGCCTGGGGAGGATCTGCCCTGGCGCCTCTCAGGCTTATTTTGTGCCCTTTCTCTCATCCTCAATGTCCCTCTCTGCAGAGTGCGGGTCAGGCAGCCGCAGCAGTGGGGCCACCCCGGTGTCCGGCCCTCCCGCGCCCTCGGCCAGCGGCGCCCCTGCGGAGAAGCCCACGGCAGTCAGCCGTCTCCAGATGCAGCTGCACCTGCGCGGCCTGCAGAACAGCGCCAGCGACTTGCGCGGCCAGCTGCAGCAGCTGCGCAAGCTCCAGGTACCGCCCCTGCCGGGCACCCCGCCCCAGACTCCTCCCACTACCCCGCCTACCCTTCCCCGCCCTACCAGCTCCCTCGAAATCCCTCACGGCTCTGTGGTCCGGGTCTGATTCTCCAGCCCTCGCCCCTGCCTGCCTCACTTGTCTTTCTCGAGTTCCCCCCCCCCCGCCTCGGTCCCACCACTTCGGCCCATCTGTCCTCATCAGTACCTCTCGGGGACGTCCTCCCCCCTCCCTGAGCCCCGCCGGTCTGCCCCGCCCCGCCTGGCAGATGGTCCCACCTGTCAGGGGCCTGGCACCGCCGTGCCCGCTCCTCATCAGGTGAGGATAATGCGCAGAGACAGGCTGGGGAGGGGGCGGGCAGTGGCCATCTGGGCGACCGCTAAGATCTCGCCCACCTCCCGTCAGCTGGGCGTGGAACTAGGTCGGACCGCCCCAGACTGTCAGCCCCAGTGCTGAGAGCCCTTCTTCCCAGCCCCTACCCCATTCAGGCTGCTCCGAGCCGCAGCCACACGGCCACGGTCAGGAAGTCCTTCCGGGGCCCCCTGTTCCCATCCCGCTGTCTCGCCTCTGCTTTCCCAGAACTTCCCCCTGCCACCTTCCCTCCCCTGCCGACCGGCCCTCCCTCTGCCCGGGCCCGTGGAGCCCCGCTGCCTCCCAGCCTGGTCCACGCGCCCGCCCTCACGCCCCGCAGCTCCAGAATCAGGAGTCGGTGCGCACGCTGCTGAAGCGCACGGAGGCGGAGCTGAGCATGCGCGTGTCAGAGGCGGCGCGGCGGCAGGAGGACCCACTGCAGCGACAGCGCACCCTGGTGGAGGAGGAGCGGCTGCGCTACCTCAACGACGAGGAGCTCATCACCCAGCAGCTCAAGTGAGGCTGGGCGCGGCGGCGGAGGGAGGGGCCGGCGCGGGCACCTGGGTTGACCCGCAGCCTGACTTCCCCGGGAGGCGCAGCTCCGTCGCAGTGACGTGGGTCTGTTCTGAAGCCTGACGTCCTCCGCCGTGGCCTGGTTTCTCTGTGACCCACAAACCTCTGATCACCTGGCATACTTCCCGATTTCTCTTCCTGGCCCGGTGCCTCCTTTTGCTGTGGTCTTGCTTCCCAGTGACCCGCCTGGCTCTCTGTGGCCCCTGTGGCCCGCCGCCTGCTTTCCTTCTGCCTTCTGCCTGCTTTCCTTCTGGCCTGTGACTCGTGCACAGTGACCTAGGGGCGTTGTCACCGGTCAGTCAGCACCAGTCTTAGTCCCCCAGACCAGCCCCAGCGAAGGGAAAGCCTCCTCCCTTAATGGCACGGCTGAAACGGGGCTCCAGTGTTCTGGAAGAGAGGAGGACCAGAACACCCCACCCCGAGCACTCAGCCATGGACAAGACAGTCTCGAATTCAAATTTAGCAAACGGCGCCGGTGAGGGGAGAGGGCACCCCACCCACCCACTGCCGCTTCCCAGGCCGCTTACCGCAGTCCAAGAAGGAGGGCACTCGAGATACCCAATCTAAGGGCTGTGTTTTATGGTGCTGAGGAACAAAACCATGGGTAGAGGAGGGTAGCTTATTAAGAAAGTAAGAACAAGCAAAAGGGGACCGGAAAAAGAGCTGCCAGTGAGGACTCTGCCTAGGCACTTTCACAGGACAGAGTAGGGAGCGCTTTCTCTTAATGGCTGCTAGGGTAGAGGGTTTCATACCCAGCGAGGAAGTGAGCAACCTCCCAAGGCCCCATGATGAAAGTGAACCATGCTGTCCACGCTCACCCGGCCAGTCTGCAGCTTGGCCACACTCTGAGGCGGTCTTAGGTGGCTGAAGACATCCTTGCATGGTTTATCCCCTAATGCTCTCTTCAGCGGTCTAGGACTTCTTCCTGTTCTTTGTTTCGACCCTGTTTTGTGGAGCCGTGTCCTCAGTGCCTACACCTGGTCTCTCTCCTGCCTTACTAAGGGACCTGGGGACCTGGTTCCAGTTCCAGCCTGGAGGGCCTGTGTGATCAGGGCAGTTCCTGCTCTCCGAATGCCTGAGTCTTCATCTGTGTCCAGTATTAGGGGTTTTTTTTGCAGTTCTTTTTTTTTTTTTGGTACTGGGGATCGAACTCAGGTCTTTGCACTTGCGCAGCAGGTGGCGAAACCACTGAACTAAATCCCTGGCCCTTTTGCAGTTCTTTCTGGGTAGGGTTTGGGTTGTACTCAGGGACCAAAAGGAGGCAGGAGAGCTGCTCACAGGAGCCTGGTTTTTTCCCTGAGTCATATTGGGAACCCTTCTAAGGGGCTCCTTGAGAAGGCCACTAATCGTCAGCCCAGGGTCCATACAACCCAATGCTATGTGCATGTTTTAACAAGGTATGAGGCCAGGGTCCCCGTGATACTGTGTGGCCGAGATGAAATCACATGGACAGTAGCCATCCCGCACCCTAGGGGTGATCGCTGGTGACATCCAGACAGATGGCCAAGCAGAGCAGAGCCAGCCTACTCTCTCTCCCAGGGTGCCATGGACCCACCTGTTCTGTCCTTGTCTCTTTCCATTCCACAGGGGGAGCTGGGTCAGAACTTTCAAAAGGAACTTTAGGAAGACATTAAAGGAAGTATGAAAGCGCAGAGGCGGGTGAGATGAAAGGACAGATTTACACACTTTCTGTTACGAGAGCCTCCTGGGGCCTCTGAGATCCAGGGATGCACAGACGCCCCGGCCCCTGCCCCTCATCAAACCTGGTACCTAGACGCTCCCCTGCGGGACCTGGAAATCTGCCTGTGGCCGGCTTCTCCGCCCTCCCAATGGGGGCTCCTGCCTGATGCAGAATGGGAATTGTGTCTCTGGTTCACAAGTGAAGAATTATTTAGCTGGATCTGTCCTCCCAGGACTAAATGAACATCTGGAAAGCACGCCACGTATTCCTTCCTTCATTCATTCATTCATTCTTGTGGCGCTGTGGATGAACCCAGGGCTGTGCACATTTCAAACAAGTGAGCTACATGCCAGCCCTCAGCCATTTTTTTGTGTGTGTGGTGTAGGGATTAATCCCAGAGCCTTTGCACTGGGCTTTTAAATTTTTTTAAAAAATTTTATTTTGGAACAGAGTCTTGCTAAATTGTGCAGGTTGGACTGAAACTTGCAATCCTTCTGCCTCAGCCTCCTGTGTAGCTGGGATTACATGGGCACCACCATGCCTGGCTCCCCCAGCCATTTTTCATCCAGTGTCTCATTAGGGAATAAGTGTAGGTTGAGTCCAGTCCCTTCTGCCTGAGAGTTACAGTGTTCCCTCTTCCTGAAGCTCACCAGGGTCCTTTAAGTAAAGGTGATGTTGGGAGTGGTGACGTTTAACGAAACTGGCTGGGCCTGACGAAGTCAGGTGTTGCACACACAGGCGGGGAGAGCTGATCTTCCCCTTCTGGCAGAGCAGGGCTTCTGAAGACGGCGGTGCATCTGTGGTCATGCAGTCTGGCATGGAATGGCAGCATAGCTGCGGTGGCTGAGGTCAGACTTGGTGGACAGTGCTTCCCCAAGAATGGTTCTGTGACCTTGGACTGGTTAATCCCTGAGCCTCTTTTTCCTCTTTAAATGCCAAAGCCTTAGCTATGGTAGCTTATTAATTAGTTAGGGTGAGCTGGGTGCATTGGCACAGGCCTATAATCCCAGCGCTCTGGGAGGCTGAGGCAGGAGGAACACAAGTCTGAGCCCAGCCTGGGCAACTTAGTGAGACCCTGTCTCAATATAAAAAATGAGGCCCAGGGATTTAGCTCAGTGGCGCCATGCCTGCCTTGAAAGCTCAAGGTCTTGAGTTCGATCCCTGGTACTGAAAAACAAAACAAAACAACAAAGCTGAACTACATCTCAATATAAAAAATGAAAAAGAGCTGCAAATTTAGCTCAGCGTGAAGGCCCTGGGTTCAATTCCCAGTACTGGAAAAATATAAATAAATAAGAATTACTTAGGACAGCTGTGATAACAAATAAGCTCCCAAACTGTGACCGGTTCAAAGTAATAGACACATTTCCTTCTCAGGGGCTTGCAAGGTGGTTCTCCATTTGGGAATTCAGTGTCCAATTAGGGCCCAGGCTGAGTGGGGCTTTCCTGTCCCCAGGCAGAAGATCGTGGTCTTTCAACCAACCAGCAAGGGAGAGGGCATGGAGGAGCTCCTCTAGGAGGTTCTCCTGGGCCAGGCCTGGAAGTGACATCTATTCCCACTCCTAGCCCCCTGGGTAGAACTCAGTCACATGGATCACTGCAAGGGAGGCTGGGAAATGTAGTCTGGTGTCTGAACCCTGTTTGTCCAGTTGTAAAGCGGAGGTAATAACTGTTGCCACTCCTGATAGTGCTGAATCAGAGGGCTTTGCCTTGGCTCCCGCCTGTCTGTCTTTTCCCCTGCTAGCTGGATGGAGATGTATAAGGGTGCTGGTAAGACTCACTAATGACACAGAGCAGATCTGCTGGCTGATAGAACTGAAAGCCCAAGGTTATTTGCATCGGCCTTGAGCTGAGACCCTGAAGATGGGGTTTGACAGAAATGTATGTCCAGTCCCGCGTGTGGGCTAGGGCTGTTACTGTTCTTGTATGGAACTGGAACCGAGGCAATGCACTGCAGCAGTTGCTTTGTCCAAGTGTTTGTTCATCCCCCGGCTATTTACCAGACATCTGTTGGCACCGGGCCCTGTGCCAGGTGCTGGAAATTGGGGATAAATCTGGAAGACACAGGCCTGGCTCATCTGGGGCCAGTGGGCCAGAGAGTGCCACAACCCAGCAAACCGGAGCTGGAGGGTTCAGGGTGGCAGGAAGTAGACCCTCAACCCCAGTGGAGGGACTGGGGGCAACTTCTCACTGAGACCAGAGAGCAGGCCATTAGGGCAGCAAGCCAGACGGGGTGAGGAGGCAGCGCCATCCACGAGAGCTCGGATCACCCTCGCAAAGGCAGGGGTAGGGGGGGTCTTACCATCACCGATTCTTGAGTTAGAAGATTGAGGCCCCGAGAGTGTGGCTAACTTGCCCGTGGGCTCTGCCGGAAGAGAAGGGCTGGGATTGCAGCATGGAGCTTGCAACTCTAGAGCAAGTGTTCATCTGCCACCCCTGTGCCCTTCTTGGCTTCACTTGGGAGTTTGGATTTCAGCCTTCTTTCAAAGCAAGGAGTGGGGACTTGTCCTCATTTACATTTTATTACTTTATTTTTTAAAGTATGACTTTATCATCAAACACACACACATACAAAAATTAAAATTATTCAAAGAGAAACAATGCAAGGGAAAAAAACCTATAATAATATTCAAATATAGTAGAACTCAACCAAAGCAAAACTGAAAAGTACTTAAACATTTTTCCATATAATTTTAAAAAACATCTCAAGCATTAACAAGACATCGAAGGATGTGATTTGTTTTAGAAAGATTTTCAAAACTAATATTGAGCACATAGTGGTCTAGGAAAAAAAGTTCTAATTAGCTAGTAGACTCCACATAGGCCAAATTTTTTAAAATTTAAATTTCAATACAGTCATGTGACACATGATGGAAATATAGTCTGAGAAATATGTTATTAGGCAATTTCATCCGTGTGTATCGCAAAGTACCACACAGAGTACCAACTTCTAAGTGCAAACAGAAGGTATACATCAATCATCTGTGATGGCCCCTTGAGATTATCCAAATATGCAGTTAAACATAAGATACATGAGGCTACCACTGGCATAGCAGCACACTGTTTTACAGTAAACTCTTATATAAGTAGGATTATGCTCTAAAGGATGAAAAGCACAGCATGTTATGATAAGTACCTAAAACAGTAACAGTCATTTATCACACTATCGAGTACCGTGTACTGTACCTAGCTGTATGTGCTTCTTCTGGAAACACACCCTTCTCTCCTTTGATCTCAGTGACTCTTCCTTCCCAACCCACTGATGAGCTCCAGCCTAGTCTCTACCTACATCTCTTCCTATAGTTTTAAACACAATCTATATATGTATTCTTTCCAGATTCCAGCCTGTAACTGATCTCTCCCCTTCCCCTCCTGCCACCCCTACCCCTTTGAAACTTTTCTTCCTATTTCAAATTATCAATTATTCATTTTAATCATTTTAATCCTTAATTACACTCTCAGTTTCTCACACTAGAGAAACTATTCGGTATTTACACATGTGTGTCCTATGTATTTCACTTAAGAGGATGGCCTCAATATGCATCCATTTAGCGATAAATGTCTCTAGTTTCTCTTTCTTTATGGCTGCCTAGTACTCCATTTTATAAAAAAACCACATCTTTATCCAGTCTCCAGTTGCTGGGCACTTGGGCTCTTTCCAAGCTTTAGCTATTACAAAGTGTGCCGCTATAAACATGGATGCACATATATATATTACTTTATTTTTAATTTAAAAATTTTGGTCAGTGCATGTTTGCAGCATGTCAGGATTACATTTGTCGCGGTGAGTGGGCGGATGTCCACGCCACATCTTAGTTGCTTTTACTCTCCTTTTCCCATCCCTCCCTCCCAAGGGCTCCCTCCATCTTGGCTTGCCTTCCTCCATGTCTCAGTCCCCTTCTCATTTGCAAAACAGCTACAGTATCTCCCTGATGCCTAGTGTCTGTCTTTTTTATTGACATTTTGGAGAGATGTGGGGTCTTAAATGACTCCTGCTTAGTGAAAAGTTGCTGAAACCTACAGCAGCTTTGGGCTCCAGGATGGAAGCTGAGGGGCTGGGTCCTTTGACAACAGGGAGGTGGGCGTGGTGGTGCCCCAGACAGGAGACCCTGGGCCCTGCAGCCACCTCCCTCCCCACCTCTGAAAGGCTGCCAGGCTCCTTGGTGGAACCTGGACCTTCTTGTTGCTTCCTTGGTCAGGTGAGACTCAGAGGCTGCAGGTTAAATGGAGGGAAGTTTGGGGCACTGTTGCCAAAGATCAGAGCTTTCCAGGGAAGCCCAGAACACCTTTGGGAAAGCTCTTTATTGTATTTATTTATTTTTTGCTTTTTGAGACAGGGTCTTGCTGTGTAGTTCAGGCTGGTCTTGAACTCACTGTGTAGCCCAGGCTGGACTCAACGTCACAGTGATACTCTTGCCTCAGCCTCCTGAATGCTAGGACTACAGGCTACCACCACACCCAGCTGTTACTTTTTCTTTTCTTTTTCTTTCTTTCTTTCTTTCTTTCTTTCTTTCTTTCTTTCTTTCTTTCTTTTCTCTTTCTTTCTTTCTTTCTTTCTTTCTTTCTTTCTTTCTTTCTTTCCTTCCTTCCTTCCTTCCTTCCTTCCTTCCTTCCTTCTTTCTTTCTCTCTCTCTACCAGGGATCAAACTCAGGACCTTGTGCTTGTCAGGCAGGTGTGGAACCACTGAGCTAAATCCCTGGACCCCCCCCCCCCTTTTTGGCACGGTGTCAGTATGTAGTCCAGGCTGGCCTCAAACTCAGGGCAAGCCTCCTGTCCCAGCCTCCTCCTGGATGCTGGGATCATAGGCATGTCCCACCACACCTAGCAGGGGAGCTCTCTGGTCTCTTTCTGACCTTTGGCATCGCTGATTTCACCAGGGTACTGGCCCGGTGGGCGGCTTTTCATTCTGATCTGACCTATGGGGCCAGAGGGACTGACCGGGTCTCTCTGTGGCTGCAGTGACCTGGAGAAGTCGATGGAGAGGCTCCAGAGGGACGCGTCCCACAGCCACCGGCTGGTGCCCGGGCCTGAGCTGGAGGAGAAGGCGCTGGTGCTGAAGCACCTGGGGGAGACGCTGACGGATCTCAAAGGTGAGGCCGCCCGCCAAGCTCCCGCTGCCCCTGCTGGTCGGGGGTGGGGTGGGGCTGCCCTCCACTCACCCCGCCTGTCCCCCCAGCTCACTTCCCTGGGCTGCAGAGCAAGATGCGCGTGGTGCTGCGCGTGGAGGTGGAGGCTGTGAAGTTCCTGAAGGAGGAGCCGCAGCGCCTGGACGGGCTGCTCAAGCGCTGCCGCGGGGTCACCGATGCACTGGCCCAGATCCGCAGGTCTCTGCCCGCCGTGTTCCCCAGGGGGTCTCCGCCCTGCCGATCCCTGGAGTCCCGATCCATCCACTGTCCCCAGCCCCCACCCAGGCCTCACGGCTCCCCTTCCCCACCCCAGGCAAGTGGACGAGGGGGTGTGGCCGCCCCCCAACAACCTTCTGAGTCAGTCCCCCAAGAAGGTGACCGCGGAGACTGACTTCAGCAAGGGCTTGGACTTCGACATGCCGCCTCCCAGTCCTCCGCTGAACCTGCACGAGCTGAGTGGCCCGGCCGAGGGGGGCCCCCTCACCCCGAAGGGCGGCAACCCCACCAAAGGCCTGGATGCTCCTGGGAAGCGCAGCGTGGACAAGGCTGTGTCCGTGGAGGTGCTGGGCCAAGCTGGGGCGGGGCCAGGGCTGTGGTCAGAGCGGGAGGGCCCCGCACCTGCGACCCTTTGGGGGGGAGGGGTCAGTTCCCGGATGGAAGTCTGGAACACATCAGGAAGGTGACATTAGTCCTTCAGGGGGCAGAAAATATATTTATAAAGCCATAGGGATCGAAGCAGTGTGCTGGGCATGAGGGCGCAGCCCTGTAATCCCAGCACTCAGGAGGTAGTAAGATTACAAAGTTCAAACCCAGCCTAGGCAATTTAGTGGCTTAACAAGACCCTGTCCCAAAATTTTAAAAAGAATGCAAGAAAAAGAACAAAATAGTGGGGATGCAGCTCAGTCCAATGACATTGGGGGTTTTTTGGGGGTATCTTTTGGTACTGGGGATCGAACTCGGGTCCTAGCGCTTGCGCAGCCGGCGGCAAAACTACTGAGCTAAATCCCCGGCTAGACATTGGGTTTAATCCCCAGCACCACCAAAAAAGAAAAAAAGAGAGAGAGAACAATGTGTACAATGAACACAGCATTTCTGACCCTCGGAATAACGCGGACGACCCAAGGAGAGGGCTGAGGGGCCCGGGGCTGGGTCTTCCTTTCTGTCCCTCGCTTGTGGACCCCCTGACCCCTGACCTTTGACCCCCACAGGCGGCAGAGCGGGACTGGGAGGAGAAGCGGGCGGCGCTGACCCAGTACAGCGCCAAGGACATCAATCGGCTGCTGGAGGAAACGCAGGCTGAGCTGCTCAAGGCCATCCCGGACCTGGACTGCGCTGGCAAGGCCCATCCGGGCCCTGCCCCCGCCCCGGACCACAAGCCCCCCAAGGCACCCCACGGCCAGAAGACGGCCCCCCGAACAGAGCCCAGCGGGAGGAGGGGCTCAGGTATGGGGAGAGGGGCTGGTGAGGAGCCCAGAATCCCAGAATCGGGGTCCATCCACGGGGCTCTCAGTGAGGCTCTGGATGTCAGCTGCCACCCTCAGCCATACCACTAAAGGCCCAGAATTCGGTGGAGAATAATGCTAACATTTGCATTTATCGAGCATTTATTGTGTGATAAAAATCGTCCAGCTGGGGTGGAGGCACATGCCTGTAATCCCAGCACTCTGGGAGGCTGAAGCAGGAGGGTGGCAAGTTTGAGCCTAGCCTTTGCAATTTAGGGAGACCCTGTCTCAAAAAATAAAATGGCCTGGGATGTAACTGGGTGCAAATGCCCTGGGTTCAATCTTGAGTCCCCAGTCCCATCAAAAACAAAACGGAACAAAACAGCCCCCCACCCAAACTGTCCAAATACTTCTGTGTATTAATTGTTACAATTTCTCAGCCCCCGGAAGCAGACAGTAGTTACCCCTATGTTAGAGACCCCCAAATGGTGAAGTAGTGCATCTCAGCCACACCTACTCACAAACCAGAAAGGCACCCTGGGGGTGGCCCAGGAGGGCCCTGGAGCCCAGAGCTGTGCAGCCCCTGGGGACCTGGGAGGCTGGGGACTTCTGGGAGGTGGGGCGCTTGCTGGCACCTGGGAGATGAGTGGGTGCCTGTGAGGGCACGGGGGGGGGTGGAGTCCCCCCGGGGAGGCAGGGTGAGACCCCAGGGTGCAGGCTCCTGACCATAGTGCCTTGGCTGCCCGCAGATGAGCTGACGGTGCCCCGCTACCGCACCGAGAAGCCCTCCAAGTCGCCTCCGCCACCCCCACCCCGCCGCAGCTTCCCCTCCTCTCACGGCCTGACCACCACACGAACTGGGGAGGTGGTGGTCACCACCAAGAAGGACTCGGCCTTTATCAAGGTACTGCTGCCTGGGGAGGCTGAGTCAGGAGAGGAAGCCAGAAAAGGCTCCGGGAAGGGCCTCAGGTGGGAGGGGGCCTGCTCTGAGGGTGGCCTGGCCTTTGCAGAAGGCGGAGTCTGAGGAGCTGGAGGTGCAGAAGCCCCAGGTGAAGCTGCGCCGGGCCGTGTCCGAGGTGGCCCGCCCCGCCTCCACGCCCCCCATCATGGCCTCCGCCATCAAGGATGAGGACGAGGAGGACCGCATCATCGCCGAGCTGGAGGTGGGTCGGGGCTCGGCCGCTTCCGGACCCCCATCCTTCCTGCTGCCTCCGCTGTCCCTCATGTCCCTCGGGGTTTATTGTAGTTCCCGAGCCTCCCCAAGTGCCCCAGACCCACTACAGCCTGACAGCCCCACTCCTTGGCATCCGGGAGGCTGAGGCAGTGAGAGGGGCGAGGCCCTGTTACCCGGATGTCCTGAGGCCTCCCCGGGCTGTCCCGCGGGCCACCCAGCCTCAGCTGCTGTAGGAGACCCCCCAACCCAAGTGTCGGCAGCCCCTGTCCCCAAGTCCCTGGAGCCCTGGACTGCTGGGACGAGGAGACAGAGCCAGGGCAGAGCGGGCTGGTGGCCATGGTGAGGGGCCTGTGCCGTTCCCGGCCACCCTCCTCTGTCATTGGCCACCACCCTCCTCCCTGGGGTCCCCTGCTCCAAACCTGCCCACCTTCTGCTCCCCAGGTGTTTGAGAGAAGCTCAGTCTCCTCCCTCCCCCCCACACCCTGCCGCCAGCCGATCCCCACCTTGGTGTCCCCCCAGGACCTGGGGCCCCCCGGGGGCTCAGCCCTGGGCCCTACATGGAAGGTAACGGGCGACCCACCTCTCACGGCTCTCTGCCTGTGCCTCTACACCTGCCTGTCCGCCTTTCACGCTAACCTGCTGCCACCTGGTCACGCGACCTCCCACCACCCCCACACCAAGGATGGCACAGAGCTGGGCTGGCCCTGTGGCCCCCGAGGGACTCCAGCAGCCGGGGTATCTGGTGACCCCCAGTCTGCATTCTCTTGCAGGCCTGGTTCTAGTCCTCTGGGGGAGGCCTGAGCACCCTTCCTGTCTACAGCCTGGTTTAGGTCTGGCCTAAGGCCCAAGTGGTGGGGCCATGATTGGAGTTTGGATCTTACTCACAAAATGACTTAGAGTCTAGTCCAAAATCTGACTTTAAACCAGGCATGGTGGTGCATGGCTGTAAATCCAGCTACTTAGGAGGCTGAGGCAGGAGAATCACTTTGAATTCACTGCCAGCCTGGGCTAGAGTGAGTTTAAGGCCAGCCTAGAGTACATAGTGAGACTTTGTCTCAAAAATACAAAAACAAGGGGCTGGGGATTTAGCTCAGCGGTTCCGATGCCTGCCTTGCAGGCAAAAGGTCCCGAGTTCGATCCTCGGTACCAAAAAAACAAAAACAAACCTCTGACTTTGAGCTAGGCATGGTGGCACAGGCCTGTAATCTGAGCTACACAGGAGGCTGAGGAAGGAGAATCACAAGTTGAAGCCCAGCCTGGGCAGCTTAGTGAGACCTTGTCTCAACAAAAAGTTTTTTACAAAGGACTGGGAATGTGGCTCAGTGGTAGCCTGGGTTCAATTCCCAGGAGCACAAAAAACAGAATAATTAAAAACTCTGGCTTTGTTCTGAGCGTTTGCTTAGTCCCTCCCATGCCCTGCTCCGAGCTGTGCCAAGGGAGGGGCTCTGCTTCCCCACTGCAATGTGTGCCTCTCCCTGGGGACCGGAACAGCACCCCGGCAGCTCTCCAGCCTCCCAGCACTGCCCCTCTCACCCAGACAGGAGCAAGGAACGGGAGAAACCAGGCCTCTCCTCGGCTGCTGGTTCCGCCTCAGCACTGGAAGTTCTTCCTCCCTCTGACTCCCTGCTGTCCTGCTGCACTTCCTTCCTCCTTATTCTTTCTTGGGAGTTAGGGGCAGAGCTGCTGTCTGCACCCTCTGAACCGTGTGTTCGAGGGAGGAGGATGGGGCCAGGGGCGGGACTGATCTCTCCTCCTCCCTGCTCCGGGACTGGCACACTCGCCTCTCGCGTGAAGTTCCGCCTGGCACAGGGAACTCTGCCTGAATCCTGGCCTGGCTCGAGTCCCCTCACTTTGGTCCCTGGCAGGGGGGCGGGCAGGCATCAGGTGGTGGGTGGAGCTCTCTGCTGGGTGGGGCTGGGGACCCGCAGTGTGGAAGGGGCACCTCCTGGCTGGCTGTGCTCTCAGCACCTGGCTCCTGCCCTGGCTGGCTCTGGGGAGTGTCTCAAGGGTCCTGGCGGGCAAGGCCCCTTCCCTGGCCTTTGGGCCTGGCTGACTGTCTGCATCCTGTGGTGCCATCGGGCAGTGGAGCTGGGCAAGCATGGCATTGCCCCCTGCCTTCCCCTTCTGCACCCCACTTCCAGGTAAGCAGGAGGCAGGGCTGGGTGGGTGGCCTGGGAGGGTGGCCGAGGTCCCCACTGCCCCCGTGCAGCCCTCCCTGGCTCCTTTCAGTGGAAGGAGCTCTGGGCTTGGAGTCAGACTGTCTGGGTTCAAACCCTGGCTCTGCCACTAGGGAGCTACAGGTTGGTGATGGTGGGTGAATCCCATGACAGCTGCCACCCTCAGGCCCTCACATAGACAGTGGGGACAGCAAGAAGGACAGTCATTCCATGGGATGCAGTAAGCATTAAAGACGAGCTGGCCAGGTGCTGTGGCGTATGCCTGTCGTCCCAGCTCCTGGGGAGGCTGAGGCGGGAGAATCATCAAGTTCGAGGCCAGCCTGGGCAACACCGGAAGACCTTGTGCTTAAAATAAAAAAAGTTAAAAGGGCTGGGGATGTAGCTCGTGGAAGAGCATCCGGCACAGCCTGGTACACAGAATTAGACCAGGATTCACTCTGGTCAGGTGCCACGCCCACCCCATGCCAGGCAGGGCTGGAGTCTCCGCTGTTGAGTGTAGTCCGCAGATAGCCCACGTGTAGGGGCATCGCACCCTGCGTGGTACCCAGATGGTCTCTATTCTGCACCCACACCATGTCACTGTCCCACTGAACAGACTTGGGGGTCCTGAGACCCACTCCCAGGTTTGACGTGGGCATGATAGGCAAGTGTGTACCTTGCTCCTCTGAACGAGGCCATTGTCACCGGGAACTAGCAGGGCATGGATGGGGTGGAAGAGACCTGAGTTCTAGTCCCCACTTCCCCTCTACCTTACTGGCTAAGCCCAGTGAGGACCCTCCCTGCCTCAGTTTCCCTGCCTGTCACCCACACCCCAGCTCGGAGCTTGGTTCACAGGCCTCACCTCCCTGCCTTCCTTTCCCTCCCAGGCCTTCTGCATTCCCCGGATCATCCTGACAGAGTGTGGCCCCTCCTCGCTTGAGGCAGAGAGTGAGGCTCCAGGCCCCTGCCCAGCTCCCACGCCAAGACCCCGGACCCTGGTCGGCGCCCCCCAGGCCCTGCCAGAGCTGGTGGCCACAGCCACTGGGCCCAGGAAGGACAGGGGAGCTGGGAAGAGACTGGCTGGAGCCACCTGTTCTTGGGCACCAGCCCCGGCTGGGACTCAGGAGCCCACCACCGCCGAGAGGCCCACGCAGGAGACCCCTGGGGGCTACGGGGGGCAAACCCACTGCGAAGCACGGAGGGACAGCCTGGAGCAGACTCTGCTGGAGCTGGAGGCCACTCTGAGCGAGCTGGGTGCAGCCCCCACCACTGTAGGGCTCCCCAATGCCCCCTCCACCCCACTCCCCAGACCCCAGGTGGCTGCCTCTCCTGTCCCCCCTCACTGTCCTGCGGTCAAAGTCTCTGGGCCTTCAGAGCGGAGGGAGTCTGGGTTGCAGGGGCGCCGGCCATCTCTCCCCTCTCCCCACCCTCGAGGGAGCCTGCGGCCAGGCTGGGGCTCTCGGGCAGAGCCCCTGGGAAGGCTGGGAAGCCGGCTCACCCAGGAGTCAGCCCTCCCAGCCTGGCAGGAACCCGGCGGGGGCCCTCTCCCTCTCTGCTCTGTACCTGTAAACCCGCAAATAAAGTTCTCTCCTCCTCTGGCCCCTCGCCCCCCTCCTCCTGTCTCGGACTCTCTCTGTCTCTCATTTCTCTGTTCATGGCTCTGGGTCCCCAGAGCCCCTCTGGGCAGGCCTGGTACCTGAGGGGATTCAAAGAGCCAGGCTTCGCTGGGCGTGGTGGTATGTGCCTGGAATCCCAGCACACAAGGAGACTGAGGTGGGAACCTCCAAACTTGGAGGGCAACTTAGTCACAGTTTTAAAAGGAGTGGGGTGGGTTTGGGTGGAGTGGGAGGAATGAAGCTCAGTTCGAAGGCCCTGGTTCAATCCTCAGTATGGAAAAACAAAAAAAAATAAAACAACCAGGCCTGGGGATTTAGCTCAGTGGTTCCACCGCCGCCTCGAAAACGCAAGGTCCTGAGTTTGATCCCCGGTACCAAAAAAAAACCAACCAGCCTTGCCTACCTCTGTGGACACCTCACCTGCTCCCCATAAGGAGGACAGGGTGGGCCTGAGGCTGCCCCTCAAGACCCTCTAGCCCAGGCACAGGAACAGGCATGGGGCTAGGGAAATGGGCTGGCGGGGGCACCCTTGTCACCCCGGAAGCTGCCAGGGTGCTGGGGCTCAGAGGCTGTCCTGTGGTGTACTGGCCCCCCCCAGACCCCAGCTCAGACCCCCCTTGTGTCTTGATCCCCTTGAGCCTCTGCTCCAACCCAGTTTCTTTCTTTGCAGAGTGGTGGCAGTGGCGTGCCGCCCATGAAGGTGGTGACCCCCGGGGCCTCCAGGCTGAAGACGGCCCAGGGCCAGGCGGGCAGCCCGGACAAAGGCAAACACGGCAAGCAGCGGGCAGAGTACATGAGGATCCAGGCCCAGCAGCAGGTGAGGTCTGGCTTGCTGTCCCCGTGACCAGTGACCACTGCCCTCCCCCCCGAGCCCTGGGACTGCCTCCTCTAGTGGCACTTGTTGGATCTGGCTTAGAACAGGAGCCCTCAGCCAGGTATGGTGATGCTCAGCTGTGATCCCAACACTCTGGGAGCCTGAGGCAGGAGCATTGGAAGTTCACCCAGTCTGGGTCACTAGCGACTTAGCTAGGCCTTGTCTCAGAATAAGAAGCAAAACGGAGCAGAGGGTGTAGCTCAGAGCAAAGGCCCCCAGTTCAATCCCCAGTACTGCAAAATAAAGTTCTCAGCCAGGTCCCACCCCTGCAGGAAACACTGTTGGGGGGCTTGCCCATCATCCTGGAGGAGGGGATGGACGGGTCCAGGACCTCACCAGCCCCAGAATCTGGGCCCTTCTAAGGTCCTGACCCTGACGCTGACCTTCCGCCCTCTCGGGCTTCCCCACCCCTCAAAGTGCCAAAGCCTGGATTTCTGAGGGTCCCACAATCTAGGCAAGGGGCTGGGTTGGGGGTGATTTGGCCCCCAGCCCGGGAGGGCATGGTAGAGGGTCCCTGTTGCCCTGACTTCCACAAAGCTCCAGGCTCAGAGACAGGCCCGGGGAGAGCAGGCTCAGTCCCCTCTTTCTAGACAGGGCTCAGTTCCATGTGGAAAGGGACTCAGCAGTGTGTGGCATCAGGGGCCTCCAAAGCCCCTCCTCTGCCATCCACTTCCTCCCAGACCCCAGCGATCCTCCCTCCCATCCCCGTGCATGAGTGTCCCCGTCTTGTCCAGCAGGTCCCCTCTGCCAAAAGAGCAGCTGGCCTTGTGGGGCGTTCGCCTGTCCCAGGCACACGTATCTCCTTCACACTTGCTACTCTGAGGCCTTAGGGTGACCCTGGGACAGGCGGGGAGACAGACGAGGAGCAGGGCCTTGACAGCCCCCCCTACACGCGCGCCGCAGCCCCTGCTCCCCAGTGTCCTGCCCTGTGGCCAGCTGTCCCTTCTGCCGCCTCGCCCTCGCCTCTGTGCCCCATGGCCACGTAGACACCCACACACCCCTGCGGGCTGTCTAGATCCGCCTTGCTCAGCACCCCGCCCGTCCACCTCCGAGGCCATCAGCTCCTGCGCCATGCTCTCTTCGGCCCCAGCCTGACAGGCATGAGGGCCTGGGTCCCAGCCCAGTACTGGGGGAAAAGAAAGAACAAAACATAGATGCATAGTCACCCTGCGACTGCTGTCACCTCCAGCCCGTCTTCTAAGACCTGTAGGAACTTTGCAGAATGCAGTTCGTTGTTGTTTTTCAGTATTGAGGATTGAACTAGGGCCTTTGCATCCCCAACCCTTTTGCTCTTTTGAGACAAGTTCTCACTAAATTATCCAGGCTGGGCTCAAAATTGTGATCCTCCTGCCTCAGCCTCCCAGAGTGCTGGGATTGCAGATGGGAGCCACCAGGAGGAAAATGCAGATTTTGATCTTTCACCCAGCAGCTGAAAGCCACGCCAGATCCTAATCTGAATCCCTTCTCAAGGTGGCCAGGGCTCTTCCTGGCCGCCTGGTTCTCTGTTGTTCTCACTCCCACCCCATGCCCTCAGTGTGTGCCTTCTGCCCACCCCTAGATCAGCTGGGCTAGGACACAGCACCACCAGCCCAGAACTCATCCAAGTTCTCCACTCTCTCTGGGCTCTTTCTCCCCTCACACGAGCAGTGGGGAGGAAAACCCCAGCGGGGCTGAGGTCACCCATGCCAGGTCCAGGGAGGGGCTTTGAAACCACGGAGCTCTGAAAAGGAAATGATGGAGTGAGGGCCCCTGAAATCTGTGCTCGGGATCCCCCGGCGAGGGAGCCAGATCCTTAGGGGTATGGGGATCAAGGGCATGGAAGCCACAGACACCCCACCTCTGTGACCATAAGAAACTTGCAGGTCTCCTTTGGGGGCCCCAGTACGGAGGGGCCACCCCAACAAACAGGACTCACAGAGGCTGTGACTTTCCAGGGTGGAGGCCAAGGGGCATGGGCTCGGCCCCTCCTGCTGGTCCTGGGTGGCACTGGGAGTGGCCCAGACTCAGGCTCTGTAGGGGAGGTGATCCACGTCCGGTTGGAATCCCCCTGCACCAGGCAGGGGTGTGGGGCTGAGGATGATCCTGGAAAGCAGAATGCTGAGCAGCTGGGACCTTTGACCCTTGTGCCAGATGGGACCAAGTTCTCCAGACAAACTGGAGACCCACGGGGGCCGGGGATTTAGCTCAGTGGTTCCGCTGCCTGCCTTGCAAGTACAAGGTCCTGAGTTTGATCCCTGGTACCAAAAGAAAAAAATTGAGACCCACGGGAGAGGATCCGAGGGTAAAACCGAAGGAAGGGAATCTTCAGAGGCGGCAGCTTAGAAGGCCAGGCAGCCCAGGAGGGGGTCACTGGGCCTGAAGCTTTGGTCCAGGGCCTTGGGTTTGGCGCTACAGAAGGCCTGGCCCTGGCTGTGGGGGGAAGGAGGACTCTGCCACCTTCCTGAGGACACCTCACCCACGTGTGGAGGCACAAGCCAAAAGGCACGGGTTCCAAAGACCAAAGCGTGGAATAGACCAAGCCCCTTGAAAAATGCTAAAGGGAAAGAACAGAAGAAACTTTGAAGTGGAAAGATTGGTTGAGAACAGAGGACAGGCGGGAGGGAGTGACACCTCGCCTGGGGACAGCAGAGAAGTGCAGAGGCTGGGGAGAAGGCAGCTGCTCTGAGATTCCTCCCATCCACCCCGCTTGGGGGAGGACATTTGATGCGGAGGGCGGGACTGAGCCCGGTGGGGGACCGCAGGGTAAGGACACTCAGTTGCCTCCGGATGAGTTTGGGCCCACGAGGGGGGACAAAGGATGGGTGAATCAGTGGGTCCTGTGGCTGCAGTCTTGGAACCTTTGAGTAGCAGATAAGCAACCACAGTAGAGGAGGGGCTGGAAAACCTGGAGGGGCAGCACAGGCTGCAGACTGCAGTGTGGCGAAGCCCGGGTGCATCCATAACTGGCAGTTGTGCATCTAGTTGTTCTTTTTTTTTTTTTTTTTTTGGTACCAGGGATCAAACTCGGGTCCCTGTGCTTTCGAGACAGGTGGCAGAACCACTGAGCTAAATCTCCGGCCCTTTTATTGTTATTATTATTTTGTTTTTTGGTACCGGGGATTGAACTCGGGTCCTTGCGCTTGCACAGCAAGCAGTGAAATACTGAGATAAATCCCCGGCCCTTTTATTGTTATTGTTTGGTTTTGGTTTTGGTTTTGGTACTGGGGATCAAACTCCGGACCTTATGCTTTTGAGGCAGGCGGTGGAACCACTGAGCTAAATCCCCAGCCCTGTTAGTATTATTATTATTTTTTTTTTTGGTACAGGGGATTGAACTCGGGACCTTGCGCTTGCGAGGCAGGCGTCGGAACCACTGAGCTAAATCCCCAGCCCTGTTAGTATTATTATTATTTTTTTTTTTGGTACAGGGGATTGAACTCGGGACCTTGCGCTTGCGAGGCAGGCGTCGGAACCACTGAGCTAAATCCTCGGCCCTGTTAGTATTACTTTTGAGACAGAGTCTTACTGGGTGGGTCAGAATCTCAGGGCACCTGCTTCACCTGCACATCCTGGACCCACAGCAGAGTCACATCTGGTGGGGCCAGGAATCTGCAAGTGCGATGCATGCCAGACATTGTCCCTTGAAGATGACCCAGATACCTCTCAAAGCACACCTTGGGGACCACAGCTCCAGAGAACACACATCCTGAACCAGGATAGAGACGGGTCTTTGGGAGGGGAGCGGGCTGGGAGTGAGGGACCCTAAGGAAGTGGCCTCCCTCTTCCACAGGGGACTGCTCAGGGACCTGGGTGGCTTTCCTGGCAGCTAGGTTCGGAGCGTGCTTCTCCCCCGGAAGTGGGCTGGGGTCCCTCCGGAAAGGGCACCCTGTTCCACCAGAGGCCCCTCCTCAGCATCTTAGCATCTCGGAGGCCAAAGGGGACCCTGGCGGGGCTGGGCTGCCGAGCCCGCTGCCAGTCCCCTGCTACAGCCGCTAACTTTCACTTCTTCTCCTCCCCACCCCTGCCCCTGTCCTCCCACCTGTCCTGGGCTCGGTCTCTCTCGTCCTCTGTGGTGTCTCTCTTCCACCTTCTCTCTCTCCTATCAGTAACCGTGGACCACCCCACCCCTTCCCTCTTCTTCTGCCCCTGCCAAGCCCCCCTTCCTACACCCCCAAGTCAGGGCTCAGCTCTCTCCCGATGCCCCTCCAGTGTCTCCTCTTGGATCTTGGAGGTTTTCTATTCCTCACGCTTCAGCTGGGGCCCGGCACACAGGCCACCTCCGCCGTCTCTGACCCGGACCCCTGTTTCTATTCCAGGCCACTAAACCATCTAAAGAGATGAGCGGGTCGAATGAGACCTCGAGCCCAGTGTCAGAAAAGCCCTCGGCTTCCAGAACCTCCATTCCCGTATTGACTTCCTTTGGGGCAAGGAATTCTTCCATCTCCTTCTAGAGCCTTCCAGAAGCCCCTCACATCCCCCCAGCCCGTCCCCTCCTTCCTCCTGCCATCTCTTCCTAGTCCGCTTCCCTTCATCTCCCGTACCCCACCCTCTCCGCTAGACCCTTGAGGGTCCCCACCCTGTGGGCCTTCTCAGTCTTCTATTCTCATCCCCCCTTGTTGGTGTTTTTGGTTTTTTTTTTAATGATTTACTTTTCATTATCTTTTTGTAAAGAGCAGAATAGTTTAACTAAAAACCAAACACACCACCTCCCCTTGACCTCCTATTCCCAGTGGCCTCTTCCTGTCATCGTCTGCCCCTTCTCTCTCTCACGCTCTTCCCCCCAAGTCCATCCTGCAGCCCCCGACCTGCCCTGTACCCATCCCCCCGTTCCCCTCACTCCTGAGAAAACTCCAAACAAACTCTGAGCCACGGAGACTTGGAGCGACAAGAGACCCCTCCCCCTTCTCTGTCATCCCTTCCCGGAGGAGCAGAGGACACGGGCCCACCCCAGCTTCCGGCTGGACCATGGGATGAGGGTGACCCTGGTCCTGGAGACGCCCCACTCCCTGTCTGAGCTGGGACAAGACTGAACGCTGCTGCTACTCTGCTCCTTCCTGTCGTGTCCAGTCCAGCTGTAGGCCAGAAGGACCAGCGGGGACCACAGAGGGACAGAGGCTGAGTCTGAGCGGCCCCAGGCTGGGTGTGTGGCCATGGTGCCCAGGCCATGTGTCCCTGGGGAGCCGCTGGCTTGTGGGGAGGAGCTGCGGGTGGTAGCAGAGAAGGAGGGACTGGGGACACTGGCATGGAGGGTGGCCGTGGGGACAGCCTGCCACTGGGCCACTGCCTCGGGAGAGGGCAGCCTGGGAAGGTGCATTTGGTACTTTTAGTTTCCTGATTTAGCACTTTAAATGCCATTAACTTAATGCGTGTGGGTGGGTGACAGGGAAGGGCCAAGGGACTAGGTCTGGAGCCCTGAGGGTGGGAGGGAGATGGGGAGCCTAGCCGGTGGTTTTGAAGGACAGTGAGGACAGCTCTGACCCCACAGGTGGGGACAAACTGGCCTTCAACATCTTTTTTGTGACTTGAGAGCTTTCAGGGACGGGGTGCGACGTGGGGATCTGGTGACTACTGATGAGATGTTTGTGGGTCCTGAAGCCTGGAGGAGGGAGGGAAAGGAGGCTTTGGGTCTCCAGTCCTGGGGTCCCCAGGGGTGCAGAGAGGGCCCAGCAGGGAGACAGGGAGGAGGAGGAGGGAGTGGCGTCCCCAGAGGACAGGTTTCCCATTTGGAGCACAAAGGAAGAGGAAGCACAGGTAGGGGACGTGGGGATTGTCCCCCATAAGCACAGAAAAGAGGAGCCATGGAAGGGGACAAAGCCGGTGTCCCTGGGGGCCTGCTGGGGGTTGGGGAGGGAGGGAACTGGGCTATGTTTCTTCATTCCTTTGGGATTATTTTTGGTTTCTGTTTTTGTTGGTTCATCCTTGTTTTCTAGCTTCTGACCATTTTTGTACCAAGGCAAGCGAGCCTTTTTGAAAAATAACAAAAGAAGAGGAAAAAAAAAAAAATCCCTCCCGGAAAAAAAAACAAAACACAAAAAAACCTAGAAAATAGGAAAAAAAAAAAGGACCTCATAAATGATGCAATTACTTTTAATTGCAGGCAACTCTTTACATTTAAGTGAAGTGTCTTAACATTTTATATTGTTTTAAAAATATATTTACATATTATATATATAATATACGTAATATAAATATATATAAATATTTAAAAAAGAAAAAAAAAAGGAACCCACGGCCCTCTTCCCTGGCCGCTGTCGCGGCAGGGCGGGGCCTGGGGACAGCAGAGGCGGGGCTGGCTCTGGTCGGGGAGGCGCTGGTTAGGTCCGGGGTACAGGGATCCGGGCCTGGGAGGGGAGGGGGGAGTGGTGCCCCCTCCTCCCTCCGCTCCATTACTCTGCTTGCTACTCTGCTCGCCCCAGCACCTCAGCCCTTTGACCTGACCGCACCCCGCTGTCATTGTCCTGAGTTGATGTCCCTTGTGGGGGAGGGGGCGTCCATCCAAGTGGGGCAGATGGAGGGGCCCACCCCACCCCACCACCCCAGTAGAGTCTAGGGGGACCCGCATTTTTCTCGCTTTAGTTCCTGAGCACGAATGGGCTGGGAGGTACTTGCTTGGGACTGTGTGCAGTCTGGGTGTGTGCGGGTGTGCACCGGCACGAGGCCGCTCAGCTGTGCGTGCAAACGCATGAGGTGTGCGTGCACAGGCATGGCCTGTCGTGTGTGGGGGAGGGGAGACGTGAGCCCGAAGGCGCGTGTGAGCTGCGAGGGCACTGGCGTGTGCCTGCCTGCGTGTGCCTGTGGGGGGAGCTCTGCGCGTGCGAACACGTGTTGTGTGTGTGCGGACGTGCCTGGCTTCCAGAGAGTCGTCACGTGGGGACCACAAGCGCGTGGTTAGAGGTGCGTGTGACCTGCCTGCGGCAATGTGCGCGGTGCACCTGTGTGCTGGTGCAGACCCAGAGTGCGTGTGCATGCGTGTGCGCGTGTGCGCCCCATCACCCCGCCCGGCCCGCCTGGCTCCCTTTGCCGGCCCGCCCCGCCGGCCCCCAAGCCCGCCGCACGTCCGCGCCCCAGCTGCATGCGCTCGCTGCTCTCCGCCCGTGTGTGCTTGCCAGAAACTCCGGGGCCGAGCCGCCCGCCCGCCGCGTCCTCGCATGGGGCCCCTCTCCCGCCCCGCCGCGATGCTGACGCCGTTCCCGGACCCCAGGGCCCGGGCCAGGCTCGGCTCCGCCCCGCCCCATCCACCCCGTAGGGACCGTGTTGGTGTAGCAGTGACGGCTTCTGTGGATGTTCTGTGACCTCTGTCGGTGTAACTTGACAATTTCTAAATGGAAAAGGGTTGCTGTGTTTTCTGTCTCTTTTTCAACGTCCTTTTTTCTTCTCCCCACCTCCCCGCTCTCTCCTTCCTTTTCGGTTTTTCTAGCCGAGTGTTTGGGGCTTTAATAAAACTTGTTTCTCTTTCCTCTCCTGGATCTCCTTCCCGTCCTCTGCTGCCTCGTTCTTCACCCTTGAGGGCCGGGAGAGTGGGGCGGGTGGGGACCCTGACAGCCCCCCAGGAAGGAGGACGCCGAAGAGGGCGCAGTGAGTCGCACACACGACCATCGGTGAGGTGGCCCTGGGCACCCCCTGCACCTGCGGGTGACAAAGCCAGCTTTCACACAACCAGAAAGCCATTTGTCTTAAGTCACTTTCTTGTTGCTGGGGCAGAAATACCCGACACCGACAACTTAAGGAAGGAAAGGTTTATTTCGGGGCAAGATTCAGCCGGGGGCCCGAGGCGGGACAGCACAGCGCAGGGGCATGAAGGAGGGAAGCGGCTCAGGGCAGGACGGCCGGAAGCGGGGGAGGGGGGCGGAGCCGGAAGAGGAGCCCAGGCCACGCCCTTCGCGCCAGGCCACGAGTCCTAGCAGCAAGCCCCGCCTGTGAGCGCCTTAGGTTCTTGGGGAACTTTAGATATAAACCATAGCACCAGGGACCCGCACCCAAACCATGAGGGGTCTGATTGTGTCCCCCATCTTTGTAGAGTAGCAGCCTGAGGACTTCTGAAGTGGTAACATGAACACAGTTCCCATCTCCGTGCTTTAGTGCACAGGCACACACACTCCACGTTAAAGGAGTACAGCGGCCCTGATCTCCTGCGTGGGCCCTAAGAAACTGCGCCACTGTGCAGCAGGTTCCGAGCGTCCCCAAGGCTGCCCCGTGTCCCGGCTGAAGCCTGGGCTGGGGGTCTGTCACTTCTGCCCCATAAGTAGTGGCAGTACCTGGAGCCCCTCTTGCGTGTTCTCCTGGGGGCCAGAGGCTGGGGCTCTGCCGGCTGTCCACTAGCACACCTGCTGCACGAGGGATCCCCCCACCAGGACCCCAGGGTCCCGCAGACTCGCACAGGGACAGCCCTCATCTACCTTGGGTCACTCCTGGTCGTTTAGGAGGGCAGCGGATCTGGCCTTCTCGCTCTCATCCTCGTTCCGGAAAACTGGGAGAGTAGACCGAGGAGGCACCAGGAAGCAGCCTGCCATAGCTGCGACAGGCAGGTACACAGGGAGCTCCTGAGCGTGCCAGGCCAGGGGGGCACATCTGAGTGGAGTCCTTGAGAATCAGGAGTGGCAGCCAGGCATGGCGGTGCACACCTGTAATCCCAGCACTCTGGGAGGCTGAGGCAGGAGGATCACAAGTTGCAGTCCAGCAGGGGCAATTTAGTGAGTCTATCTCAAAATAAAAACAATAAAAAGGGCTGGGAACATAACTCAGTGTGAAGACCTTGGGTTCAAAACCCAGTACCTGAAAAAATAAAAAAAGAACAGGGAGTGGTTTGGTGGGAGCTGGTGGCCGAGGGTCCCAGGCTGACAGCCCCTGTGGGTTCCAGGAAGTGAGGAAAAGCCAAGCAGAGGGCCGAGTGGGTGGTCGGGTCGTGTGCGGTCAACATCACCAGGGAGCATGAAGGAAGAAAGTGCCACCGCCTGAGCAGCTGTCTCAGAAGTGACAGAAGCAGGAACTCGGGTGGAGCCACTGCGCAAGCCGAGGGCGGCGCCCGCTCGGGGCTCCGCACCTGAGGGAGTCTTCAAGCCGCCGCGCAGACCGCGCAAGCGCCCTGCCGCTCAGCCCCGCCCCGCCTTCGCCCTGCTCTTGCAAACGCTTTATAAACCTAAGTGCAACTTCGTACGCAAGGTTCGTTTAACCTTATGACGGCTTGGGCAGCAGATGCTGTCAGCTCCATTCACAGCGGGGAAGGCCCAGCCAAGCCAAGGGGGGGGGGGGGGGGGGTCAGCCTGGCCTCAATCCCGGGTTCCTAGGGGGCAGGCCGGGTACAAACGGGACCCTGGAAGCCCTCCTCTCTTCTCCCTCACTGTCTGCACACCTTTCTGGGTCTCCCTGGGCATTTTCTTATTTCTGTTTAGTTTTAACAGACAAGCTCTCACTATGTTGCCCAGGCTGACCCTGAACTCGTTTCAAGGGATCTTCCCACCTCAGCCTCCCAAGTGCTGGGACTACAAGGGGCCGTCACCACGCCTGGCTTGCCGTCGTGTTTTCAAAGGCCGTCAAAATCACAGCGATTTTCCACTGTATGGATAGATGGGGATTGAGCTACGTCCTCATCCTTTACCATTTTTTTTTCTTTGAGACAGGGTCTTGCTAAGTGACTAAGTTGCCTGGGCTGGCCTCAAACTTGCCATCTTCTTGCCTCAGCCTCCCAGGTGCACACCTTACCTGGCCTCTTTTGTGTCTTTGTAAACAGCTTGTAGTTGGATCTTACCTTTTAACTTCCCGCTATCCTGTGCCTTTTTTTTTTTTTTTTTTGAGACAGGGTCTCAAAGCGATCCTCCCATCTCAGCCCCGAGTGCTGGGATCACAGATGTGCACCACCACGCCAGCTGCCTCTTGATTGGGCTGCAGAATCCATTCACATCCACTGTAATTGCTATTAAGGTTAAGGTTCGATGCTTGTTTTGTTACTTTTCCCGTATGGTCCCTGTTTTGTGCCTCTAGTCCTCGAATCCTGCTTTCCTGTAAAATATTTTCTAAGTTACCTTTTGAATTCCCTTTCTGTTTCAGTTACAAGACTTTTTGAGTTAACGTCTTAGTAGTTTCCCTGGGGATAACAACTAGCATCTTAATTTCTAGTTAAGATCTAAACCAAGCTAGTCCGAGTTAACTCTAATTTTAATAGTATATAAAATTTTTCCTCCAATATAGCCCACTTTCCTCCCCACTCGCACACACCATTGTCATACAAGTTACACCCTGACCCAACAGTTTTGTAATTATTGCTATATGTGGTAAAAACCGAAGACAAAAGTTACAACAAAAATGTTTCGTTTGTCACCCTTGCTGATGTGCTTTCTTTCTTTCCATGGATGCTTTGTGGACTTTCCCTTCAGTTCCAAGGCTCCCTTCACTGTTCAGAAGGCAGACCCAACCCTGGGCATAGTGAGGCATGGTTGTCATCCAGCACTCGGGAGGCTGAGGAAGGAGGATCGCCTCTAAGTCGAGGCCAGCCTGGGCTACACAGTGAGACCCACACCAGCCTCCCAGGACACTTGCAAGAAGCTACCAGGAGGAAGAAGTCGGCTCCACTCAGCCCACCCGGTCCCCAGTACTCACCGGTCACCCAGCCCAGCCCTGCTCTGTCCCTTCCTCCCTCCCAAGCAAGTGAGACTGCTGACTCAAGCCTGGAGGAAGGCCATTTATTTCCAAGATAAAGACTGTAGTGCTAAGACAGGACTTTCGGGAAGCAGGAAGTCTTAGTTGTCGCTTAGAATTGTGTCAGGGACACGATGGTGGGAGGCCATGCGTACAAGGGGGGGGCCTTTAACCAACACTGTTACAACACTTCTGTAAATGAGCAAAACATCTTTAAAAATCCTTATAAATTCTTTATAATATGTTACACATTTAGAGACAATATTTACAATAAAAGGATGGGGAAGGAGGAGAGAGGTCTACAGCAATTCTGCCTAAAAGGAGACCGACGGATGTGGCAGTGGGGTCCATCCATGAGCCTCGGGGCTTCTCTGGAATGAGTGAAGGGACGTGAGGACGCGGTGACCGGAGGTCTATAAACAGTGCAGGGGGACCAAGGGCACTGGGCCCCACCCACCTGGCAGGGCCACCCAGGTCAGAACCCACAAATCAGTGTGACAGAGACGCCAGGGGGCTGGTGACTGCTCCCCCTTACAAGGAAGAAGGTTAGGGTCCCTGTGCCTGAGCTGAGGCACAGCAGGGAAAGCAAAATGGAGGGAGGAGGCTGGGGCAGGAGAATCTCCACAAATTCAAGGCCAGCCTGGGCTATATAGTGAGACCCTGTCCCTAGAAAACAAAAAATAAAACACCCAATACAAAACAAAAAGGAAGGAGGGGGTACAGGCGAGGGGACCCCAGACCTTCAAACTGCTGGGGTCAGCAGCTCCCCACCATCTGATGGCTAGGCGTGGTGACGAGGAGGTTGGCAAAGGATCTGCGGGGGTGACCTTGGTGAGGGTTTCAGTCCTGCGTCTGTGGCCCAACCCTTTCTCTGGCTCTGAGAGGAGCAGGGACAGACACCTGAGCGTCCCAAAGGAAGGGACCTTGGGGGGCTGGGGGCGGTGGAAGGGCACTGGACAGGCAGAATTGCTACCGGAAACATCTTTGGACAGCGACTACTCACGAGCACACACACAGCCCTCTCCCTTGCGGACGCCCGCCGGCACCTCCTCCCCTGACACCCACACCCCCTCAGTAGACCAAGAAAGTGAGGGGGCCGCAGAAGTCGGCCTGAAACCCGGGGCTTCCACACCCACACTCCACGGTCGACAAGGGTTTCGCGGAGCAGACACAGAGGGGCCCACTCGGTCACACACGCAGGGGACAGGACCAGAAGCCCCCCCTTTCCGGGGTCCCTGCCCCCCATTCCACCACACAAGCTAGGGGTGACCTGCAGCCTTTCTGCCCCGGCCAGAGGCCCCAGAGCGGGGACGAAAGCCAAGGGAGAACGGGGCGCGGGGGTCAGAGACACGGGTGGAGGCGGGAGGCGGTGGCCACAGCCTGCAGGGTCCCCAAGTCCCCGGGGGGCAGCGAGGCGGCGGAGGACGAGGCGCGCGCCTTGGTGGACTCCAAGCTGCTGAGCCCCGAGTCCTTGTTGTCACTGTGGGCGCGCGCGCCCGCGGCCCCCTGCGCGCCCCGCTCCTTCCACTCGTTGAAGTTGAGGTCGGTGAGCGGGCTCTGCACCACCACCGTGTGGCGCCGCCAGCTGCTGCGGCGTCGCCGCGTCTCCGGGGACAGCGGACGGCGCAAGCGCACGGCCATGTCGTCGGCTGTGCCACGCAGCCGCAGGCGCAGCGTCTCCAGGCGCGAGGGCCGCGCGCCCAGCGCCTCCGCGGCCCCTGGGGGGCGCAGCGACTCCTGGCTGCTGGACGAGGCGGAGCCTGGCGCGGGCGCGCGGGGGCCCTCGGGGTCAGCGCGCCCCCGGGCCAGGCGGCGGCGCGCCAGGGTGTCGCAGGGCATGAGGCGGTGCGAGCTGAACGAGGGCCGGCGCCCCCGCGCGCCCGCGCCGCCTTCCGTGTCGGTGCCCGCCAGGCTGGGCTCGCTGCGCTCGTCGTCCGCCTCGTCGCCCGCGCCCGCCCGCCGCGCGCCGCGCCCGGCCGACGACAGCGTGGAGTAGCCCGACGCCACGGAGCGGGCGTCCGGCGCCGGGGCCGCGGGGGGCGTGGGGCTCGGGGCACGCGGCGGTGGCTCGGGGGCCCCGGGCGCCCCCCCCCGGGCCGCCTCGTGCTCCGAGTCGTCGTCCGTGCTGCTCCCCAGGCCGCGCGCCTCCCGCCGCTTCTTGCGCTTGCGGTTGACTGCCGAGATGAAGGAGATCGCCAGCATCTCCCGCGCGTACGGCTCCTTCCTGGGCGCCCACGAAGCCTGTCCGGGAGACGACGCCGGAGTGAGGGGCGCCCAGCCCGGGCCCCAGGGACGCCCGACCGCGAAGCTGCCCAGGCCGGGCTCCAAGCAGCGGCCTCTGCTCCCGTCCGCTGGGAAATTCTGTACCCCGACCCCAGGCCCCACCCGGAGCTCTCCAGGCTCCCCCAAGAACCCTCTGCTTGGGGGGCTGCTGTCACCGCGGGCCCACACAGGGCCACACTGGCCGCCCTCCCTCCCGCCCGGGGCCTCCGTCCTTGTTCCGGCCTGTGGTGTCCTGTCCCCTCCGCCACGGCGGCTCCTCCTCACCCTGTCCTTCCTGGGCCTCGCTGTACCTCCACCAGGGCTGTGTGCCCCCCCCCCCCCCGTCCCAGCGTGTGGAGCGGGACTCTGGTCACCTCCCAGCTCTGCCGAGACCTGCGGGACCGGGAGGGGCCCTCTCATCCTCCCACAGCGTCCTCAGCCCATGGCCCTGACTCTGACCCGGCTGCCCACCTTCACGCTGGGATCCCTGACCAGCCTTTCCTCTGAAGCGTCCTTTTTGAGATAAGGTCTTGCTAAGTAGCCCAGACTGGCCTTCAACTGGCATCCTCCTGCCTCAGCCTCCTAAATAGTTGGGATTACAGGAGTGCACCACCATGCCTGGCCATGGGTTTGCAGTTTTTGCTCCAAACACTCTTCATAGACAGGCTGCTCAAAAGAGTGCTCTGCACCTGCTCTTTCCCGGCCTGGTGGGGAGCAGCTTGCCTCTTCCTCCCGGCTTCTGTGTCCACTCTACCCCCACCCACATCTGGTTCCTTAGCTTAATGTCCAGCTTCCTTTGAGACTGGGGCTCATTTTTATATTTCTGTCTGAGCACAGTGCCGATCAATAGGAGAGGCTCAGTTAAGTATCTGTGGTCTAACCCTGTCCCCTCCAACAGTGCCAGGTCTCTGTCCTCAGGGCACTGTGGTCTCAAGCATGAGGTGAAAGTGGTCCTTCCTCCTCTATATTCTGGAAGAGATGATGGAGAATTGGTTTTATTTTTAAATTTTTATTTATTTAGGTTTATTTAGTTAGTTAGTTAGTTTTTGAAACAAGGTCTCACTATGTAGTCCTGGCTGACCTTGAACTCCTGGGGATCCTCCCGCCTCAGCCTCCCAAGTACTGTGGCACCATGTCTGGCAATAATGAAAATATTTTTAAATTATTTAAATATAAATTAATTAAAATAAAAATATTCCTAAAATATCTGATAGAATTTACCAGTGAAACCATTTGGACTTTTTTTGTCTCAGAGGTTGTAAATTAGAAGTTTGATTTCTTGCCAGGCATGGTGGCGCATGCCTGTAGTCCCAACACTTAAGAGGCTGAGGCAAGAGCATCACCATGAGTTGGAGGCCAGCCTGGGCTTACATAGCAAGACCCTGTCTCAAAAAATCAAAAGAGATCTTTGATTTCTTTGGTAGGAATAGGACTACTGAGGTTCTGTATTCCTTCTTATGTGGGGTTTGACTCTTTGAAAGACCTGGTCTGTTTTCTCTGAGTTGGGTTTTGGGGAGCAGAGTGCTCACACCATTCTCTGATTGTCCTTTCAATGTCTGGTCTTCAGGGATGTTGCGCTGCCATTTGTCTTTTTATTCTGGCTAGAACTTTATCAATTTTATTTATTTTTTCAAAGAACCAGCTTTGATTTCAATGATTTTGTTACTTGTTTTCCATTTCGTGTATTTTACTCTTATCTTCCTATGTCCTGCCCTTTGCTTGCTTAAGGTTTCCCAGAGGCCCTACAGAATGTTTGTCACATCAGACACTACTGCTGTCTCCATTTTACAGATGAAGAAGCTGAAGATCAGGGGGAGGAGGAGGTTAAATAATTGCCATTTTCCCGAAACTGTAAGTGGCAGAGGCAGGACTTGAACCCAGGACCTCATCTGAGACTCCTGAGACTCCCAGGCCAGATCTCCCTAGCTTCCTTCCCAGAGACCCTCAACTCTCTGGGCCCTAATTTCCCACAACACAGGGGTGCCTACCTTGGACTTGGCTGAACTGCAGGTGGCGAAATCTGTGAATGAGAAACAGAAAGAAAAAGGAAGTTGGATCAAGGGAGAGAAAGCTGAGTCTGTGAACACAAGTCCCTGCCTCAAAGGCTTCAGAAACCAGGGAGCCCGAGCCCTGAGAGCTCCCAGGCCCCAGGAGGGTGAGCAACACAGGTGGCATTTTCTAAGGGACGGGATGGAGCAGAACACGATGTCACAAACCACCCCGTCAGGGGCAGGGGGTGAGCGCAGGCTGCTGCCCAGCCGGGCTCACCCAGGTTACAGGCCAGGGCGTCTCCTCGGGACCTGTCTCCCCCACCCCCCTCTGGTCCCTGTCATTCTGAAGCGTTGGAGAGAAAATGCCAAATGTCGATGAGTCACGGAGACCAGCACAGTGACACACAGCACACTACGGAGCTGGACAGGGACCACACCGTGCATGGCGAGGAGATGGGCCTGGCCCCCCATGCCCAACATGAGATGAGTGGTCAAGGCAGAGATGAAGGGACATGGGGCAGTGGGCTGTGATGGAAACAGCAAGGTCAAGCTGTCCCAGGAGCAAAGTCCCCACTGCGGCCCGGATGGAGTCAGGAAGGGTCTGTGACCCAGTCCTGGCCATGGCCCCTGCCGGCCTGAGAGCCGGGGTTAATGCACACTGCAGGCCAGTTAGTCCCTCCCAGCCCAGGCAGTGAGAGGAACAGGATGGCGACCATACGACACACACAAGGGCGGCAGGTGACTGGAAGAGACGGGGCGCCCGCCACCCACCCAGTCCTGGGCAGCTGGGGCTTGCTGGGGCCTCGGTCTGGGACAGGGCGTGACAGCCACAGCTCGGAGGAGCCGGCGGCAGGGGCCATTCAGGGACCCAACGACAGAGGTCAGTGGTCCTGAACTGAGACAGGCACCAGCCACAAAAAGGCTACTTTTCTTGTCTTTTGCTTTGTTGAGGCAAGGTTTGCTATGGCCTCCAAGCTACCCTTGAACTCTCTATGCAGCCCCAGCTGGCCTCAAATTCATGGTGATTCTCTTGCCTCAGCCTCCTAAGTACTGGATTACAGGTGTGCACCACCATGCCCCACAGAATGGCTTCTAGGGGTGGCATCACTGGTCCCTAAGGAAGTGGCCAGAGTCTGGGGGCTGGGGTGGCAGCAGACTTCTGCTCGGCTATGGGGTCCCCACTCCCGGGACACTCTGCCTGCCCGGCCTTCTTCCAGTCACTCGCCGCTGTTAGTGACCGAGGCTGAGACACTGCACTGTACCCTTTAAATCTCCAACAGGTCCGCTGGAGGAGGGAGGCGGGGAAGAGGGAAGGAGGAGAGGCGGGAGTGAGAAAAGGAAGAGAGATTAACACGCGGCCCCGAGTCCAGAGTCCAGTTGGTGGAGGAGGCCCCGTAGCGCCCACAGAGCAGCCCGGCCGCAGCCGTACCTGGCAGGGGCAGCCAGGGTCCCCTCAGGTCCCCCCACCGCCCCACACCCCCACCCCTCACCTGGGCCTGGGTCGCCGGGGGGCACCGTCCTGCCGATGTTGGGCAGCAGGTACTCGATGTTGGGCACCGACTGCGGCTCCTTGTCGTCCACGGGGGTCTGTGAAGAGGAGGGGTCAGCACGCAGGTCCCCCAGGCGGCCCGGCCCCCAGGGACAGCAGACAGGCCATGGGGCAGGAGGTGGCGTGTGTCTCGCCTTCCCCAATGAGGGAGGATCCCAGAGGTCTCCTCAGCAGAGACCAGGGGACGGGGACAGAGCCAGGCAGCCCCGTCAGCCTGGGCAGCTCCAGGGCTGGGTGCTCTGAGCAGAAAGGGTCCCCCAGTCCTGTTGCCACCCCATCCCAGGACTCGGATCCCTCGCACATCACTTACTCTCTCGCCCTTGTCCTTGTCATCGCTGAAGAACCAGTCCGACTGCAGAGGAGACAAAAGGAAGGGAGGAAGTCAGGGCGGGCCGGGGACCCTCCCTGGGATGAGCCCCGGGCTGGGGGGCAGCGGCTCATGTGGCCTGATTGTCCCCAAACACAGCCCACTGCCAGCCAGTGCAGAGGCAGCCGGGAGCTGAGTGCGCCCCAGGCCAGGCGGCTTCCACCCTGAGACAACCCGCAAGGTCCTGAGTTCGATCCCTGGTACGGGGAAAAAAAAAAAAAGAATGAGAAACTAGAGACATTTATAGCTAAATGGATGCATACTGAGGCCATCCTCTTAAGTGAAATAAACAGGACACACATGTGTAAATACCGAATAGTTTCTCTAGTGTGAGAAACTGAGAGTGTAATTAAGGATTAAAAGGATTAAATGGAATAATTGATAATTGGAAATATTAAAAGATCCAAAGGGGTAGGGGTGGTGGGAGGGGAAGGGGAAAGGAAAGCAGGGAAAGGAAAAATTATGAGAAAAGAAAAAAAATGGAAACAAAATCTATGTAAATAGGGAAGGGCAGAGGGGGCGAAGGGTGTACAAGTAATGGGGAAAAAATAAGAACCAAGATACATCATGCACAGGTACAAACACCCAATGATAAATGTAAACGTATTATATACCTAAAATGTACCAATAAAACAATTTTTAAAAAAATCAAACCCACTGTCTCAAAAAAAAAAAAAAATCAAACCTGGACACAACAGAGACATCTACTATAGACGTCTGTTCCCTAGAGGTCCATGTGCTCCAGAAGTGGCCCCAGGTGGCACTCTGGGAGGCATCTCAGGTACTAGTTGGGGGCGCCATATCCAGCCCACCCTCCTCTCCTGCTCCAGCTCCTGGCTGGTGGGGTGAGTGGTTCTGCCCCTCCACTCCCGGCCCAGCCCTAAGTAGCGAGCACCTTTTCTCTCTTGTTCAGTTACCTCGCTCAGTTACTTTGTTACAGTACAGAAAGCCGAATACAATGCCCTTTCGCAGGCAGGCTGTGGGTAAACCAAGGTTCATCTGGACAAACGATGTTACCAGCTATCACCAAGTGGCAGTGGTGCATGCCCATGATCCTAGCTACGGGGAAGGCTGAAGCAGGAGGATCGAGAGGTCCAGCCCAGCCTAGGGTACTCAGTGAGACTCTGTCTCAAAATAAAACAAAAAGGTCTGGGGAGCAGCTCCATGGTAGAGCGCTTGCCTAGCACTTCTGTTTTCTGAAAAACAGAAAAAGGAAAAAAATAATGGGCTGTGGAGAGAATGTCCAGGCAGGTTGCTAAGGCAAGGAACCATTACATAAAGGGTGCACAGATGTCACACATGCCGTTCTGGAAAAGGCAAAACTATGGAGAGAGTGGAAGGCACAGTGGTGAGCAGGGTGACTACAATGTTTCATTGTCAGAACCATTCATCCTTCCATCTGCCATACATCAGGAGCTGGGGATGAACCAAGGCCTCAGGGAACAGGGCAGGTGCTCTCGAACTGGGCTCCACCTAGCCCGGTGACTACTGTGAGACCAGCCATGGTCCTGCCCCGTGGGGATGTGGAAAATGGGGAGGCCACCGTGTTGAGGGGCAGAGGGGCCTCTGGGAAATCACTGCACCTTCCTCTCAACTTTGTTGGAAACCTAAGACCACCTCTGCAAAAGCAGGGGCAGGTGGCAGGTAAGGCACTGTTCATCCAGACAAGGGCGTTAGACGCCCAGTGCACAGCCGCTGGGCTGAGTCCCACAGCTGCAAACTAATATTGATGATCTTAAAGTATCAATATATATGAACATTTTCTAAAAAGATACCAGAATTGACATAAGGGGCCAGGCATGGTGGCACACGCATGTAATCCCAGCACTCAGGAGGCTGAGGCAGGAGGATCATTGTGACTTCAAGGCCAGCCTGGGCTACACAGTGAGATCCTGTCTCAAAAAGGAAAAAAAAAAAACCTGACATAAGGAAAAGCAAACATAGACTAAGAATCATTAAATTAATTGAAATAATCATTCAAGCTCACACCCCAAAAGCACTCAGGCCTAGTTACTTTACAGTTTTATATTTTCCTCCTCTAATCCAGGGAATGTGTCATCTGTATTTACAAGTTGTTATTGTTGTTGTTCAATGTTTAATTGGCTGCCTCTCTTTAATCTTTAACGGCAGGAAACCATGAGTAAGAATAACAATGATAAAATAACAAAGAGCAATGACGGTGCACTATTTCATCTTTAAAACAGCAGTACAAACAAGTTGCTTGAAAATGCAGAAAAGGAGGGAAAGCTGCAAAGTGGAATTGCATGTGTGTATGTGTGTGTGTGTCAGAGAGAGACAGGGTCTCACTATGTAACCAAGGCTGGCCTCAGGTAATCCTCCTGCCTCGGCCTCCTAGGTGCGGGGGGTTACAGGCATCTGCTACCACACCTGGCAAGATGGCTAAATTTTAAAGCATAGTAAAAAATAATTACATCATGATTAAACCAGGTTTATCTTCGGAAACAGTGATGGTTCAAACTCTGAAAAACTCATCCATACATTAAATGAAGGAACAAAATTCTGTGATCTCAATAGATGCCAAAAAGCATTTAATGATATTCAGCTCCTGAATATGATTTTAAACAACTTTAAACACCAACAATAAGTAAGAACCTCCTTAATTTCATAAACAGTATACTTAACGGAGAAATTTTAGACTGTCTCTTTGAGGACAAGAATAAGGAGAAAGCCCGGCCTGCTGGCACATGCCTGTGATCCCAGCACTTGTAAGTCTGGGGCAGGAGAAGTGCCATGAGTTTGAGGCCCACAGAGTGTGTGGGGCTGTCCTCCAGGGATGCATGCCCTATCAGTGACCCATGGGACACGACAATGTTTGCAGTTGTGCGGGTTGGTGGCTTCTAGAGAGCCTGTTATTAACCCAGTTGCCCAACGGACAATTCAGGTTCCATGTATGCCTAGAGTTTAATGTGCCTTTTTCTCCCCACATGTTTGTTTTCCCTGTATACTTTGTTCAGCTTTCTCATTCTTTTGGAAGCCTGCTTGTGTTCAAAGTCTCACCTGTGCTTTTCCCCTAGATGGCCTTTTATTTCTGGGAATCTTTAATGAGTCGTCTTTTTAGGACCTCAATTCATCTCAGTCTACCTTTCTGCTGTGTTTGGCAGCCATTTGGGTTCCTCCTGTGAGGTCCTTGCATGGTTCCGACATGTTTGGTGGCCATTTTGGTTCATCACATGAGTCTGTCATGTGGTTCCGCCATGTTTGTTTGCCATTTTCTTTTTCAACTGACTTCATGGACACCAGGAAATCTCACCCTTATAGATAAGAGCTGTAGCCTCTGCTTTTAGGGAACATATAAGCTTCCTCCCTGCTTCTCTTCTGAATTTAGATTGCCTCCTGGTTTCTTCTATAGTAATCTGCGTAATTTAGAAACATGCCTGAGGGCCTGAGCAAACAAAGGGAACAGGCACAAAGGTAAACTCTAGGGGCTGAGAGAAGGCAAAAGTGGAGATATCCTTGTGCACAGAACTTTTAAAGTTTTTTTTCCTCTTAAATGGTAAAAAAGAAGTATCCGTCTCTCTTGCCTTAAACAAAGTACCAACGTTTTTATTATTGAGATAAATGTAAGGGGTACTGCCTCTCAAGGAGTTGAAAAGCTCCACCCTTCTCTCTCAGAAGTTGTTGCAGAATTCCAAAAGGACAAGGAACACCAAATGGCAACCAGGAGGACAGTAGGCCACAGGGTATGAGGAGTTCTAAGAAAAATAAATGTATAAAAAAGAAGGTACCAGGGCTGCTTCCGGCAGAGGCGTCTCACTAGTAGTCCTGCAGTCTCTTCCTTCTGCAGGAGGCGCCCTACGAAGTACCCCAGACCTAGTCTTCTTTCTCTCTCCATGGGCCCATGATGCACCTTGGGAATCACTGCAGATCCCAGCAACCTCACCGTTAGGCTGCATCCTTAAAAACTGGGAACCATGGGGTTGGGGATTTAGCTCAGTGGTTCTGCCTCCTGCCTCAAAAGCGCAAGGTTCCGAATTTGATCCCCGGTACCAAAAAAACAAACAAACTGGGAACAATTTGACCCTGACAATCTGAAAAAAGAACAACTTCTCTTCTACTGAGATACTAGCTGGGTCCAGTATTAACCAGGAAATGGTGGAAGGTGGGTACAGAATGGTGGTCTAAACTACGATATTATTCTTCAGTTCGATCTTTTTGCAAAGGGCAAGGAAAGTGGTGTGAAACTTAGGTTCAGGGTTTTATGGCTCTGCCTCTGGGAAGGCCCAAGGGCCAAGGACTATGGTACTGAAAGAGGCCTCTAAGGAAAGGGAAATTGGTAATGTCAATGTCCCTACCCTCAGACGCCTGCCTGTCTCTCAGGAGATGTTGGTCTCTCCCACCTGTCTAGTGAAAGCAACCACCCTGGTGGTGTCCTCGCCTGCCGCCTTATAATCCTCAGGCCAGTAAATCAGCCCCTTCTCTTCAAGTGACCCAGGGCTCCCCAGACAGCTTTAGGCCCCACAGGACACGCTCAAAGTGGAGCTTCTTACTCCCCTAGCTCACAGCTCCCCCTGCCCCTAAGGGAGTCCAGGAGTCGAGGACACTGCTGGGGTCCAGGTTCCTTTCTCAGTGGCAGACAACCACAATGCAAAGAACAGTCAGGCTGATTTTCAAAAGCTCCTGGTAGCTTTGCGGAGGCCCCCAGGCCCCTGTGACTGAAGTGCGGGAAGCGGGCTTTCCTGTGCTCCACAACGGGGATCTAGATGAGGATGAAAGGGGACAGCCTGACAGAAAAGGACAGAGCAAAATGATGGCTGCTGTAATTGGCAGTGCTTCAAGCACACCCCAGTCGTGCTCGGGAAACCCAGGGCCACCGCCCAGGCCCAGTCTGAGTGTCAAGTGGCCCACGGCACTGTAGGACCCCCCGCTCCTAGCACAAACCCTTTCCTCCTGCTGAGGAGAGGGGACTGCAGGGCCCGAGGCAGCCTCCAATGGCCCTGTCCCTCATGTCTCCATCTCCTGTGAAAAACTGCAGGCAACCGTGGGCATCGTGGGTAAGCAAATTCCATCATTCTGTTTTCATTTCCTTCTCTAAACAACACTGCTCTAGATCTGTGGCCATCATTAGGGGCAAGAGGAGCCCCAGTCAGAGCTTCTTCACTCCTGCTTTGCCCACAGGGCTAGGAGGACAGCAGTGATGCCCACCCCCAGAGGTGTGGTCACTGAGGGAAGGGGCCTCAGAGACACGGAGAGACAGGTTATGCGGCTGTCAGCTCATCACTGAGGCCAAAGCCCTTCCCCGGGGGACCTCTGCTCAAAACACAGCTCGAAGTCCTTCCTCAGGCGCTGACACTAGGAAAAGACAAAAGCTCAGAAAAGTTTCCAACTCCTAGAGACAGTCAGTCTATCGTCCCAAGCAGGAAGCTGTCATTCACGCCAAGGAGCCCCAAGGAGATGTGTCTGAAATCTCCTTGGGAAATCAAAAGGTTGACAGAAAGGCAAGAAGGGCAGCTTCACAGCCCCTCAAGACCCCAGCCTCACTCCCAGTTCCTGTGGAACCACTGTCTTTCCGAAAGGAGCACAGTGAAAAGCTATAAAAACCCTACATGACAAGTGGTCACTTGAATTCCCCGGGACTGACTCTACTCTTGGGGACCTCCGGAAGACCTGAGGCTCCTCTTGACAAAGCAAGACTCCGGCCAGGTGTAGCAGCGCATGCCTATGATCCCAGCACTGGGGAGGCTGAGGCTGGGACATCGCCATGAGTTCGAGGCCAGCCTGGGCTATGGCCTGTCTCCAAAAACACTACCACCACCAAAAAACAAAACAAAGAGCAAGACTCTGGCTCTGCCCTGGGTGAAGATACGCTGTCACCAATGGCCTCTAATTCACCGCACTTTCAACGGCACCTGTGTCAAGACTCCTGTTTTCTTTTTTTTGGTACCGGGGATCGAACTCGAGTCCTTGCACTTGCACAGCAGGCGGCGAAACCACTGAGCTACATCCCTGGCCCAAGACTCCTGTTTTTAATCAAATCCATAATGTGGGTAATTGTGCCAGGGCTACAGCTCTCAAGCCCTTGGTAATTTATCCAATATCCCCCTCTGCCATACTCCATCATTCACAGGAAGAGTGCGAGTCCGCCCTGTTCCTTCTCATATTTGGGCTCTACATCCCCAAACCAATAGGAGAGTTACTTTCCTGACAAATTCACCAAGCTCTCTCCCATCAAACAGGCAGCTCAACCGCCTTTCCTATACGGACACTAACTCCTTCCTCGTGGTCTGAGGCAGATTTTTGTCCACCTGGCTGGTGAGGCACAACACTCCGAGGTGGCTGGACAGCACAGTCCCCAGGGAGTGGGGGCTACAGTCCCTTTCAGCAGGAAGTAGCTCCGTGAAGACAGAGACCTCCACTCCCTCAGCGGCCCAGAGAGGATTATGGGGATTCCTGCCTCTCAGGGGGAATGTGGCCGGAGGTTAGGGTGTGGCCAGGCGCTGGGCACGTGGGTGTGACCTGTCAGTCACAGAGCACGATCTCCAGGCCTCCAGAGAACTCCATTAGGTCTTTGCTACCAGCCGGTGGTCGCCAGCGCCAGCCTCCCCCTCAGGCTGGGAGGGCCCAGGAGCCTGCGGGAAGCTTCACAGTCCGCATCCACACTGTCCCCTCGGCCCGCGCCGCCTTCTCCTGCCCCCGCTGGCCTCGACCCCGTGATCTCCCTGCGCACCAGGGCTGGGTCCCTTCCAAGCAGAAGCCGTCACCTCCGGTCCCCAGCACCTGCCAGTGTCTGTGGATGACCAATGGCAGCGACGACAATGGTGACAGTCCCTATGACACTTCCTAGCTGCCTGGCCCCTTTCTTGGTGCTCTGCAGACCCTAGCTGGTGCAGCCCTCACCGGGGCCCGTGAGCGGAGCGCTGTTACTCCTGAGCTGAGCTGCACAGATGAGGAAACAGGCACGCAGTGTACAGGAGCAGGCCGGCTCCACGGGCAGGGCACCTGTGTTCCCCAGAGAGCACTTGGCAATGTCCGGGGACATTCCCAATGGTCTCAACTGGGGAGACGTCCCAACATCTAGAGCTAGAGGTCAGGCACACCACCAAACATCCTACAACGGGAAGTCCCTGCGGTGGCAAAGAAGCATCTTAGCTGGGTGTGGCAGCGCAAGCCTGTCATCTGAGCACTGGGGAGGCTGAGGCAGGAGGATCGTCAGGACCTCGAGGCCAGCCTGGGCTACACAGTGAGACACTGTCTCAAAAAAAAAAAAGCTGCGCTTTGGGCCTCCCTCTCCCTGAGGCTGCTGTTTCAGCCATCTGGGCAGATGCAGCCTTTCCAGCGGCCCCTAGAAGCCACAGTGCCAGGAGCCCTGTCTTCAGGGACACCCCTACTCCACCCCCAACTGCCAGACCCTCCACAGAAGGGGCTGCAGGAGGGCCGGGCCCGGCCCGCCCTCCCGAGGGGTGGGGCAAGGCTCCAACCAGCCTCTGAGCCCCAGTTCCCTCGGGGTGATGGGACCCCACTTTCCTTCCCCAGGGCCAGGGCCTTGGCCAGACCTGGGCTGGAAATCCCCAGGAGGGCTGAGCCGACTGTCGGCGCCCTCTGCTCGCCTTGGGGTACTCAGGGGACCCCAGGACCAGGGCTCTGGGTGGCCAGGAGGTGGAGGCGAAGCCGCCCCGCCCAGCTCCATGCCCTCTGCTGCCCGTCCCGAGGGACAACCTGCTCTCCCCAGGGCCCGGCTGGCCCCACCCGGCCGTAGCTGCTTACGTGCTGGATCAGTGTCTCCACGATCTTGTATCGGTCGGGCATGTGGGTCACCATGTCCGTCATGTTGTCCTCAGATGTCCTCACCAATGTCGGCCCGAACACCAGGGCCAGGTTCCGGGGCTCCATCTGGGCAGGACGGGGAGGCAGGGTCAGCATGTGGCTCTGCCCTCTACCTCCCAGGCCCCATCCCGGCGACATCCTGAGTTGTCCCCAGCCCAGGGCCGGGCATCTCCTGGCACTGGCAGGGACGTGCTCAGCCAGCTTCCAGCCCTGCTCATTCCCAGCCCTGGCTGCTACGGGCAGTGGCCCAACCTGCACACCCATTCAGGGCAGCCCTGAGTGCTTGCTGCTGATAGTGGTGCACTAGGAAGAACGGATGCCGAGCTAGATGGGGCACTGGGCTCCCTCTCAAGCTGGGCACTGTGGTGTCAGCACCGTGAGACCCTCAGAGGCTCAGGCAACGCTGGGGGGCACTGGCCAGCACGGAGGTTTGGGACAGAAGGGCCTAAAGCGGGGCCGCATGGTGAGTCCTGGCCGTCCCTCCCCCAGCCTGCACCCACCTTGTTCTGCTCTGAGTGGTCCGCGATGGTCTTGAGGTGGCCCACGAGGAACTTGAGTGTCTCGTAGTAGTGTCCTGGGAGGTCCCGGATCTGGGTGGGAGAGGACTGTGACGCCTGTCCCACCGCAGCCACCCCCTCTCCCAGGCACGGTGGGGAGACTGAGGCCATGCAGTGGGGGCCCTGGGTCCCCCGTCCTATCCTACCAGCAGCACCCCGATTTCTCACCAGCTTCCGAAGTGTCTTCATCCGCTCCCTGGCATCCTCTATGCGATTGGCCTCGATGAAGTCGTTGTATTTGTCTGGAACACAGCGAGGGTGGCTCAGGGAGAGGCAGCGCCTCCCCAGAGGGGTTTGTATAGATCTCTCTATCATCTAGCATTGTGCGGCACTGGGGATCGAGCCCAGGGCCTTCACTCGGAGCTGCACCCCCAGCCCTTGCTATTTTTTATTGAGTCTTTTCCCGAGTGCTGAGATCACAGCTGTGCACCAGGACGCCTGGCTCGTGGCCTGGAGTTTAGGTGGCCAGAGCCACTACAGCTGCTCAGGGTCACCTGCCCGGGTTGTGCACTTTGGGGGAGCCCAGGTGTGCGGAAAAAATGAGACCCAAGATGCATGTTGTCCCTGAAAGGTTCCTGCCCCAGGCTGGTCGAGGACATCAAGGTTCAATAGGCCAGAAGTATGGGGGAAGGGGATTATAGACACCCCCACCTGTCAGCACCCCAAACCCTGATTCCCAAAGTCCATGGGGAACCCTAAAAATCGGAAGGCAATGAGCCTGCTCTAAAATTCACTCTGGGGCAGCCAGGCATGGTGGTGTGAGCCTGTCCTCCCAGCACTCAGAAGGCTGAGGCAGGAGGATTGCCGAGAGTTGGGGCCAGCCTGGGCTGCACAGTGAGTTCAAGGCCAGCCTGCACTGTGTAATAGGGCTCTGTCTCAAAAAAATACAGAAAATAAAATTCCCCCAGGGCTGAGGCGTGGCTCCATGGTGGGCAAGCACTTAGCAGGCACCAAACCCAGGGTTCCATCACTAGCACCAAGAAAACCAAAAGAAAAGAAAATTCATTCGGATGAGCATTCGCACAGAGGGCAAGGCTTTGTCTGCACTGGCACTGGAGATGGAACCCAGGCCCTCTGCTAAGATGCATCCTCTGCCCCTTTTTTATTTTGAGACAGGGTCTTACTAAGTCACTAAGTTGCCCAGGCTGAGTTCAAACTTGTGATCCTCCTGCCTCAGCCTCCTGAGGAGCCGGAATCACAGGCGTGCGCCACTGTGGCCCCAAGACTATTTTCTTAAGAAAGCACATGGAGGGCAAGGAGGTTTGGAACTGTCCTTGGGAGAAGCGGCTCGAGGGGAATCCATTTCTGCTTCACATACTACACGAACAATTTCAATTGCATGACAAATTAGAGAAAAAAATGAGGAAATGTTTTTGCCAGGCCCATTGGCACATGCGTGTAATCCCAGCTCTGGGAGGCTGAGGCAGGAAGATTGAAAGTTTGAGCTCAGCCTGGACAATTTAGCAATCTAATAAGACCCTGTCCCAGAAAAGGGCTGGAGATGTAGCTCAGTTTGAAGGCCCTGGGTTCAATCCTTGGTACCACACACACACACACACACACACACACCCAAAAAAACAAAAAAACGTATTTTTGCAATCTTAAATCCTAAACATGAGCTGCAAAATCCATTCAAGAAAGATTAACTGTTTTGATGACATATTTTGTTTGTTTTCCTTTTTCTTTTTTTTGAGACAGGGTCTCACTATGCAGTCCAGGCTGGCTTTGAACTCGCAGCCATTCTCCTACTTCAGCCTCCCGAGTGCTGGGATTATATGCGTGTGCCATGATTCCTGGCTCTTGTTTTGTTTTTTGAGACAGGGTCTCACTATGTAGCCCAGGCTAGCCTCAAACTCACAATGATGGTCCTGCCTCAGCCTCCCAAGTGCTAGGACTGCAGATGTGCCGCATCATTATGGCTTAATGACTTGTTTAAAAAATGTTTTCAGTTTCTACATTGAACAGTTAAAAGGGAAATAGCAGACTACAGCCAATATTTACAAAAACCAAGGATTAATATCTATAATATACAAGGAGTTTGTTCCCACTAATCAATACTGAAACAGACAATGTGGTTCAATCCCTAGGACCACAAAATGGATAGAGAAAGATAGATAGAGACAGGCAGATAGAAACAAACAAGGCCAACACAAAAATGGGCATGTTGTATGAACAAGCAATCACAGAGGGAACAGAAAAGGCCTAGAACCAATGAAAGGAGATTTAATCTCCCAAGCAACAAGAGAAATGAAAATGAAAATAATGAGAAGCTGTTTCCACTGCAGATTAGCAAAAGTGTGTGAAGTCCCAGGTTCAATCCCCAGCACTGCAAAAATAACAACAGTAACAATGATGATGATGATGATGATGATGATGATGATAATAGGAAATTAATGTCCTGCATGCTGACAGGGCTGTGGGAGACACCCTGGCTTATGCAGTTAGCAGGTATGTGACCTACAGCCTCCTTCTCAGTTTCTTTTTTATTTTATTTTTTTGGAGACAGGGTTTTGCTATGCAGCCCAGGCTGGCCTCAAATTCACAACCTTCCTGACTCTGTGGAACTGTATGATTACAAATTCAATTACTCCCCTAGCCTCTGTTGTGTTTAAAAATTAATGGTTAAAATGTGCTTGTTAATTCTGGGATAATAGATAAAATCTGCAGCAAAACAAAGTTCCTAAGTAAATTACTCAACCCCTTGTTTGTCCAGAGAACGAATGTTCCCGGACCCACTGTCGGTAGAACAATCCATCAATGTGTCTGCTGACCATCAGTACGTGACGGTCGTGACCATATGGTCGTGACCATTACTGTGTGTGTCTGCTGACCATCAGTACGTGACAGTCGACCACTAACTTTTGTTCCTTTTTTCGTACATCTACATGTTAAACTCCCCTTCAGCCCCCTATAAAACAGCCTTGGACTCTGAGCCAGGTGCCCCTCTAAGCTATTTTGCTTTGGGAGTGCCGTCTGGCCAGACTAATAAAGGTCTGTTTTACTTTCCAACTTGTCCGGTGTGTTCCTTCCCGGGTGTTCGTCGCTGCAGTCAGCTCCTCGGAGCGTTTGGTAAGGCCCTCGGTCTTACAACTCAGCCTCCCAGAGGCTAAGAACATAGGTGTGTGGCACCCACCAATGCATACTTCTGCTCGCTACTTCATGGCAGCTCTCAAAGCTCCACGCTGAGACAGGTGAGGACCCAGCAGCGCTGCAGCAGAGAGCCCAGACCTGGGCCACAGGGACCGATCCGAGGGGACCCCAGAAAACTCGAGTCCACTCAGCCTGTGAGTGTATGTGGCTGATTTAGAGAAAGAGCAGGATCTATGCGGTGAGATAAATGTCTCAAAGCCACAGCCCGCTTTGGGGTGAACGGTGCCACCAGTGCTGAGCTGCGGCTGCCCCTCAGGCCCAGGCAGATCCTGGTCCCTCTCAGTGCCACAAAGGCGACATCGCCTGACAGCTTCAGTCAAGCCACACCCTGGCTCGTCACGTGCAGGGAAGGAGTTGTGACAGTGGCCTGGGCTGGATCCGCTCTGCCACCTAGGACCTGTCCTCTGTGACCTCAGGCAGCTCGCAATACCTCGCTGAGCCTCAGCTCTAGAGCTGCGGTCGCGCCCCAGGGAGTGACCAAGGGGAGGCCACAGAAACAGAGGCCCAGACAGGGTCAGCTGCGACCCCTGGCGGCGGTGTGTAAGAACCACGCGATCTGCTGAGCGCTCCACTGCTCTGTATTAGCAGAGCTTCTCACATGTGTTTGTTTTTAAAATACCCAAAAATGCCAGATCCCAGCACTCAGGAGGCTGTGGCAGGAGGATCGCTGTGAGTTTGAGGCCAGTGTGGACTACACAGCAAGACACTGTCTCAAAAAATAAATAAATTGTGGCCTGGAGATTTAGCTCAGTGGTTCGACGGCCTGCCTTGCAAGTGCAAGGTCCCGAGTTCGATCCCCAGTACCAAAAAATAAATAAACAAACAAACAAACAAAATTAATTTTAAAAATAAAAAGGGCTAGCTCAGTTAGAAGACCCTGGGTTCAATCTCCAGTACCAATTTAAAAAAAAAAAAGGTCAGAGTGCAGCGTGGTCTCCCACCCCAACTTCCACCTCCTACTCACCATTGGTGAACAGAGGCTCGGGCAGCTTCCGGAAGAAGGACTTGAGCAGGCTGCTGATGACATTGAGGTCCTGCCAGCGCTGGGGAGGGACAGTGAGGTCAGGCACATCGCGGGCGGCACCTCGGGGGTCAGAGGTGACACGAGGCCCCTGCGCTCCATCCTCACTACCCTGTCACCCGGACTGCACCTTCCTCCCGCGCTAACCCGGCCGGCCGGCGGAATCACTGCTCCCTTCCATTGGCCCGTGCCAAGAATGAATGATTGTTGCCCTTCTGTCCACAAGAGGGCGCCATCGCCCCACAGCTCGGCCAAGGGAGAAACCGCGCCAGGCTCGCTCCTCACTGCGGGCCCGCGGAGGGATCCCCGCAGCCTCACAGGCCCAACACCTCCACCAAGGACAGGCACCCCAAGCGCCCTGGCAGCCCACTGGGGCCCCTCCTGAACGGACGTGTCCGCCCCGCCGCCCACCCCCTGGGGACCCCAGGCCACTCCTGCCCAGCCTCAGACTAGGCCCTGCGGGTGCACCGACTTCACCCATGGGCTCCTCTCCCATCACCCACACACAGGGACTGTCACGGGAGGACCCTGGGAGCTCACTGCCCACATTCATGGTTTTCTAGGAAAAATCTTTCTCATCAGAGCCCCTTCTGTCAAACGGAATCGCACATGAACACCCAAGCTAACAGTGGAGCAGAGCAGGGTTTTGGCCCTGCCTGTGGCGCCCAGGCCCCTCTGGGAACCCCGGGACTCTGGGGAACGCCATTTGAGAACCACTAGCCCTGCTCCAACATTTTCTTCCCGTGCTAGAACTGAACACAGGGGTACATCCTTATCCCTTTTCAAATTTTATTTCGAGACAGAGTATGGCTTATAAGTTGCCCAGGTTGGCCTCAAATTTATGATCTTCCTGTCTCAGCCTCCCAAGTAGCTGGGATGACAGGCATGCATCACTGTGCTCAGCTACAAACTCTTTTACTTTGTTTTATTTTTTTTTTTATTTTAAGTTCTTTGAGACAAGTCTCACTATGTGGTTCAGGCTGGCCTTGAACCCACTAAATAGCCTAGATTGCCCTCCAACTTGGGATGATCCTCCTGCCTCAGCCTCCTGAATGCTGGGATGACAGGCGTGCGCCATTGTGCCCAGCTACAAATTGTGTGGCTGTCAGCTTGCTCCCCAAGCTGCTCTCTGCCTGGCCTCTTCCCAGGCTGTGGCCACTGGGTGGCTGGCCATTCTGGAAAATGTGTGCGTTCTCCTGGCTGAGCCCGGGGTCAGCAGATGGCCGCCCTGAGCCAGCCTGAACCTACTTCTGTGCAGCCCCACAACTGTGTGTGGTTTGTGTGCTGTTAAACGACTGCGGGGCCAGGCGTGTAGCTCAGTGGCGCGGCGCCTGCCTGGCAAGCATGAGGCCGAGCTTGATTCCCAGAACCAGGAAGGGGAAGGAAGGGACAAGGAAGAGAGCAAAGTGCTGCGACCACGGCTCAGCGGTGAAGTGGGTCCCTGGGGTGCAGGAGCCCTGGTCTGCTCTACCGCACCACAAAGAACAAACCACCCTGAGTGCCCAGCAGTGATGAGATGGCCCCGTCCCCACCGGCAGGCTCCTGGCAGGCGCGCACCCACCTCGTCTTGCAGGTTGATGTCGCCGGGCCCGCGGTTGAGCTGCTCCTGCAGGCTGGACACCACGGCGTTGTTGCCGGGCACTCGGTAGATGCCGGTGGACTCCAGCCCCCGGGCCTCCACGATGCGACAGCAGGCAGCCACGATGAGAGGCACGCGCTGTGGACAGGCAGCGGGTTAGGGCAGCGCACCACGGAGGGAGAGCGGAGCGGTCTGCCTGTCTCCCTGCCCTGCCCGCCGCCAGGGTGCCGCGAAGCCCACCTGGTTCTCTGGGGCCGGCTGGCACTCCTCCAGCCGGACCCCGAAGGCCCTCGGGGTGGCCTTCTTGTTCTTCTTGATGATGTTGATGCCCCAGGGAGTTTTGGGGGCAGCCGTAGTGTCATCTGGGGTGCAGGGGGGGAGAGAGCGCAGTGAGGGACACGAGATGGGGCTACTGGGGTTGCCATCAGTGGCACCTAAGCCCCTCGAGGAGCCCACGGAGGGCACCCACCCCACGGGAAGGGCTGGGGCTATGCTGTAGCCAGACCAAGCACCGGATGGATCAAGCACAGGAGGATCCCTGACGGCCAGAAGCACAGAAAGCGAGGCGCCTCCAAGGCGGGGGGGGGGGGGGGAGCCCGCAGGCCGAAGGCAGGGTGTCCTGGAGACTCCCGCCAGTGCCCTTCCAGCCGCGGGGCGCCCGATCTCACAGCGCCGCCCCGACCCCTGCGCCCGGCCGAGGCCCCACCTACCCTTGCTCCCCGGGGACTGCTCCTGGGTCCTGAGGCCGCGCACCGCACTCTGCTTGAGGAACTCGGACTTGAGCCCCCCCAGCCCGCGAGAGACTTTGGGGGAGGCATCGGCTTTGGGCCCAGAGCCGTGGCTGCGGAGGAAGAGGGGAAAGCGGTGTTCATCACGCCAGCGGCCCCCACCCCCTGCACCCGCACCCCAAGGGCCGCCCGGGGCGGGCCTCACCTCACTTTGCGGTAATCGTTAAGCTTCTTGCTGATCAGAGCTTGGTTGGCCCAGCCGGGGTCCTGGAGCAGGAGAGAGAGGCGCGGCCGTCAGCGCCCGCAGCCCACGCAGCTGGCTCGGCCTGGTCCACCCCGCCCCGCCCCGGGCTCACCTCCCCCTCGGCCCTGCTGTTCTCCCGGATCGCTCTGATCCAGCCCAGCATGTCATCGCGGTCCTCAGCCTGAAAGAGATATTCACAGAAGTCAGCGGTGGTCAGCCGGAACACGTGCCTCCTCTTGGTGTCGCTGTAGGAGATGTCCACCAGGCAGGAGCCGATGCAGACGGGCGCCGCCTCCTCCTCACCTGCGCCGGCCGCCGCAGCCCCCGCCGCCGGCCCGGGCTCCCGCCGCTCCTTGCTCAGGCAGAGCGAGCGCGCCCGCAGCGTGGCGTACACCCGCTTCCACTGGCGCAGCCCGCTGCCCGCCTTCTGCGGAGACACGGGAGAGCAGCGTGAGAGCGGGCACCGACTGACCTCCCCACTCGGGCTGGCATGTGTGCTCCGGGATGGACAGGGGCTCCCCAGTAGCCCCGGCTGGCCTCCAGTCCCAGGCGATCCTCCTGCCTCGGCCTCCCGAGCGCTGGGATGACAGGCGTGCGCAGGGCCCCATCATCTTTTGGCAGCTGCCTCCTTTTCTCCCTTCAGGTCCGAGTGTCCAGGAGGCCTCCATCACCTCCTCCTCGAGGCTCCTCTGCCATTTCTTTCCCCAAAGCCAGCCGCACACACTGTCACACCTCCAACCTCACCCTGAGCACTTGCTGTGACCTCAGGTTATTTCCTCAGCTCCCGGGCAGGGAGCTCACCTGCCTTCTCTCCAGGGCCCGAAGCCCTGCACCCAGAGCCAGGCTGGGCCAGGCCCATTGGCATCCACTGAGGGTCCTTGCCACACCCAGGGCAGGGGCTGCACCCCCATTGGATCAGGGCAGGGTGACGCCTCGTTCGGTGGGTTCTACGCCAAGGTCATGACACTGCTGGCCAGACACAGAGGTGTGGGGGAGGCTTGGGGGCACCCCAACGTGCGGTCATCTGGACTCCCCTTCCAGGGAGCCAGGCCCAGGCTGGCACTCAGCCTTACAAAGGCTGAGATCAGGACCTCAAGTTCCAGGCCAGCCTGGGTGACCCACAGTAAGTGCTGCCTCAAAACAAAGCCGGGCAGGGTGGTACAGGCCTGTGATCTCAGCACTCAGGAGGCTGAGGCAGGGGGATCACTTCGAATTCAAGGCCAGCCTAAACTACATGGCAAGAGCTCATATCAAAAAACCAAAAATGAAAACTCCTCTGCAGGGGGAATTTTAGAGTTACAGCAAGGTGCTGCCAGGCTCCGGAGACTAAAGGACCTGGATGACCTTGGACTCCCCAAGCCCGGCTCTGGCCTCAGTGTCCTTGCTAACAAGTCTGGGACATCCAGTTGGAACGCCGGCTCTGTGGCTGCAGGCACACATTACGCTGCTCCTGCCTGAGCTCTGCCTGAGTCTCGGCCTCCGAGGAGGAGGGGATGCTGGGCAGATGTCAGCAGCTGGAGCACGACACCTGGACAGAAGCCGTGTCTGCCACTGACTGGGGGGCCCTTCCTCTTAATTCCTGACCAAAGGCACAAGCGACAGCAGATTTTGCCCAGCGAGAGATGGAAGCTTCTGTCCTCCAGAAGAGGGGGCCGCTACTGTCCCTGTTGGAAGCACTTAAGTCCCCAGAGCTGGGGATGGAACCCGGGAGGACCCTCCAGGTGGCTCACAGCCTGCACTGAAGGGCTTCGTCGCCACACTCCTGCCCCTTGCCCAGCTGCGCTGGCCCTCCGAGGTCACCCTCCTGGCCTGACTTCATCTTTGCCTTGCTTACTGCTGGGGACTGAAGCCAGGCCCCACACACTATGCAAGCCATCTGTCACAGCTGCATCCCCAGCCCTTTGAATTTTTCTTTTCTTTTTTGGTACCAGGGATCGAACTCGGGTCCTTGCACTTGCGCAGGAGGCGGCGAAACCACTGAGCTAAATCCCCGGCCTGATTTTTCTTTTATTTTGAAACAGGTTCTCATTAAGTTGCCCAGGCTGGGTTCAAACTTGCAAATCTCTTGCCTCAGCCTCCCAAGTTGCTGGAATTACAGACCTGGGCCACCACTTTTGGCTCTGACTGCCATTTTTGTTGTTGTTTTTGAGACAGGGTCTCATTATGTAGCTCAGGCTGGCCTCCAACTCATGGTGATCTTCCTGCCTCAGCCTCCTGAGTGCTAAGATTACAGATGTGCACCACCAGGCCCGGCTACTCCTATGTCCTTGATACCTGAGGCCTTCAATAAGCCCAGGCCACCTTCTCCTCCAACTTTTCTCCAAAGGTTCCCTCTCCTGGCTTCACACCATGACCCTGATCAGGGCCCCTCAGTCACCCAGACAACAGCCATGGCCCTACGTCCTCCATCACAGACCCAACGCTTGTCTCCTGCGTCACACACTTCCCTCTCTGCCCATTAGACACACACACACACACACACACACACACACATACACACACACGTTCCCGGATGTCTGGCCCCCAGCGCCCCATGCCTGGGCGCTCCAGCATCTCCTCCCGCTTCCCCAGTCCCTTGCTCCCCTGGGTTTGGGCTCCTGTGCCCTCAGTTCTCAGCCTGGGGTTCTCCCTCCCAGCCCCACTGAGCACCTCAGCACCTGTAAGCCCTGGGCCCCAAGCGCTTTCTCCACCCTGACCTCCTCATGGTGGCCATCAGGGTGCGTGAGCCTGTCCCTGGGTCACGTGGTATCACCGACCCCCAGGAGCAAGGTGTGAAATGCAGCCACAGTCAGCCTCTACCTCACAGGGGCCATGTCCACCCTCGGGGCAGCAAAGACACCTGGGAAAAACATGGCATCTGCCCTGCACACTCAAGACTGCGCTCGCCTAGGATCCCTACCGGAGCAGCATGGTGACAACACACACAGCGCCCACATCCTGTTAAGCCTCGCAAGTCCCCTAGAGAGGATTTAAAGAGGATGGGAGCTGGGCACGTGGGCGCACACCTGTGACCCCAGTACGCACAGAGAGGAGGGTCTCAAGTTCAAGCCCAATCTGGAAAACTGAGTGACTCACCGAGACCCGGTCACAAAATAGAAATAAAAAGGGCTGGGGATGGAGCTCAGTGCAGAAGCCCTAGGTTTGATCCCCAGTACTGCAATGAGTAAATAAATAAATAGAGTGTATGGGAGGATATGTATAAGCTGTATCCAAACACTGCTCCTTTTGTTTGTTTTGGGTTTTTTTTTTGAGACAAGGTCTCACCATGTACCCCAGGCTGGCCTCTAACTTGCGATCTTCCTGCCTCAGCCTCCCAAGGGCTGGGATTCCAAGTGTGCACCACTATGCCCAGTGAGATCACCACATTCATTTATTTACCATTATTAGGGCTGGGGATTTAGCTCAGTGGTTCTACTGCCTGCCTTGCAAGCACAAGGACCCAAGTTAGATCCCTGGTACCAAAAAAAAAATTTCCCTATTTAGTATTATTTTTATTTTTGGTGCCAAGGGCTGAACCCAGGGCCTCCTGCTTGCTACACCAGTGCCCTACCCTGAGCTGAGTCCCCGCCCACAGCACCCCCTCATCTGCGCCTGACACAAGCTCGGGGCAGAGACGACTGCGGGCTCCACTCAGACGGGGCCGAGCCAGGCTCATCCTCAGCCCCTTGGCCACTCTGGGGAGACCTGGGGGACAGCAGTGGGCTCTTCCCCGGGTCCTGGGGTCTTGGGGTCCTGCTTTCTTGCCCCGCTCCTCCTGCAGCCTGGGTCCCTTGACCTCCTCTCTCATCTGGGTCACACGGAGCCGCTACCTGGACCCCTCACCACCAGGGCGGCCCTGTTAGCCCTCAAGAGGCCAGCTGGCACCCCAGAGCCGTAACCCTCTCCGGATACAAGGGTCCCTGCTGTCCTGAGACGCATGGCCGAATGGTCCTCAGGGCCTGAGGAGGCTGAGCCCAGAGACTGCTCAAGCCTGGGTTCCCCTGGGGGACCTTGCTCCCTGCGGCCACTTTTGGCTGGGGGAACGCTGCTAGGATTCCCTGCCATCCCTTCTGCTTCCAGCGGCTGCAGGGCAGGCGTGGCAGCTGCAGAGCCTGACCACCACCCTCCCGCTGAATCCTCCCACCACCTTACCTTCCCCTTCCTGGTGAGGACCTGCTTGTACGATAGCCAGCCCTCTCTCCTGACATCACTGAAGGCTGAGTCTGAGAGGTCAGAGGTGGAGTGCCGCTTGGAAGGGGCATCAGCATCTTCGGACGTTCCCCAGCTATCCAGGGACTGCAGGGAGACAACACAGGGCAGGTTAGGGTGGCTCCTAACGTACCAGCACCTCAGGAGCCCCATGGGCCACCATCAGCCTCTCGGGCCTGGTGCATATCCATGCTGTCCTCCAAAGCGCTGTGTGACCTCCAGGTCCTGGCTTGGCCTCTCTGAGCTGTCACGAGCTGTGACAGAGAAGCCAGAAGGGGGAAAAGCTGGGCCCTGCCAGCAGACACAAGCCTCCCACGCTAGAAAAGCCAATCTGGACCCTGTTTTAACTTTACAGCCTTAAAGGAAATAAGGAAACAGGGGAAGGAACTTTGTCAACAAGGAGTTAAGTAAATAAGGGAAGTGGGAACATCAACAAAGACCGAGGGAGCAAAGCAGGTAGTCATGTCCAGGAGGAGTTAAACAGAGAAGTGACTGTGTCAACAGACTCCGGGAGGAGGACAACAAGCCCAGGGAGAGCCGAGTAAACCGAGGAAGCAATAAAGAGCGACCCGGGTGGCAGTGGTGTCAAGCTAAGTCCAGACAGGGAGGGCTTGACATCCAAGTGGCTTTTTCAGCCCATAAATAGGCAAGCCGGATGTGGTGGCACACACCTGTGATCCCAGCACTGGGGAGGCTGAGGCAGGAGGATCACTGCAAGTTCAAGGGCAGCCTGGACTACACAGTGAGACATTGTCTCAAGAAAACCAAAAAAGGGGCCAGGGATTCAGCTCAGTGGTTCTGCCACCTGCCTCACAAACCCAAGGACCCAAGTTTGATCCCCAGTACCAAAAAACAGAAAAAAAAAGAAAAGAAAACCCAAAAAGAAAAAGGAACACCACAGGGCTGGGGTGCAGCTCAGTGGTAGACCTCTTGCCTGGTACTCAAGGCCCTGGGTTTACCCCCAGCATCGCAAGACAAGGAGCCTGCAGCTGCTGCAGCCCCGACCCTTTGGCCCCCAGACCCTCAGGCTGCGACTCCAGCCTCTCCAGTAGCGTCACTGTCACTACTCCTTCCAGTGTGCCGTCCAGGCAGACGCTACGTGCACGTGGGCAGCGTCTCCCCAGGGAGGCACAGGGAGAGCACTGGAGACCCCGCCATGCTGCGGACAGGTGAGCACCCTGCCTTCAGGAGTTCGGGGACAGCAGCATGCGCAGGGAGCCCAGGGAGGCCGGAAAGGTCAGGTGGAGGCTGAAACTGCCCAACAGGCCCAAGAACCCGAGAGAACGTGAAAAGGGCCGGGCGCGGTGGCGCACACCTATGATCTCAGCACTCAGGAGGCTGAGGCAGGAGGATCGTTGCAAGTTTGAGGCCAGCCTGGGCCACATAGTGAGTTCGAGGCCAGCCTGGACTACACAGCAAGACCCTGTCTCCAAAAAATAAAAACAAAAATAGTAACAAAAAGTAGGTCACGAGGTTAAAGGAGGGCTGGAAAGGGGTTCAGAGATGGGGAGGAGACAAATGCAAAGGCCTTGGGTTCAGAAGGCGCAGGGTGGTGAAGGAGGGGAGGAGCAGGAGTCCCCAGGCCCTGAGCCCCTCCCTGCCCCGCCCGCGCTCACCCCGTCCGTGAAGAAGCTCCGGAGCACCCGCAGGCTGGGCACGCGGCTCGGCAGGCGCCTGGGGAGCAAGGACCAAGGTGAGGAGTAAGGGCGGGAGTGACCTCGCTTGCCCACAGCTGGCCCTGAGGCCCTGGCCTCCCGCCCACGTCCCCCGGTCCTCACCGCAGCGCCCGGCCCTCGTCCCGGAAGGTGTTGAGGCCGTCGTCACAGGACTTGGAGCGCTCGGTGGTGATGGCCAGCAGGTAGGAGGAGCGGCGCCCGGCCTTGATGCTGCCTGCAAAGGGGCTGCATCAGCCCAGGGAGCAAGCGGAGGGCAGGGAGGGGCCAGGGCTCAGGGCCACCGCACAGCGCCCTGGGGACAGCGCAGGGCACTCACTGCAGTCTTTCGCGTAGTGGCGGCTGAGGGCAAAGGTGAAGGTCGGTGAGGATGGGCTGGTGCCCAAGACCGGGGCTGAGTTCATGGCACTGGAGACCACGGCCGACGCAGGGACGTGCTTGGCCTGGAGATCGATGCTGGGGCTGGTGGGCTCATCTGCGGGGCACGAAGGGCACTGTGACGGCGAACATAGAAGGCTGCCCCGCCCAGCCCGGCCCGCCTGCACCCCTCACCCCAAACCTGGAGCCCACCCCACAGCTCCTGCAGCCTGCACGGCCCTGTAGCAACGCACCAGATGGGCCAGGAGCCAGGAGCTCCCGCTTCTCTGCCCTCGGGCGGCACACTGCACAGGCCCGGACGCCCTCCCATCCTTCCAGTCTTGGCCCGAATGTCCCTTTCCCACATTCCCTCCATGCCCGCCACGCCCAGTCTAGGCCACACAGCCTCCCGAGCTCCCTGTGCCACACCTGTGGCCCTGGGTGGGCCTGTCAGACCGTGTGCCCAGGAGGGACGGAGGGCAGGGCGGCAGGGAAAAGGGGAAGAGTGAGGAGGAACAGGAGAAGGGGCAAGGGGTGGAAAGAAGGAGCACAGGAGGGGATTTAGCTCAGTGGTTCTGCTGCCTGCCTTGTAGGCAAAAGGACATGAGTTTGATCCCCGCTTCCAAAAAACAAAAATTTTTTCGGGGCCAGGATTTAGCTCAGTGGTTTCACCGCCTGCTGCACAAGCGCAAGGACCCGAGTTCGATCCCTGGTACCAAAAAAAAAAAGAAGGAGCACAGGAAAAGACGAACGAAAAGAGGAGAAAGAGAGGGAGAGAAGGAAGAACGGATGGATGCAAGAAAGGAGGGAAGGATGGAGGAAGGCAGAAGTGGGAGAAGACGGCAGGAAAGCACAAATGAACAGGAGGCAAAGCAGCAGGAGGCTGCAGAGAATGGATGGATGGACAAACAGATGGACACAGTGTGGATGGACAGAGAACAAGGCGATCCCATCCGAACCCACCCGGGTCCTGGGCACGGTAGACACCTGGGTGGCACAGCAGCCAGTGTCCCAAGAGGGCCGCACCATCACTCACCGATGAAGGGGATGGAAGCCAGTGAGTCCTCGGTGGTGGCCAAGGGGGTGACCCTCCTGCCCAAGCGCTCCCCTCGCCCGCCTGCCTCTGGCTCCGGGGTTTCGTCCCCAAGTCCAAGGTTCATCTGTCGGGCGGGGCCCAGGGGGCCCTTTCGGCCTGTGGGCGGCTTCTGCCTCAGGATGACCTCCTCGCGGGGGTCTTCGGCCGGGGGCTCCAGGGCCAGGGCGTTGGGCTCGGGCCTTGTCACCCTGGGCGGTTCAGAGGCCTCGGGTGGGAATGGTGTGGCAGTCTGGGCCAGGCTGAAGCTGGGCAGCCCCCCGAAGGGCGAGTCCCGGAAGGAGAGCGCGTGCAGAAGGCCAGTCCGGCGCTGGAAGGACGGGCTGTAGCTTCGGTAGCCCATGTACCCAATGTCGTCCAGGCCCTGCAGGCCGGGTGCAGGAAGGGCCTGAGGCCCTGGCAGGTCCCGAGCAGGGCAGGCAGTTGTGTGGGCAGCAGGATGCTGGGAGGCCCAGCTGCAGCGCTCGAAGCGGGGTGACCCCAGCAGGCCTGGTCCCAGGGCCTCGGCGGAGCGGGTGGCCCGGCCCAGATAGTCCTCTGAGCGTGCCCGGTGCCAGCTCTCCCGGCCCAGCTGGCTCAAAGCATCCTGGGACGTGGAGCAGGGCCACGCACGGTGGGCGGTCACCTCCTCCAGCCGGTCCTGCGAGGCACTGCGGGCCCGGGGTGGCATGGCCGGGCACCGACTCTCCCCCGCCCTGCGGGGTACCTGCTTCGACAGCCAGTTCGACAGGGCCTGCTGGCACTCCAGTCTGCTGGGGAGCGCCCGGCTGCCGGGCTCTGGGAAGGCACGGGACGTCCGGGGCTCCTCAGGTAGGTGGGGGAAGGCACCAGGGCTGGGGCGGGGCTGGCTCATCCCCAAGGAAGAGGACTCTGGGTGGGTGAGGGTGGCGGGCGGAACGCAGGGCCCTGGGTCACTCCACGCGGCGGGGCTCCGGGGGTCACTGAGCAGGGCCGAGGTGGGCTCAGGCACCATAGTGGCCCAGGCAGACAGCCGGGCTGGTGGGGCGTAGGTCTTCCGGGGGTAGCAGAGAGGGGGTGGCTCGGGGATGCTGCGGGCCTCTCCAGAATAGGGCTCGTTCCCCTTCAGGTAGGCATCCTGGGAATAGGCCTGGTAGGGACAAAGACAGTGAGCAGGGCCACCCAAGGCACCCAGAGGGAGAGGCCCGGGTGGGGTGGGTGGGCAGACAAAGAAGCGGCAGGCTTCGCACGCACGCACAAACCCTAGACAGGGCGGGCGACAAGGACAGCTTGCAGCCTCACACGCCCTCTCATCTGCGCTCTGGACCGCCCCGTCCACCCCACTGCCCACTGCCGGCGTCCCACAATGCCCGCAGCCACGCAGGTGGGGCGGGAAACTCCAGCGAAGGTGGCGGACTGAGGAGAAAGCCGCCCAGAGGCCTGTCTGGGGTGGGGTGGGCTAGGGACAGGGGCCTGGCTGCTGGGCCCCCGGGTGAAGAAGACCCGTCCCACATCCTGTCCCCTAGAGCCGGCCCGGAGGAGGGGCCAGCCCTTGGCAGCCAGTGGAGGGACCCTGGGCCATCTTCCGCCACCGCAGGCCTGGAATCTGGCACGGGTTGCCAAGGCTGACACTGCATCGCTGAGCAGTGACAGGGCTGGCGCTTAGGCCCTGCCAAAAAAGGAGCGGCCCGGGGACAGGCTGCCCGCTGGCGGCCCAACCGGGAGGGCAGAGTGAAGCATCGGAGGGGGGGAGGCGAACCCAGGCAAACACGCAGCCACGGCGCCGGCCACAGGGAGACACACACCGAGAGCAGCACAATGAGACACCCACGCACGCGCTGCCCCTGGCCGGCACAAACATCATGTGACGGGGATGCGCTGACCACCCACACCCCTTGCACTCGGCACTCGGCCCCTCTGCCGCCCGCCACACCGTACCTCTCCCTCCGGCCATCCCGCCGGCTCCCGGGGCGCCCCGCATCAGGGCTGCGGCCACAGCATCCCGCTCGCCCCGCCTCGCAGACGCCCCCAAGGCCACGCCCGCCCGCCCGGTCCCTCGCCGGCGGGAGGAGGGGTGTGGAGGCCGCGCAGCGTCGGCGGTGGCGTCAGCGCTGCCGGGGCCCGATTGGCCCGAGGCCTCGGCTCCCGACCGACCGCAGGAATGCCTGGGCCCCACCCTCGCGCGGAGGTGGGGGCGCCGTGGAGGCCCCCAGATGCCAACATCCGGGGCCGTGGGCCCCCTGGAGCCCACCCGGGGAGCAAGGCCCGGAGCTGCTGCTCTCCCTGCCAGATGGAGACAGCAGGGCTTCCTGGTCCCTCCAGTCATCACCGCTTAACCAGCCTGGCCTGGGGGGGGGGCGTCCAGGCAGGGTCTTTGAGACCTGGGGTGAGCCCTCCACCTCCTCAAGCCCCATTCTGTCCTCCCCCTTCCCAGGAAGGGCGAGGGGACGATTGATTGAGGTCAGGGGTGGAGGTTCCCAGAGGGCCACGGTGCCAAGGGTGGCACTGTGATTACCAGAGCTGCTCCAGGCAGAAGCCCGGCAAGTGCTCCCATGGGCCCTCAGGATCCCCTGGCAGGCAGTGACCTCTGGCAACGCAAGTCGGCATGCAGTGGGTGGGGACCCATGGGACCAGGGAGCCTGGCACTGGCCAAGAGCTCAGCCCGGGACTAGGGGCACAGGGCTGTGTGTGGGTGGCCATGGCAGGGCGTCTGTGGGACACAGCCCGTGCTGCGTCCCAAGTGTGCCCAGGTGTGTGGGGGGAGGGGTTTTGGGCTGCACATCTGGCTGTATAAACCTGAGGCCTGCGATACTGCTGGGTGAGGACTGAGGAACTGGAGTGTGCTGCGGAGTTGTGGGTGCGTGTGTGCGCGTGTGATCGCACACCAGCTGGTGTTTCCACATGCAGCAAGAGCCCCAGGCTCTGCTGTGACCTGCGCTGTTCCCACCATGGGCCCCAAGGTCCAGCTCTGCGGGCTGTGACATCAGCGGTGGGTCGGGGTGCATGGGGCATCTGCACGGTGGCCTGGCCTGTGTGCTGTGTCACCGGAGCACACACGTGCTACACCAAAGGCAGTGCTGGGACTGTGTTGTGTCCTGGTGTGACCTGTCTGTGCCCCGAGTGAAGCTGAGGATGCAGTAGGCTGGGGGCCTTGGGACCCGTGGGTCACCAGTCAGAGGGGGTGGAACCCGGCACCTCTCACAGGCACCAGCAAGAACATGCCAGTCTGGTGGGGCCCGCTGGGCCACCTCCTTCTGGTACCCGGCAGGAATCCTGCCTGCCGAGGCCAGTGCCTGCCCTCTCCCGAGCAGCCCCGAATGAAGCAACAGGCAGCCCCCACCCAGGGAGGGGCCCGAAGCCCAGATTGGGCAGTGCCAGGCTGGGTTTCCCTCTCTCTCCCACGGGGGGCGGGGCAGGGCTGAGGGCCACCGACTGCCTGGCAGTGGGGCTGCGGGACTCACCAGCTGGAGGACGTCCTCGTCCTTGGGCATGATGGTCAGCTCCAGGTTGTCATCGCTGCAGGGACAGGGCCAGGGCTGAGGTCAAGCTGGGCGGAGGACAGGGACCCCGGCTGCCAGGGTCTGGGGTGCTCTCCTGGGAGGGAGGCGGGCGCTCACCTGTTCTGGATCAGCGCTATGACCTGGGAGTAGGTCTTCCCGATGACGCTTTCCCCGTTCACCTTCACCAGCCGGTCTCCTGGGCACAAGGGTGCAGCCACGCATGAGAGGCAGGGGGCGCCATGGCCCACGGGGTACCCGGCTGGTACGGACAGCAGTGGGGAATCGGCCCGGCACCTGCAGCTGGTAATCCCACCCACCCTGACTCTCACCTGTGCGGAGCCCCGCCCTGTGTGCGGGGCCATCGTCCTTGATGTTCTTCACAAAGATGGTGTCCATGGGCTCCAGGCGGTGCCGCGGGGAGGGGCCTGCAGGCATCGGCCAGGTTAGGGGGTGATGCCGAAGGTCACACCCACCCACAGCTACACACGGGGCCCTGAGAGTGAATCACAGCCACACGGACACAGCATACACGCTCATGCCCACAGGCCCCGGCACCAGACCCATGGATGCACAGTGAGCCAGCAAGAGGCCATGCGGGGCGGGCGAGAACCCACATGGGCACAGAGAGAGCCCCACGAATGTCCACACGTCCCTATCAGAAACCAGACTAAGCGGGCACCAAGACACTGTCCTCGGTGCGTGCTCACTTGTGATCTCAGCACTGGGGAGGCAGAGCAGGGGGATTGTGAGTTCAAGGCCAGCCTGGGCTACTTAGTGAGTTCAAGGCAGCCTGAACTGCACAGCGAGACCTTATCTCAGAAAATCAAAAACAAAAAAGACAAAGGACAGACACAGCCCAAGGGACTCCATATCAAGTCCTGAAGATACTTGGCAGCTCCGGAGACCCACACAATGAAAATGTCCCCTTGGGCCGGGGATTTAGCTCAGTGGTTCCAGTGCCTGCCTTGCAAGCGCAAGGTCCAGAGTTCGATCCCCAGTACCAAAAAAAAAAAAAGAAAGAAAGAAAATGTCCCCGCACACACCAGGGAACAACCAGCACTCACACCTCCCACCCCCTCCTTGGGGGGGCTCCAGACGGAGCCCAGAGAGCCCTGGCCAGGCTTGCACTCCATTGGACCCCAGAACCCTCCCTCTGGCGTGTGCCTGCTTGCTCTGCCAGCCACGTCACCTACAGTGTGGGCCTGTCCCGGGTGCTGGCTCGTCCCCACCCCAGCCTGTGGCACAGGGATGCAGGAGGGCTGTCCCATGGCTGCCCGCAATGCCCAGGGGCAGGACAGGACAGCTGCTGAACACCCGGGGGTGGGAGCTGGCAAGGGGCCCGCAGGTGGCAAGGGCGACAGGCAGGAGAGTGAGGCTGGAGTGTAAGGAGACCTCCGGTCCCTGCAGGGTCCCGCCACCTCTCTGTGCAAGGCCACCCCTTCTCCAGGACTCGGCAGCCCAGGCCTGGGCTCTGGTCTGAGCCGGGAGCAACTCCAGGGAGGACACGGGTGCCGCCCGTCTGCCACCCAGAGTGCCAGGGTCCGCGGGAGGGACGGGAGGAGAGCGAGCGAGGGGAGCTGCCCGGAGACCAGGGACAGAGGAGAACGGGAACAGCAGGTGGCAGAGCCCGGGGCCAGGGCTGCACCGCGCCAGCCGCACTCACCTCCTCCTCCTCCTCCTCCTCCTCCTCCTGCTGCTCCTGCTCCTCGGCCCCCTCGGCCCCCATTCTCTTCCTCCTGCAGCAACAGAGCAGCGGGTCCGGCCCTCAGCGCCACGGAGGAGCCCAGCTGCCCCTCCCTCCAGCTTCCAGCGAGCCAGCAGCAGGCGAGGGCTGTCTGGTGTACCCCAAGACCCAGGCCAAGCTCCCGTGGCCTCAGCCCCCGCATGGCAACCCCGCCCCTGGGAACCCAGTGCTCCAGCCCCCATCCCTGTTCCTGTCCCCAGGGAGTTCCCAGGCCCGGGGGAGGTGCTGCACGCTGAACACCAGGGCAGACAGATAAGCAGGGCGCCAAGCCCCAACAGTGCTATTGCCAGTGCTCAGAGAATGAGGCGGATGGAGGGGACAGGCTGATCAGCCGCCCTCTGGGGAGGGGAACAGGACGCGCAGACTCTTGGTGGCCGGAAGAAGCAAGGACATGCAGGGCCAGACCTGAATACAGCGTTGGAGCGGGGAAGGATAGCGTCTTTTGTGGGACAGTGGACAGCAGCCAGGGCAGCGGTCTCTGGTAGCAGCAAGGTGCAGAGGCAAGGGGTCCCCCAGAAGGCCCCGGGGACACTCTGGGGGAAGGGGTGCAGGAGCCGGGACTGAGGGAAGAAGGAAGGCCCAGGCCAGTAGGACGTGGCACCTCAGAGCCCTCTCCACAGACACGGGGCCATTTCACAGCAACACCAGCCTTGTCTGAGGCCTCCAGAGCCAGAGCTGGAACCCAGCACACGCTGGTGGCTGGGCCAGGACAGGGGCCCCTTCCGGGTGCAGTACATGCTGATAAGAGGTGACAGCAGAGTTCGGGTGGCGGGGGTGGATGGATCCATTTGGACTGCTGAGCCCCCAAGGGCTTCAGGGCAGCAACAGGGAGAGAGCTCGGCCAGGGCCCCAGCCCTGCTGGGTCTGGAGAGGTGATGGCTGTTTCACCCAGCCCAGGGCCTTCTGGGGCCCGAGGAGGGAGAGCTCGGCACCCTGGGCCACAGCCGCTGCCACTGTCCCCATCTGCAGGGTGCCCTGAGAGAAGGTAGCAGGGGCCCGGAAGGAGGGGGCTCCAGGGACCAAGGGGGCCTGTCTCCTTGGACATGGGGGGTGGGACCGTGCCACACAGCACTTCCACCCTAAGCATAGCTGTGGCCAGTGACAGTGGCGACCCCCTGCAGTGCCACGTACACACACACGTTTACAGAGCTGCATGCGTGCACACCCGTGCCCAGCATGGCATACACGCACGTGTGTGTGCAGACACGTAAGCACACAGACAAAGGCCGTCAAACCCAGTGCTTTGGTTCTCTGGCAGGTGGGATCAAGTTCCCCAAGGGAGACCCCCAACAGCTGTGGCAGACTGATTCCAGCACTGGAGGAAGGGGGCAGAGGGGCTGTGGACCCCAGTGTAAATCCGTCTCCTCCCCTGCTGGAAGAGAGCAGGATGGGCCCTGATTGCTGCCTGGCCCCTCCTGTCTGCTCCCTGTGCTCCTCTTGGCTCTGCCTCAACCCAAGCCTGGGCTGGCTGATGGGCTTGGAGAGCCTGACATTTATCCTAGGGCCGGAAGGGCTCGCTCAGGGCCAAGTCAATAAAGGCACCCAGGGCACAGCAGGAATGGCCGCGGAGGTGGGTGGGACAGCCCCAAGCCCAGGTGCCTTAGGAGCTGTCCCAGAACTGGGGTCCTCTGTCGCCACCCAGGGCCTGGGGCATAGTGGGAAGGGCTGCAGAGCTGCGCTGGACCGACTCTGTGATCGCTGCGGACTGGGACAGCAGACCAGTTCAGAAGCCGCCAGTGGACAAAGAGGCTCAGGAGCCCCATCTTTCCCAAGACGGCCATTCACCTGGGCTCCCACCTCTGGGTCCCCACCCTGACCCAGCCGCTCCTGTCTCCCGAGAAGAACCAGGCCACAGCAGTCAGAGCTCTGCCCCCTCACACAGCACCAGCACCCCAGCCCCTGCAGCCCTCTCCTGGACCTTATCGGGGGGGTCGGGCTTCACCCCAGGAGGGAGCCCCCACCCGCGGAGCTCCCAGGCCGGGCAGGCAGGCTACCTTCAGGCTGCAGTGCACGGCAGACTCGGGTGGGTACACGATGAAGTGCCGCAGGGTGAAGCCGAAGCCGTCCTGGAGACTCTTGTGCAGCAGCAGCGTCCTCGGCCCCTGCCAGGGCAGCGGGCGCCCGGGAGAGCACCCATCTCTTGGGCCCAGGGGCAGCTGCGGGACACAGGGAGGGAGGGTGAGTGGTGGGTGGCTGGCACCCTGCCTGGGACCTGAGAGGGACCACGGGGTCCCCTCCCTGCTGCCCTCAGCAGCCCAGCAGTTTCCGCCTTCTGTTTCCCTTCAGTCCCCGCCACGTCCTCCCCTTCAGAGAACCAGGTGGAGAACCAGATATTCACTCAGCACGGCAAACATTCACTGAGCGCCTGCCAGGCAGGGTGCTGCCCACAGCCTTCTTGGCTGGAGGTGCCTGCTGCCGCCTGGGCACGCACAACCCCCCCACACACACCCAAACATGAGGCAGATCTCCAGCAGCACGAGTCCACATGCTTCTGCAGACAAAAACACGAGCAGCCACGGACCTGCACACACAGACACACGTCTGGGCACAGAGACACATCCCTCGAGTGGCAGCAGAACATGGGGACCGAGAGCTTCCAGGGCACAGACAGGGTGGACATCGGACAGGGGTGAAGGAACAGCCGCGGGTCCCGGAGCGCGCCTGGCTCCCCGGAGCGGGTGGCATGGGGACAGGCAGCACCCACCGGGAGAAGATGCCCTGCAGGTCCCCCTGGACAGAGGACAGTGGGTGACAGGAGGGCGTCAGAGAGGCTGCACACAGGCCAGACAGAGAAGAGGGTGCCCTGGGAGGCTGGCACAGGAAATGCCAGGAGGCCCCCCTCGGGGATGCCACCCAACACTGGTGCCCCTAACCAGACGCCTGGGGAGCAAAGCACCTCCCACCCAACCCCCAGCAGTGCTCGGCTCCTCGCTCCTCCTGGGCCCCTGGCACCGAGGGAGGAAGCCCACAGTCCTAGGGGGCTCCCACTTCACCCCACAGCTTCCCATCTAGGGCAGGTGGACAATGCCTCGGGGTCAGCACGAGCATCATTTCCCCAGCTCCTGCGCATGTTGTGTGCCCAGCCCCTCCTGACCCTTTTACCATGGGCGGGAGGCTGAGGCAAGCTCGGGGGAGAAGAGGAGCATTGGATGCAGGCAGCAGGCTGCAAGGCGCCCAGGGCCAGGGCCAGGGCCAGTAGAGGACAGGAAGAGGACAGAGTGAAGGGCCAGGCAAGGGGACCAGAGGAATCAGTCAGAAAATCCCAGGTGAGACTGGGCTTCCCCATCCCCAGAAGGGGCCAAGGCAAATCTGGATCACCCTAGACTGGAGACCTTGGCAGGGATCGGGTACCTGGCAGGGGACTCAATGATGTCCCCGGCTCCTTCCGCTTGAGCAACAGTCCCAAGGGGGCCTGGGGAGCCCAGAGGTTTGCTGGGGATTCAGAAGAGGTCTGAAATCTCCTGCATTTCCTATCAGCAAGGAGCTGATCAGAGAGAGGGAGGAGGGCCGGAGGACCCCTTCCTCCCCCTGCAGAAGCCCCTGCCCCTCTGCAGCCCCCCTGCCATCCCCCACCCGGGCACAGAGCTGTTCCCTGCACCCATTGTTCCCTGGTGTCCCGGATTAAGGTTTAAGCCACCAGCTGCCCCAGTGAGAAGTGGCTGGGACAGGTCCCCGCACGCCCCCGCCCCACCCTCCCCAAACACATCCCGCCTGGAGCTGCCAGCGGGCTGGGGGGTGCCAATGGGGGGCTGCCTGAGCTCCAGGCCCTGGGGCACCTCCCCTCCGTCCTCTGCTCACCCCAACACTCCTGCTGCCCCCTCTTATCTCTGCTTTTCCCTTCCCCGTCCTCCACCCCTTCCTCCCGAGCTGCAGGAATGTCACTAACATCCCTGCCACCGCTGTCACACTCCTGCCTGGACAGGGGATGCCACAGACCCCGCCAGAGCAGGGGCTGCGGGCTGGGAAGTTCTCCCTTCCCCTTCACCTCAATCCTTCTTCACATGCAAATATTTCCACTCCCTTCTGACCCGGCCACCCTGGGTCTTGCTGGCACTGTCAGCAGAAGGGAGGTGACAGGGACAGTTTGCACTCTCCCCCACTGCCTCTCCCACACCCACGCGGAGCGGGGGATGAGGGCACGCACAGGGCCGGGACATGACTGATGAACCCCCCCCCCCCCGGCCCAGACCAAGCTCCAAACACTCCTGCCCTCCTGCCAGGAAGGAAGGGACATCCAGGAGCACCTGCGGGTAGCGGGAGAAGGGCACCCACGAGGCCAACGTAGACATGCAGTAAGTTGGCAACACCAGGAACGAGAGCCCAGAAGCGCAGCTCCTCCCCTGGGGGGAGCATAAAGAGGTCACCGCAGGGAGACAGCGCTGGGGCTGGCACAGCGCCACTGTGACTCACGACCTGCCAGCCGGGCAGATCCCGGGCATCAGAGCACTGCCCCCGGCCCCCACGGCAAGAGATCACTGCCGCCTGCCGGGCTGTCCTGCCACCTCAGCACCCTTCGCCCACTGGGAAACCCGCCCGTGCCCAAGCCCAGATGCCCCAGCGGGGTGTCCACTCCGAGAGGGTGTCCACTGCTCCATCTAGCCCTGCCGGTGCCAAGCTCCCTGTGGGCCCCAACTCTGGCTCTGGGATTCCTAGATGCCCCCGTCCCTTCTGTCCCTCCACCGCCTGCAAGCCATAAAAGGGCTGCGCTCTCAGAGCTCTGCCCAGACCTGGGGCCCTGGCCCAGCAACCCTGGGGAGTTCCACCCCACAGGCCCAGCCGCCAGCCCCATCTCCCCACACCGTCCTGGAAGCGGGGCTCACCCTGGCCCGGTGCGGCCCACGGTGGCCCAGGCAGGGCATCCAGAGGCAGCGGGGCTCCGGGGCGCTGCAGTCCACGCCGACCGCGCGCGCCCAGCGCCAGCCCCCCGCGCCCGCGCGCTCCACGCGCCACGCCTCGCTGCCCACCAGCGCCGCGCCCCGCTGGGCACCCCGGGTCGAACAGCCGCTCGAGCCCCCGCTCGCCCGGGGCTGGGGCTGGGCTGCTGGAGCGGCTCCGAGCCCTGTGGGCGGCATTCTCGGTCCCCTGGGGCGCAGAGGGACGCTGGGGGTGCCAGCCCGCCCCCCGGAGCCGCGGGCCCCGAGGGGACGGGCAGCGCGTGCGGACGGAGGCAGCACGGCTGGAGGGCGCCGGCCTGCGCCAGCCTGCGCCCGCCAAAGGCGCCCGCCCGTCCGGGACAGAGCGGTGGCGGTGGCGGCAGACGCCTCCCCCAGGGGGCGGCCCCAGAGCGCGCCCTGACCCACAGCTGCCGCCACACGTGCGCGCGCAACACGCACGGAGCACAGCCTGCCACGGCCGGGGAAACTCACTCCCGACCACGCACCTCATGCCCTCCCCACTCACATGCACCACTCTCCCGAGCACACCCAGAGAAACGGGTTCACACATGCACTGCCTGCACACACGGAAACAGACCCGCAGCACACGCCCGTCCGCGCTCACCTCGGTTCTGCACGCCCCACAGAAACACACGGCCACTCATGTACCCCACCTGCGTGGACACCCCGGGCACACCCGCCCCGGTAGAGACACGTCTGCCATATACCCGCTGTCCCTCAGAAAGCACCCCCGTGCCAGGCACCCACACGCCCCTCACAGGGTGCCCGCGAAAGCCAGGGCCCACTGATGGCCCAGGTGGACCCCTCCAGCCCAGGACGCCCCAGCGGCTCCTCTGACAGCCAGCCCCCAGAGGGTCCCCAGGCCCCTCGGTGTGAGTCAGAGAGGCCCCTTCGACCAGGCCTGCCCTCCTCTCCTTTCCGGGTGCTCGGCTCCCAATCCCTTCCCCTCCCCGGGCAGGGGGGTCAGGGCCCTTGGCTAGTGCGAGTGTCACCGGACTGCCGTGTTCCTGTCACACCGAACTGCTCACTGCTACAGCCACTCACTGTGGCCCAGTTTGTGGAGAATGAAGCTGAGGCCCAGCACGTCATGGTGTCACCGCAGCACTGGGACAACTCAAAGCCTCAGAGCCCTGGATTTCAACTTTGGGTCTGACCCCTAACCCCAGCCAGCAGCCAAAGGCTGAAGTTGGGGGGCAGCTCCCGCTCAAGAAGGACCCCAAATCCAGAAACCCTCCATCCAGGGAGACAGTCGCCTCTCCCGGAGATGCTGCTGAAAGGGAGCCGGAGGCAGAAGCCAGTTCCCCGCCCTCCCATCCTGTCATCCACGTCCCAGGGGAAGGGGCAGGTGCCCTGGGGGTGGTCATGTCCGTGGGAGGTGAGAGAGAAGTAAGGAGACTCGAGGGGAAGGGGCCGGGCCTGGGGTGGGCAGGAGCAGAAGCAAGGGAGGAGGAGGAAGAAGGAGGAGGCCAGCGAGCGGGTTTTGTTCTCCCACTTCCTGTTTCCCGAGGGTGGCCCCCAGCAGAAGCCCGACCCCACCCCACCCTGGCGGAAGCCCTTTGAAAGCACTGTGGCCGCTGAGTCAGGAGGACCTGGGGAGAGAGGGAGGGGGCAGCAGGGCAGTCAGGGACATCGGACGGCACCTCCTTCTGCACCCTTTTCCAGCCCTGTGGGGCTAGGAAACCAAGGGCTCTGGGTCTGCCCAGCTGCTGCCCTTGGCGGGTGGGTCCCTCCCTGTCACATGCCCCTGTGGAAGCTGCCTTTCCTCTTGCTGCAAGGCCGCTCCTGAAGCTGAGGAAAAGGGTTGTCCCCTCTCAGGCCCCTTTGCCTCGCCAGGCTGACAGGTGCTACCCTGTCCCAGATGGATGGGAGGACTCTCTCGCTCTCAAAAGAGTGGGGAGGTGTGGTGGCGCACACCTGTGATCCCAGCATTGAGGAGGCTGAGGCAGGAGGATCACCCCGAGTTTGAGGCCAGCTGGGGCTACATAGTAAGACCTCGTTTCAAAAACAGAAACTTGTGGGGCGCTGTGAGGCTGCAGGAAAGGGAGAGGTAGACTGCAGGAAAGGGAGAGGTAGACACAGGGCTCGGGTTTCATGCCCGAGGCTTCAGACACCTGGAAGGGGCCAGACCTAGACCTGGACCCAGGGCTGTGCGGAGTCCAGGCCCGGGGAGCCTGCTCCCTCCCCCATTTCCTCTGGGAAAGGAATGTGGGGTGGGCCCCAGTGGCCGTGGGGGAGGGGCCGGGGCTGGGAAATACCAGGCG